GAATAGAATTAAGAATAGAATAGAATAGAACTAGCAATAATAGAATAGAATAGAACAGAAATAAGAATAGAATAAGAATTAGAATAGAATAGAATAAAATTAAGAATAGATTAGAATAGAATTAGCAATAATAAAATAGAATAGAATAGAAATAAGAATAGAATAAGAATTAGAATAGAATAGAATAGAATTAAGAATAGAATAGAATAGAACTAGCAATAATAGAATAGAATAGAATCACAGAGTTGGAAGGGACCTTTTAGGGTCATCTAGTCCAACCCCCCTACCCAAAGAGGAGACCCTACCCCATCTGACAGATGGCAGTCTAGTCTCTTCTCGAAAACTCTCCAGGGATGAAGTTCCCACCACTTCTGAAGCATGACCGACCCGCGGCCGCTCACAAACCACGATTCGTGGTTTAGCACGGGGGAGGGGGCAAACTCAGCAGACATTTTTTTTAAAAAAACCAAAAACCCAGGGATGAAACGCCCACCATTTCCTGGCCCCCTTTGCGTGTAGGTGGGCAGACTCACCACAATCCGGGAGGGAGCAGGGCGCCCGGCGCACCGACGGCCCCTCGCACTCGGGCCCGCTGTACATGTGCGGCTGGACCCAGTGCCGCCTGGACACCTGCTCTCCGGTGCCGCAGGTCACAGGGCAGGGGGACCACGGAGACCACTCGGACCATAGGCAGGGCACTGGGGAAGGGAGAAGCCAGGTGAAGAAGCCTCCCAGTGATAGAGAGAGAGAGAGAGAGAGAGAGAGAGAGAGAGAGAGAGAGAGAGAGAGAGAGAGAGAGAGAGAGAGAGATGATGGATGGAGATAGATGATAGATAGAAAAATAGAAGAAAAGAGAAAGAAAGAAAGAAAGAAAGACGGAGAGAGAGGATATAGATGTATACGGAGAGAGATATGAATGAATGAATGAATGAATGAATGGACGAATATAAAGACAGATAGAGAGAGAGAGAGAGAGAAATGATGGATGGAGATTGATGATAGATAGAAAAATAGAAGAAAAGAAAGAAAGAAAGAAAGACGGAGAGAGGATATAGATGCATACGGAGAGAGATATGAATGAATGAATGAATGAATGAATGAATGAATGGACGAATATAAAGACAGACAGACAGATAGATAGATAGACATGATGGATGGAGATAGATGATAGATAGAAAAATAGAAGAAAGGAAAGAAAGAAAGAAAGAGAAAGAAAGAAAGACAGAAAGACAGAAAGAAAGAAAGACAGACAGACAGAAAGAAAGAAAGAGAAAGAAAGAAAGAAAGAAAGAAAGAAAGAAAGAAAAAGAAAGTAAGACGGAGAGAGGATATAGATGCATAGGGAGAGAGAGATATGAATGAATGAATGAATGAATGAATGAATGAATGGACGAATATAAAGACAGACAGACAGATAGATAGATAGACATGATGGATGGAGATAGATGATAGATAGAAAAATAGAAGAAAGGAAAGAAAGAAAGAAAGAGAAAGAAAGAAAGACAGAAAGACAGAAAGAAAGAAAGACAGACAGACAGAAAGAAAGAAAGAGAAAGAAAGAAAGAAAGAAAGAAAGAAAGAAAGAAAAAGAAAGTAAGACGGAGAGAGGATATAGATGCATAGGGAGAGAGAGATATGAATGAATGAATGAATGGATGAATATAGATAGATAGATAGATAGATAGATAGATATGATGGATGGAGATAGATGATAGAAAAATAGAAGAAAGGAAAGAAAGAAAGACAGAAAGACAGAAAGACAGAAAGAAAAAGAAAGAAAGAAAGAAAGAAAAAGAATGAAAGATGGAGAGAGGATATAGATGCATATGGAGAGAGATATGAATGAATGAATGAATGGACAAATATAAAGATAGATAGATAGATAGATAGATAGATAGATAGATAGATAGATAGACAGACAGACAGATATAGAGAAATGATGGATGAAGATAGATAGATAGAAAAATAGAAGGAAAGAAAGAAAAAGAGAGAGAAAGAAAGAGAAAGAAAGAAAGATGGAGAGAGATATGAGAGATACACAGAGAGAGAGAGAGAGGGAGAGAGAGATAGGTGACAGACAGAGACAGATGATGGATGGATGGAAGGAGGGAAGGACGAATGGAGAGACAGATAGATAGTGATGGATGGATAAGATAGAAAATAGAAGAAAGAAAGAAAGAAAAAAGAAAGAGAGAGATGAGAGAGACAGAGACAGATGTATACGGAGAGAGAGAGATATGAATGAATGAATGAATGAATGAATGGACATATAAATAGACAGAGAAAGATAGGTAGATGGAGATGATAGATGATAGAGATATGGATGAATGGAGAGAGAGATGAGAGAGACAGGTGTATACAGAGAGAGAGAGATGGACAAATGAATGAATGAATGGACAAATATAAATAAAGATAGGGAGATGGAGATGAAACAGATGATAGACATATGGATGGATGAATGGGGAGAGGGAGATGAGACAGACAGACAGATAGATAGACAGATAGATAGATAGATAGATGTATACAGAGAGAGGGATGGATGGATGGATGGATGAATGAATGGACAAATATATAGAGAAAGACAGGGAGATGGAGACGAAACATATGGATGGGTGAATGGAGAAAGAGATGAGACAGACAGACAGACAGATAGATGTATACAGATGGAGAGAGAGATGGATGAATGAATGGATGGATGGACAGATATAAATAGATGGAGGGAGGGAGATGGAGAGAGAGAGAAAGAGAGAGAGAGAGAGAGAGAGAGAGAGAGGGAGAGAGATATGGATGGGGAGATCCACTGAGTGGTAAATAGGACCATCATCATCATCATCATCATCATCATCATCATCATCAACACATCCCCAAAACAGCAATTGGTTTTCCCTGGACCGAGTAACTCAACCTCTCCAGCTCTCCTTCCAGCTGTTTACTCGCAGAGTAACTTGGCCTCCTTCCTCGCACTCGCAGCAGGCCGCTACCACGCAGCGCCCGCTGCCGTTGCGGTAGTGCCCGGGCACAGGGTCCCCCCCCCCAAAGGGCATGCTGACGGTCCCAAAGTGGGCAGAGACTCTCCCTAAAGAGAGCGATCCCGGAGTTGCCGTCCTTGAGAAGGGGGCTCGCAGCTCTCTGCCCATGCCCAGAGGCCGCACTCAAAGCCCTCCCGCTCCCCCTCTTACCGTCGCAGCTCTCCTGGGTGCAGGTGAAGACGCCCCTCTGGCAGACGCTGCAGGGCCAAAAAAAGAAGAGAAGAGCCCGTCATCGCAAGGTTCTAGTCCTCACTGAGGAGGCATCTTGTTTTTTGTTTTTTTTTAGCCTAGCCTCCCTCACGGGGTTGTGGCGTGGCAAAACGAGAACCAAGGCAGTCCCCAAGTTGCGGCAGTCCCTTTCGTGACCGTTCCACATTAACAATGTGGGCTCCTTGAAGAAGTCTGGACTTCAACTCCCAGAATCCCCCAGCAAGCGCAGCTGAGCAAGGTTTCTCGACCTCGGGCGCTTGAAAAGGTCTGGACTCCAACTCCCAGAACCCTCTAGTCAGCCAGGGACCGTTGGTCACGCTTCTACCACTGTCAGCGCATCCCCGAAGTCGCGGGATCCGAATTCAAGACGCTCGGCGATTGACGCGCCTTTATGATGGTCGCAGCCTTCCGGGGGGGAGGTGGGGGTCACATGATCCCCCTTGGGCGATCTTCTGACCAGCCAAGTCATAGGGGGAAGCCGGATTCGCTTAACGACGGCTTGGCTCGCTTAACGACCGGCGATGCACTTAACGACGGTGGCGAGAACAGTCATAAAACGGGGCAGTTTCTCTCTTCCCCTCTTCTCCCTGGTCGTCCAATGGGTGGGGGGCTTGGGCCACTCACCAGCTGTTGCATTCGTGTCGGAAAGTACTCCCCGGCGCATGTTCCTGGGTGCGCTCTTCCTCGGAGAGGTTGGCAGCCCAGGGCGAGGCGGACGCCTGGCCAATCATGCAGCGGCATTCTTCCGGGGAAACGCACAGCCCGTACTGCAGTACCTGTGGGATAGCAGGGCGGTGTTTCTCAATCTGAGGGACTTGCAGAGGCCTGGACTTCAACTCCCAGAATCCCCCAGTTGAGCAACGTTTCCCAAGCTGAGTCTCTTTAAGAGGTCTGGACTACAACTCCCAGAATTCCTCAGTTCAACACAGTTTTTCAACCTGAGTGACTTTAAGAGGCCTGGACTTCAACTCCCAGAATTCCACAGTTAAGCAATGTTTTTCGGCCTGAGTGACTTTAAGAGGCCTGGACTACAACTCCCAGAATCCCTCAGTTCAACACAGTTTTTCAACCTGAGTAATTTTTAAGAGGCCTGGACTTCAACGCCCAGAACCCCCCAGTTCAACACAATTTTTCAACCTGAGTGACTTCAACTCCCAGAATTCCTCAGTTCAACACAGTTTTTCAGCTTGAGTAATTTTTAGAGGCCTGGACTTCAACTCCCAGAATCCCTCAGTTCAACAGGTTTTTCAACCTGAGTGACTTTTAGAGGCCTGGACTTCAACTCCCAGAATCCCTCAGTTCAACAGGTTTTCAACCTGAGTGACTTTTAAGAGGCCTGGACTACAACTCCCAGAATCCCTCAGTTCAACACAGTTTTTCAACCTGAGTGACTTGAAGAGGCCTGGACTTCAACTCCCAGAATTCCACACTTAAGTGATGTTTTTCAGCCTGACTCACTTTAAGAGGCCTGGACTTCAACTCCCAGAATCCCTCAGTTCAACAAAGTTTTTCAACCTTGGTCTCTTTAAGAGGCCTGGACTTCAACTCCCAGAATTCCCAAGCTGAACAATGTTTTTCAAACTGAGTGACTTTTAAGAGGCCTGGACGTCAACTCCCAGAATCCCCTAGTTGAGCAACATTTCCCAAGTTGGGTCTCTTTAAGAGGCCTGCACTACAACTCCCAGAATCCCCCAGTTGAACATTTCCCAAGCTGGGTTTCTTTAAGAGGCCTGGACTTCAACTCCCAGAATTCCACAGTTGAGCAACATTTCCCAATCTGGATCTCTCTAAGAGGTCTGGACTACAACTCCCAGAATTCCACAGTTGAGCAATGTTTTTCAATCTGAGTGACTTTAAGAGGCCTGGACTTCAACTCCCAGAATTCCCTAACTAAGCAACGTTTTTCAATCTGAGTGACTTTAAGAGGCCTGAACTTCAACTCCCAGAATTCCTTAACTAAGCAACGTTTTTCAATCTGAGTGACTTTAAGAGGCCTGGACTTCAACTCCCAGAATTCCACAGTTAAGCAACGTTTTTCGGCCTGAGTCACTTTAAGAGGCCTGGACTTCAACTCCCAGAATTCCACAGTTAAGCAATGTTTTTCGGCCTGAGTCACTTTAAGAGGCCTGGACTTCAACTCCCAGAATCCCCTGGTTGAACGTTTGCCAACCGGGGTCTCTTGAAGAGAGCTGGACTTCAACTCCCAGAGTTCTCCAGCCAGCGTTGCTCGCTGAAGAATTCTGGGAGTTGAAGTCCCGACCTCTTCAAGGGGCTGAGGTGGAGACAAGTCTGCTGTAGCGAAAGAGGGGCGGGGCCCTTTAGGGGGTGGGGCTTAGTGGGGGATGAAGACCCTCACCTGGCCAGGTGGGCAGATGCAGCCGGGCCGGCATTCCTCTTGCAGACACTGGGTTTCCGGGTGCAGGTCCGAGCAGGTGTACGGGCAGGTGTTGGCACAGTCGTGGTAGACTTGAGTCCCAGGGCATTCTGGGAAGGAAGGGCGGTGGGTGGGTAGAGAGACTGCCCCCAGTTGCTGGTAGCTGGGAAGACCCCCCCAAACCATAAACCCGTACTCTTCTAACCTTAAGCCCCTAAATCAGGGGGTCCCCAACCTGTAGTCTGTGGCCCAACACTGGGCCGTGGGCTGTTGGCCACTGGGCCACATGAGTGGCTGGTCAGTGCATGCGTGTGTCCTCGCTCGCAACCTCCTCTCACTAACACCGTGACGTCGTGTGGGTGCTCACATCACAGCGGGCACACATTCCTCCCACTCGCGTACCCCCTACTCCCACTAGTGTCATGGTGTCGTGCAGATGCTCATATCATGGCAAGTGCACATTCCTTCCACTCGCGCACCCTCTACTCCCGCTAGCGTCATGGCGTCGTGTGGGCACTTACATCGTGGCGGGCGCACATTCCTCCCACTCACGTACCCCCTACTCCCACTAGCATCACGGCGTCGCGTGGGTGCTCACGTCGCGGCAGGCACACATTCTTCCCACTCGCGTAGCCCCTACTCCCACTAGTGTCATGGTGTTGTGCAGATGCTTGTATTACGGCAGGTACACATTCCTTCCACTCACGCACACCCTACTCCCACTAGCGTCACGCCGTCGTGCGGGCGCTCATGTCGTGGCGGGTGCACATTCCTCTCACTCGAGTACCCCCTACTCCCACTAGTGTCACGGTGTTGTGCAGATGCTCGTATCACGGCAAGTGCACATTCCTTCCAGTCGTGCAACCCCTACTCCCACTAGTGTCACTGCGTCATGCGGGCGCTCACGTCGCGGCGGGCGCACATTCCTCCCACTTGCGTAGCCACTACTCCCCTACTCCCACTAGCGTTGCAGCGTCATGCGGGCTCACGTGTTGCAGCAAGCTACCCCCTACTCGAGCAGGGGCTCATGTCGGGGCGAGCGTACCTTCCTCCCACTTACACACCCCCTACTCCCACTAGCGTCGTGGTGTCGTACGGCGCTCACGTTGCAGCAAGCGCACATCCTAAACTCACTCTTACCCTCTCCTCAACCCTCAGCTCCTACACCTCTAATCCCCTAATCCTAACCCCCCTACCCCTACCCCACCCCTAACACTTAATCTCCTAACCTTACTTCAACCATGACCCCGTCACCCTAACTCTAGCCCCCTCACCCCTAACTGTATCTCCCCTCTCCTTATCCCTTACACCTCTTCATACCCGTAAACTCCTAATCTTGACCCTAGTCTAAACTCCGGAGTTTTCAATGAATTTTCCCTAAGGCGGCCACACGAGGGCGCTGGTCAGCCGCAGAAGCGAAAAGCGACTGTGCCGAGACAGATTGGACTCGGCTTTTTCTCCTGCAACCTGTTACGGATTTAAATTAATTTCTCATTTGCAAACGACCTCACGCCCACGGGCCACATGTGGTGTGTGTGTGTGTGTGTGTGTGTGTGTGTGTGTGTGTGTGTGTGTGACAAAATACCCAGCTCTGCTCTAACCCCTCACCCTGCCCTTTTCAACAACCGTTTCCCGGCTTGGATATATCATAGCCGGCTACCGTCTCCCGACCAGACGCAGGGGCTCACCTGGTGTGCAATTCTGCGTGTGGCAGAGCCGGTGCTGCAGGAGCGGGGAGGGGCAGGGGTCTCCCGGAGGGGACAGCGGCCGACGGTGCCTCTCGGAGACCCCGCCACCGCAGCTGGCGCTGCAGGGGCTCCAGACGGTCCAGTCGCTCAACAGGCAGCCAGCTGTGGGGAGACAGGGGGGAGGGAACGTTAGAGGGGTGACCCCCCCTTGCTGCAGCTGGAGGGGGAATCGCACCCGAAGGTGGGGGTCCGGAGCGGAAGGACCCCTCCCCTTCCAAACGGGAGGAGGTCCCTGGGGTGACCCCTCTCTTTGTTTCAGCTGGGGGGGGGAATCACCCCAAAGTTGGGGGTCCGGAGCAAGAGGGCCCCTCCCTTTTCCAAGGGGAGGAGGGTCTTTCGTCCCAAATGGGGGTCACATCCCAACATGCTTCGGGAGGGGTGAAACCATCACAGATCCTGGTCCACAGGGGTCTGGAGCCAGTCCTCGATTTACGACGTTTTGTTTAGCGACGGTCCGAAGTGACGGCGGCGCGGAAACAGCGGGTGCTTTTTCACCCTTAACGACCATCGCAGCCTTCCCCGTGCCCACAGGGGGTCACAGTCCAGAAGCCGGGCCGTTTGACTCGGAGTTACGACGCTCGCCGCGTCCCCTTTTTGCGACAAACTCCACTTGACGACTGTGAGGATTGGCTTAACTGACCGGAGGGGGGGGGAAGAAGGTCATCAAAGGGGGCAAAGCTCCCTCAGTGCGCACGTCTCGTTTAGCGACGGGAGTGGTCGTAAGTGGAGGACTGCCTGTGTTACGGGTCGGGAAAGGCCAGCTCCCCGGATGTAGGAGTCTGCAAACTCTGCAGAAGCTCCAAGAGGCAACGCTGGGCCCCTATTTTGGCAGGGCTGGGGGGCTGCCTTCCAAAATGTGGGGAGAGGACTATACCACAATAGCCCAGATGAGGAATTTTTTTTGCTTTCCTTCACCATGTTTGCCTGAGCAGGGGGTTGGACTAGATGACCTCCAAGGTCCCTTCCAATTTTATTATTACTATTATTATTACTACTATTACTACTATTACTACTATTACTATTACTATTACTACTACTACTACTACTACTACTACTACTACTACTATTAAAGAGACTAGACAGCCATTTGTCTGAAATGGTCTAGGGTTTCCTGCCTGAGCAGGGGGTTGGACTAGATGACCTCAAGGTTCCCTTCCCACTTTACTACTACTACTACTACTACTACTACTACTACTACTACTACTACTACTACTACTACTACGAAGAGACTGGACAGCCATTTGTCTGAAATGATATAGGGTTTCCTGCCTGAGCAGGGGGTTGGACTAGATGACCTCAAGGTTCCCTTCCAACTACTACTACTACTACTACTACTACTACTACTACTACTACTACTACTACTATTAGGAAGAGACTGGACAGCCATTTGTCTGAAATGATATAGGGTTTCCTGCCTGAGCAGGGGGTTGGACTAGATGACCTCCAAGGTTCCTTCCAACATTATATTACTACTACTACTACTACTACTACTAGGAAGAGACTGGACAGCCATTAGTCTGAAATGGTCTAGGGTTTCCTGCCTGAGCAGGGGGTTGGACTAGATGTCCTCAAGGTTCCCTTCCCACTTTACTACTACTACTACTACTACTACTACTACTACTACTACTACTACTACTACTATTAGGAAGAGACTGGACAGCCATTTGTCTGAAATGATATAGGGTTTCCTGCCTGAGCAGGGGGTTGGACTAGATGACCTCCAAGATTCCTTCCAACATTATATTACTACTACTACTACTACTACTACTACTACTACTACTAGGAAGAGACTGGACAGCCATTAGTCTGAAATGGTCTAGGGTTTCCTGCCTGAGCAGGGGGTTGGACTAGATGTCCTCAAGGTTCCCTTCCCACTTTACTACTACTACTACTACTACTACTACTACTACTACTACTACTACTACTACTATTAGGAAGAGACTGGACAGCCATTTGTCTGAAATGATATAGGGTTTCCTGCCTGAGCAGGGGGGGACTAGATGACCTCCAAGGTTCCTTCCAACATTATATTACTACTACTACTACTACTACTACTACTAGGAAGAGACTGGACAGCCATTAGTCTGAAATGGTCTAGGGTTTCCTGCCTGAGCAGGGGGTTGGACTAGATGTCCTCAAGGTTCCCTTCCCACTACTACTACTACTACTACTACTACTACTACTACTACTACTACTACTACTACTACTACTATTAGGAAGAGACTGGACAGCCATTTGTCTGAAATGATATAGGGTTTCCTGCCTGAGCAGGGGGTTGGACTAGATGACCTCCAAGGTTCCTTCCAACATTATATTACTACTACTACTACTACTACTACTAGGAAGAGACTGGACAGCCATTAGTCTGAAATGGTCTAGGGTTTCCTGCCTGAGCAGGGGGTTGGACTAGATGTCCTCAAGGTTCCCTTCCCACTTTATTACTACTACTACTACTACTACTACTACTACTACTACTACTACTACTACTACTACTACTACTACTACTACTATTAGGAAGAGACTGGACAGCCATTTGTCTGAAATGATATAGGGTTTCCTGCCTGAGCAGGGGGTTGGACTAGATGACCTCCAAGGTTCCTTCCAACATTATATATACTACTACTACTACTACTACTACTACTAGGAAGAGACTGGACAGCCATTAGTCTGAAATGGTCTAGGGTTTCCTGCCTGAGCAGGGGGTTGGACTAGATGTCCTCAAGGTTCCCTTCCCACTTTATTACTACTACTACTACTACTACTACTACTACTACTACTACTACTACTATTAGGAACTGGACAGCCATTAGTCTCAAATGGTATAGGGTTTCCTGCCTGAGCAGGGGGTTGGACTAGATGAGTTCTAAGGTCCCTTCCAACTTTCTTCTTCTTCTTCTTCTTCTTCTTCTTCTCCTTCTCCTTCTCCTCCTTCTCCTCCTCCTCCTCCTCCTCCTCTTTCTTCTTCTTCTTCCCCTTCCCCTTCCCGTTATTGTTATTGTTACCCGACTGAAAAAATTCAAATCACGTGCGGTCCTCAACTTCACGACCACAACTCAGCCCGACAATTTCGTCGCTAAGCAAGACAACTTGTTCAGTGAGATTTCCCCCCCCCGTCTCTTACCACCTTCCTTGCCACAGTGGGCTCGGCAAATCACCGCTGTTCCTAAGTTAGCCGCACGGACGTTAAGTGGATCCGGCTTTCCAGACGGAGTTTGCTGGTCACACCACACACACACACACACACATGCACACAAGCACCGCAACCCTCACAAATAGGAGTCGGTGGCCAAACATCCGGATTCTGAGTGCGCCGATGGTGGGGAAATGCTAGAACGCTCGTTAAGCGTGTTACACCGTTCGTGAGTGCCTCTTTTTTTCGGCGCCTTTGGTCAGTCGCTAAACGAGTCGTCGTAAGTCGGGGACTAATGTTCCCCCCCAAATGGGGTGCTTTCGGGACACTCCAGCCCCCCCCCAAAATCTCACCCGGGCAGGGCTGGGAGTTACAGCGTGCGCCTTCTTCCATGGACTCGGCTTCACAAGGCGCTCCATGGAGGCTCTCATGGCAGGTCCGGTGCCGCAGCGTGGCGCCCCCTCCGCACGTGGCCGAGCACGGACTCCATGTCGACCACTCGCCGTAAGACGGACACTTCTCCTCTGGACAGGTGAAGGAGCCGTTCTGGCAGGTGCTGGTTGGGGGACAAAAAAAAAAAAAAAACAGGCGCCCAAGACGAAGCGTGCCGTGAGGGCGCCTTGATTACTCCAAGCGGAAAATCTGGAGGGCTTCTGCCTGTCGCACCATTAACTGGGGATTGTAGTGTACAAAAAAGAAGGATTTGTGTTGCTCTTTGGGCGGAAAAACTGGACCGCCGCCCTCCTTCCCGGGAATGGATGGTCCCCCCTTTTTTTAGCACCCCAAATTTCCCCCTATAGCATAACAGAATGACGGAATGAGAGAATAGCAGAATAAGAATAACAGAATAACAGATGAGCAGAATAAAATAATAGCAGAATAACAAAAGAGCCAAATAGCAGAATAGCAGAATAACAATAACAGAATAACAGAACAACAATAACAGAATAACAGACAAGCAGATTAGCAGAATAAAAGAATAATAGAATAGCAGAATAACAATAATAGAATAACAGAACAACAATAACAGAATAACAGACAAACAGATTAGCAGAATAAAAGAATAATAGAATAGCAGAATAATAGAATAGCAGAATAACAATATTAGAATAATAGAATAGCAGAACAGAATAACAATAACAGAATGACAGAATTATAGCATAGCAAGCAGAATAATAACAGACAAGCAGATTAGCAGAATAAAAGAATAACAATAACAATAGCAGAATTACAATAACAGAATAGCAGAATTACAATAGAATAGTAGAATAACAGAATAACAATAACAGAATAGCAATAATAGAATAGCAGAGTAACAGAATAACAATAACAGAATAACAATAACAATAACAGAATAGCAGAATTACAATAGAATAGCAGAATAACAATAACAATAACAGAATAGCAGAATTACAACATAGTAGCAGAATTACAGTAGAATAGCAGAATAACAGAATAGCAGAACAACAATAATGATAACAGAATAGCAGAATAACAGAATAACAGAGTAACAATAACAGAATAGCAGAATAACAATAACAGGATAGCAGAATTACAATAACAGGATAGCAAAATAACAGAATAACAATAACAGAATAGCAGAATTACAATAACAGAATAGCAGAATTACAATAGAATAGCAGAATAACAGAATAACAATAACAGAATAGCAGAATTACAGCAGAGTAGCAGAATTACAATAGAACAGCAGAATAACAGAATAACAATAACAGAAAAGCAGAACACCAATAACGATAACAGAATAGCAGAATAACAGAGTAACAATAACAGAATAGCAGAATAACAATAACAGGATAGCAGAATAACAGAATAACAATAACAGAATAGCAGAATTACAATAACAGAATAGCAGAATTACAGCAGAGTAGCAGAATTACAATAGAACAGCAGAATAACAGAATAACAATAACAGAATAGCAGAACACCAATAACGATAACAGAATAGCAGAATAACAGAGTAACAATAACAGAATAGTAGAATAACAATAACAGGATAGCAGAATAACAGAATAACAATAACAGGATAGCAGAATAACAGAATAACAATAACAGAATAGCAGAATTACAATAACAGAATAGCAGAATTACAACAGAACAGCAGAATAACAGAATAACAATAACAGAATAGCAGAACACCAATAACGATAACAGAATAGCAGAATAACAGAGTAACAATAACAGAATAGCAGAACACCAATAACGATAACAGAATAGCAGAATAACAGAGTAACAATAACAGAATAGCAGAATAATAATAACAGGATAGCAGAATTACAATAACAGGATAGCAGAATAACAATAACAGAATAGCAGAATAACTGAATAAACGAGTAGCAGAGTAATAGAATAGCAGAATAACATTAACAGAATAACCGAATAACAGCAGGGCTGGGAGGGATCTCGGAGGTCATCTAGTCCAACCCCACCTCCTCTGCCCCCCCACTCACCAATTGTGGCAATCCAATTCCACCAGCTGCCCGGGGAGAACTTCCCAGCTGCCGTTCGCCGCGGGGAGACCACAGCGGCAGGACTGAATCGGCACACAGGCCCCGTCCTGCAGAAGCTGCCCCTCAGGACACCGGCATCCTATGGGGCGGGGCCAGGGGAAGAGAGGAGCAGAGCTCAGCCCCATGGGACCTACGCCGGGCTTGCAGTGCTGGCCGAGGCCGAACGCACGGCCAAAAATAGGAGTCTCTGGTGTGTGTCTTTGTGTGTGTGTTACCTTCCCTGCACTGTCCCTGCAGGCACTCAACGTGCTCCCAGAAATCCAGGCAGGTGCGTGGGCAGCCATTGGCACAGTTCGCATCGTACACTTTGCCCCGGTCTTCGCACGTCTCTCCTGAAGGGTGGGGTGGGGGAGAGAAGGTAGCCGGGGGGGCGGAGTTATTTCCAGGGGGGGGGCATCAGCGTTCATGCTTCGGGGAAGAGGGGACGTGGATTCCAGCCTGTCCTGACAGGGATCCCGCTGATCCTCTGGAGAGGATCTTTTGAATCCCCATAGGAGCACCTTCTGGGTGTGCGGTGGGGCGGAGCCGCGGGTTCGAATCCTGGTGGCACCCAGGATTCCCTGGGAGAGAACCCCCCCCGGCCTCATTTTACCTGGGCAAGGGGCCGCGTTGCAAGTCTCCGACTGGTATCGTAGTCCCTTGCAGCGCAGCTCTGCCTCCGGGTGGAGAGTCAGCCGTCGGCGCAGCCGGACGCCCCCGCTGCAAGGCGTGCGGCAGGGGCTCCACACCCCCCACTCGCTCCACAGGCAGAAATCTGCAAGAGACCCATAACGCTGAGCCACCAGCCCCTGGGGGGGGGCGGGGGCAATCCCACCCTCCGCACAGACCCCGAATCTCGGGTTACCTTGACAAGCCCCCGTCTCATCCGGGCAGACTCGTCGCTGGTCCAACTCGGCGGTGCAAACGCCGTCCGGACCCCTCCAAGGTTGGCCGGTCTGCGGATCGAGGCAGAGCCGGTAGCGGTGCCGCACGGAGACCTGGACCGGCGGAGAAAGCCACCAGGCCTCGGCCTGCTCCAGCAGGGCAGGGAGGACCCCGGGCCCGAGGGCCGCCAGCGGCAAGCAGTCGGAGCAGGCTGTCCAGGGCGACCAGTCGCTCAGCGGAAGCAGGCCTGAGTGTGGAAAGAGGAAGGAGGGGGTGCTTGGGCCCCCCCCTGGAGAGAAAGGGGACCCCCCCTCTTCTGCTTCCCATCCCGGACCCCGACGTCCGAGAGCAGCAAGCGGATCGCGCGCCTCTGCAGCACCCTTACCCAGTTCCTGGCGGGGTGCGCAAGGCTACCCTGCGTGGTTTCGATCAACAGCAATGGAAGGGTTCTCCCTGGCCAGGCACAGTCTATCTGAAGCCGCGTTTTCCCGGCCAAGCGGCGAGCACTTACCTTGGCAATCTTGGCTGCTGCACTGCAACTCTCCGGCTTGGCACACACTGCCGAAAGAAAGGCCGGGGGGGGGGGGCATGGAGCTGAATTATTTGGAAAGGGTTCCGAGACTTGGGGGGGCAAAGAGGGTTTGGGGGATTTGGGGGGGAGGGTCTCTCCCCGTGGTAACCTTCAGAATCACGGAAGCACCGAGTTGGTTAGTTGCTGGTTCCTGTAGCTATGCTGGCTGGGGGATTCTGGGAGTTGAAGGTCACCAAGGTCGACAAACGCCGGGCTCGGCTATTGAGATGGTGTAGAAATGGGCCCTTTTGTGACTTGTGGGACTTCAACTCCCAGAATTCCTCAGCCAGGATACTTTAAGACAGGGATCTTCAAACTTGGCCCTTGTATGACTTGGGGACTTCAACTCCCAGAATTCCTCAGCCAGCGTGCCTGGCTGAGGAATTCTGGGAGGGATCTTCAAACTTGGCCCTTGTATGACTTGGGGACTTCAACTCCCAGAATTCCTCACCCAGCGTGCCCGGCTGAGGAATTCTGGGAGCCGAAGTCCACAAGTCAGAAAAGTTTGAAGACCTCTGGTGTAGAATCCCAATCGTTGGGCCAATGACATCCTGCTTTGACCAGTCGGGAAGGATCAACCTTCAGCTATGGTTCCCGGAGCCTTAGGGACTAGAAACTTGGTTTGGCCCTTTGACGAGGGAAATCTCAGAGTCCTGTTTGCTGCTGTAAAAGGAGAAGGACAAGATTCTTCCGGGGTTCCTCTCTTCCCTGTGATTTTGAGATTCGTTCACTTCCCAAAACAAAGCAACGCCCTTCCCCGTCGCTCCGACGGAAAACCGAGACTCACCATTTCTTGCAGCCAATCAGGACGGCTTCCCCGGCCGCCACAAACGCGGGCCCCGTGGCCTGGTGGGGGTGGAGGCAAGCGCACTGCGCGGGGGGCACGCAGGATCCCCTCTGCTCCAACAGACCCGTTGGGGGACACACACAAAGAGGGGGGGTTCCAGAGACAGCTCCTTCTGGGACCCCCTCTTTGGCTGTACAGGAAGTCCTTGACTTATAACAATTCGTTTAGTGACCGTTCGCAGTTACAACGGTACTGGAAAAAAGGGACTTAGAACCGTTTTCTTCACACGTACGACCGTCGTGATCGCGTGATCAAAATTCGGGCAACAGGTTCGTACAAGAAGTCCTTGACTTACCACGTTCGTTTAGTGACCGTTCGCAGTTACAACGGTATTGAAAAAAGGAGACTTAGGACCGTTTTTTTTTCACACGTACGACCGTCGCTGCGTGCCCACGGTCACGCGATCAAAATTCACAGGCTTGGCAACTGACTCATATTTGCTCCGGTCGCAGTGTCCTGGGAGGGGTCCACACGATCCCCTTTTGCGACCCGGGGGAAGCCAGATCCGCTTAACGACCGAGTGACTAGTTTTAACAGCCGTAGGGATTCCCTGAACAAGACGGGTCGTCCAATTGGGGCAAAAAACTCGCTTAACGACGGTCTCATTTAGCGACGAAAAATTGTGGTTGTAAAACGAGGACTTCTTGCACTCAGCCAGAGCACGCCCCTGAGCGTGAGCAGAGTGGCGGCCCGCCCCGCTTCCATACGGCTATCCCGTGTGGGGACGGAGAAATACTCGGTTGGCCCTCTTCCACGAGTCCCCCCCCAGCCGGTGGCGGGCGGCTATTCCACAGGTCGGGCCTTTCCCACGCCTCACCTGAGGGCAGTAACAGCCGGGTAGGCAGCGTGGAATGTCCTCGCATAACTCCGGGCGCTTTCGGGTGGAGCAGTGGCTGTCGCAGGGGGAGCCACACGCCCGGAATTCAAAGGGGGGATTACAGGTGGATTCTGGAAAAAGGCACAAGAAGAAGGCAGCTCAAACCTTTGACGGACATCCTTCCGGAGCACCGTTCTCTGGAGCCGGGAGGGCGCCTGACGAGGAGACAAATTCTAGGCCAGAAACCAGCTGACGGAGAGTTCTGGTTCTGCCTTCAGTACAAAAAGCTGCTTGGGTGACTTGGGGCCAATCGCCAGGCGACTGGGAGTTGTAGTCCCGCCTCAGGCAGGAAAACAGTTGGGTGACTTTGGGCCAATCGCCAGGAGACTGGGAGTTCTAGTCCCACCTCAGGCAGGAAAGCCACTGGGTGACTTTGGGCCAATCGCCAGGCGACTGGGAGTTCTAGTCCCGCCTCAGGCAGGAAAGCCACTGGGTGACTTTGGGCCAATCGCCAGGCGACTGGGAGTTGTAGTCCCGCCTCAGGCAGGAAAGCCACTGGGTGACTTTGGGCCAATTGCCAGGCGACTGGGAGTTCTAGTCCCGCCTTAGGCCGGAAAGCCACTGGGTGACTTTGGGCCAATCGCCAGGAAACTGGGAGTTCTAGTCCCGCCTCAGGCAGGAAAACCACTGGGTGACTTTGGGCCAATCGCTAGGAGACTGGGAGTTCTAGTCCCGCCTCAGGCAGGAAAACCAGTTGGGTGACTTTGGGCCAATCGCCAGGCGACTGGGAGTTCTAGTCCCGCCTCAGGCAGGGAAACCACTGGGCTAACCACCAGGAGGAACGGGTTGTGGTGATGCACGGCCTCACCTGAACACTGGGAGTAATTGCACATCCGGAATTGTCCATCCAGTCCCAGGCACGGCTCCCGGTCAGTTTCCCAGCCTTGCTGGTTCCTGTAGCGCTGCTGCACCAGGAAGCTGCAGGAGCAGTGAGTCCAGGGGGTCCAAGGACTCCAGGGACAATCTGGAGGAGAGGCAGGAAGGGGAGGATGGGCACCCAGTGGGGTGGAAGGGGCGGTTGCGCGAGAGGAACGAGCGGCAGGGTGATAAGAGAGCAACCTTGGGATCGGGAAGCAAAAAGGGACTGAAATGAACCACCATTTGTCCGGAATGTCATCGGGTCTAGAAGACCTCTGAGGTCCCTTCCAATCGGTGGGCTTTCATCTGAGGAGGCTAATTGGAGGCTAATTCTACACCACCTTCTCCAAGTACGGACGCTCTTTCGTGGCGGAGATTTTCTGCCGCTGCTCCCTCTCTTACGACCCTAGAACAGGGGCGTCTGATCTTTAAGACCTGCGGACTTCCCGTCCCAGAATTCCCCTCCCCAGCCAGCAGGAATTCTGGGAAGCGAAGTCCGCAAGAAACCTGCCAAGGGTGGACACCCCTGCTGTAGAAGATCCAAGCTCGCCCCAAGAAGGAGGTCCCATCAGGATCACACCTACCCCCTGTGGATCTCAACCTGAATTCCCAGAATCCACGGCAATTCCCATCATCCACAGCCAGTAGGCATGGAACCAGGATAGCCGGGTGCTGCCGTACAACTGGGCAGCTCTTTGACTGTGGTGGGGCAGGCGGGCGGGAGGGAGGCTCCAGGGAAGATGGAGAGCCAGTGGGTCTTTGCGTAGAGAGGGTGGGGGACCGTAGCGCAGAATTAGAATTAGGACCCGTCCTGCCAATCAGGAGCCTAAAAGCCGAGTTCCCCAACCTTTCCAGGCGGGAAGGTGGGGAAAGAAGGGATGATTTTGTGGGAGGGGCAGGCAGGGGCGCGTGCACGCGCATATGTGCACACAAACACCCGTTGCTCGTACGCGTGGGCTGAGCCCCCGTGACACACAAGTGAGGCCCCGAGCGTCTGCGCTGCTCACGTGAGCGGGGTCGTGCATGCATGCACACACGTGCACACCAGCCAGCCACTCACACAGCCCAGTTGCAAATGAGCCACAAACCGTTAGTGGGCTGTGGCTCGCAGGTTGGAGACCCTTGTCTTAGAGGATACCCCAACCCTCCCGCAAGAAATTCCACCCCATCCCAAATCCGGAGCGATTCATTTTCCTTACCTCTGCAGGCCTGCAAGTAACATGCCTCCGTCTCCCGGGGAGGGCTGTGCTGGGTGCAAGGATCTCCCTGAGCGCCCGCCGAAGACGTGGGGCAAACACAGCTCCTGGTACGTGAGGTCAGTCCGGTGCCACAGGACTGCGAGCACGGGCTCCATGCAGACCAGGGGCACAGCTGATCTTCTGCATGAAAATGGGGAGGGGTACAAAGGAACGGAATTGGAGAAAGCGCCACCGCCAAGTCGCCACGGTCAACTCACGGTGGCCAACTCACCACGGCCAAGTCACCACGGCCAACTCATGGCATCTGACTTGCCATGGCCAAGTCACCATGGCCAACTCACAGCAGGCAAGTCACCACGGCCAACTCATTACGGCCAACTAGCCACGGCCAACTTGCGGCAGGACAACTGGCTGCAGGACGATTCCACCACTAAAAAAGTTACTGTATATGCTGGTGTATAAGGCAACTTCCGCGAGCGCTAAAATCGGCGCCAAAGACGGGGGTCGTCTTATACGCCGAGTCGTCTTATACGCCGGAAATATTGGTAGTTTCCAGCATATAAGACGACGTTCTAGGAATGTGGCCCGGCGGTAAAGACGGGGGTCATCTTATACGCCGGCATATACGGTAACCAAATTTCGACGGAAACGTGGCCAACAACAATAAAACAAAAGAAGCCAATCCAGAAGCACCAGGGTTCCAATACCTTTGACGAAAACGTAATCCCCAATAATAAAAGTCACGGAATGAAACGATTAATACAGCGTTGAGTTGTCCCACAGCTGGTTGGCCTCAGGGAGTCGGCTGTGGCGAATTGTACTTGACCAGTGATGGTGACCTTTTTAGAGACCGAGTGCCCCAAAACTGCCCCGCCTCCACCCCGCCAACCCGCAGGGCCACCCACCACCTCCACGGCCCGCCGCAGATCGCCCAGGCAGCCCTGCAGCGCCATGGCAGCTACACCCTCTGCCTGCGCCCCACAGCACCATCTGCACACGACGGGGCATGAGAGCGGAGTCTTGTCCCCACTGCCGGGCTGTCATATCTTTGGCTGCGCGGCTCGGCACGGGAGGCTGCTGGTGAGGAGGGGACCATGAGGGGAGGCGGTGCACGTGCCCACAGAGAGGGCTCTGAGTGCCGCCTCTGGCACGGGTGCCAGAAGTTCGCCACCACCGCTGCAGGCCAACTTGCCCCAGGGCAATTCAACCAATTAAAAAGTGAACTGAATTTCCGCGGAACGGCGGCCTGTAATAATGAAACAAAGGACGCCGATCCAGAGTCCCGATAATTTTGACGGAGACGTGATCGTCAGTGATAAAAGTGACGCAGTGGTTCTCAACCTGTGGGTCGGGACCCCATTTGGGGTCGCACGGCCATTTCACAGGGGTCGCCAAACAAGGCTGTCCGCCATTTTTTTCCCCCTTTTCTTTGGCCAGGCCCCTGGCACCCGGTGATATACAAGTGCTTGGGGGTCACCACAACATGGGGAACTGTATTATGGGGTCGCGGCATTAGAAAGGTTGAGAACCGCTGAAGTAACGGAACGAAACGATTCAACACAGCGTTGAGTTGTCCCGCGCCACAGTCAGCCACGGCGAGTTGGCTGTGGCGAATTGTCCTAGACCAGGGGCGGGGAACCCTGCCCCTTTTGAGGACTCGTGGACTTCAACTCCCAGAATTCCTGAGCTCAGGAATTCTGGGAGTTGAAGTCCACGAGTCCTAAAAGAGCCAAGGTTCCCCACCCCTGTCCTGGACCAACAAAGGAGAGGCTGGCAATTGCGCGCTGCTGCTCATCAATTCCCCTGCACGCTGCAGGATTTACCCCACTCTGAGATGTAACTCCTGATAACGGGGACTGAAACTGAGTTGCTTTAAAAGTGGTGTACTTACTACACCATAGTAATAGTAGTAAAGTTGGAAGGGACCTTGGAGGTCATCTAGTCCAACCCCCTGCCCAGGCAGGAAACCCTACACCATTTCGGACAAATGGCTGTCCAGTCTCTTCTTCAAAACTTCCAGTGTTGGAGCATTCACTGCTTCTGGAGGCAAGGAGTTCCACTGGTTAATTGTTCTCACTGTCAGGAAGTTTCTCCTTAGTTCCAGGTTGCTTCTCTCCTGGATTAGTTTCCACCCGTTGCTTCTTGTCCTGCCTTCAGGTGCTTTGGAGAATAGCTTAATTCCCTCTTCTTTGGGGCAGGCCCTGAGATATTGGAATACTGCTATCATGTCCCCCCTTGTCCTTCTCTTCGTTAAATTAGACATACCCAGTTCTAGCAACCGTTCCTTATATGTTTTAGCCTCCAGTCCCCTAATTATCTTTGTTGCTCTTCTCTGTACTCTTTCTAGAGTCTCAACATCTTTTTTACATCGTGGTGACCAAAACTGGATGCCGTATTCCAAGTGTGGCCTTACCAAGGCATTGTAGAGTGGCATTAATACTTCACGTGATCTTGATTCTATCCCTCTGTTAATGCAGCCTAGCACTGTGTTGGCCTTTTTGGCAGCTGCGGCACATGGCTGGCTCCTATTTAGGGGATTGCCTACTAGGACTCCGAGGTCCCTCTCACAGTTACTACTATTGAGCATGGTGCCATCTATGCTGTACTTGTGCATTTGTTTTTTTTCTTGCCTAAATGTAGAACCTTGCTTTTTTCACCCTTGGATTTCATTTTGTTAGTTAGTGCCCAGTGTTCAAGTCTGTCCAGATGCTAACGTAAATACTCCTGGGAATTTGTAACTGCCCACTGGTCTCCCCAAAGGGCCCTGTGGATCCCTTACCTGGGCAGGATTGGGTGGAGCAGTTCTGGGTCTGGCTGTCGTGGCCCTCACAGGGCAAGCCTTGGTTGCGTGGTGGCGGGTTAATGCAGGCGCGAGTTCGGATCTGGACACTGCCGCCGCAGGTCACTGGACAGTCGGACCAGGGGGACCACGGAGTCCATCCGCCGTGCACTGCCAGGAAGAAAAGGAGGAAGGAAGGAAGGAAGGAAGGAAGGAAGGAAGGAAGGAAGGAAGGAAGGAAGGAAGGAAGGAAGGGAGAGAGGGACACAGCAGAGGAAGGAAGGAAAAAAGCAAGCAAGGAAGGAGAAGAAGAAAAGAAAGACAAAACGACACAGAGCAGAAGGAGGGAGGGAGGAAGGAAGGGAGGGAGGGACATAGAGCAGAGGAAGGGAGGGAGGGACACCGAGCACAGAAAGGAAGGAAGGAAGGAAGGGACACAGGAAGGAAGGAAGGAAAGAAAGAAGGAAGGAAGGAAGGAAGGAAGGAAGGAAGGAAGGAAGGAAGGAAGGAACAATCAATTGCTGGATCTCACAGCTACATCTGAGAATGAACTAAGCTACCATTTTCCACAAGGTGCAGGTAGTCCTCGACTTACGACCACCATTGAGCCCAAAATTTCCACGGCTAAAGGAGACCGTCGTTAAGTGAGTTTTGCCCCATTTTACAACCATTCTCGCCGCCGTTGTTAAGCGAAGCCCTTAAGGAAGGTTGTGACGGCTTCCCCAGGGATTTGGCTTGTCAGAAAGTCACAAAAGCGGATCGGGTTGGGCCTCCCAGAACACTGCGACCGTCATAAATATGAGTCAGTGTCCAAGCACCCAAATGTTGGTCCCGCGACCATGGGGACGCTTCAGTGGTGATACGTCTGAAAAACGGTCCTAAGTCCCTTTTTCCAGTGCTGTTTGTAACTTCGAACAGTCACTAGATGATCTGTCGTAAGTTGAGGACCTCCTGTGTAATTGATAAGTGCTGCAAATAGTTGCTTTAGTTTGGCAAGATTCTGTCTATAGGTGAAGAAGGATAAAGGCATATGTGTGCATGTGCACGATAACCTGTTGCTCGTGCAGGTGGGGCCACAAACACCTGCAACTCTCACAGCAATGCTCGCACGACTTGGGCCACAAACGCCTGCAACGCTCATGGTGATGTTGATGTGAATAGGGATGCGAACACTCGCGACACTTGCAACGATGCTCGCGCGAGTCGCGCCACAACCACCTGCAATATTCATGGAGATGCTCGCACGGGTGGGGCTGCGAACGCCTGTGACGCTCGCGGTGAAGCATGCGCAAATGGTGCTGCAGATGCCTGCGATGCTCAGGTGAGTTGGACCACAAACACCTGCGACGCTCGTGGTGACGTTTGCATGAATAGGGCTGCAAACACCACACAACACTTGCAACAATGCTCGTGCGAGTTGGGCCACAAACACCTGCAACATTCATGGTGATGTTCGCACAAATGAGGCTGTGAACGCCTGTGATGCTCGCGCAAATGCTGCTGTGAATGCCTGCGAGGCTCAGGCAAGTTGGACCACAAACGCCTGCGACGCTCGTGGTGATGTTCACACGAATAGGGCTGTGAACACCCGCGATGTTTGCAACAATGCTCGTGCGAGTTGGGCCACAAACACCTGCAACATTCATGGCGATGTTCGCACGAATGGGGTTGTGAACACCCATGACGCTCAAGGTGAAGCTTGCGCAAATGGTGCTGCAGATGCCTGCGATGCTCAGGTGAGTTGGACCACAAACACCTGCGATGCTCGTGGTGACGTTTGCATGAATAGGGCTGCGAACACCCACAATGCTTGCAACGATGCTCGCGTAAGTTGGGCTACAACCAACTGCAACATTCATGGAGATGTTCGCACGAATGGGGCTGTGAACACCTGTGACGCTCGCGCAAATGGTGCTGTGAACGCCTGCGAGGCTCAGGCGAGTTGGACCACAAACGTCTGCGATGCTCGTAGTGATGTTCTCACGAATGGGGCTGCAAACACCCATGACGCTCACGACGATGCTTGCATGCATGGACCCGTGAATGCCCACAATGCTTGTGGCAACATTCATGGAAGTAGGGCTGTGCGCACACGCACGCACTAGCCAGCCGCTCACAGAGCCCAGTGGCCAATTCTTGGGTTCTGACGAGTTGGTTGTAATATATTTCCTTTCTATCTCACAAGACCAAAGACCCCAACTGACATTCATTCAGCTTTGTATGACACCACCTACCGGTTAAACTGTACTAGGAAAATAAACTCACCTGCACAGGTAATGTCCAGGCAGTAGATGCCCTCTGGAGTACAAATGCTGGAGGAGACAGAGATAAGTGCATCAGCAAATTTGCCCTGGAACCTCTCCCTATAGCTGCAGCTACGTCAGGAGACCCCCCCGCAAACTCGGTATCCCTGCATGCAAGGCCCTTCCATCTAGGACAGAATTCCCCAAATGTTCAGGGTTGGCAGCCCAGAGGGGAAAGAAGGGATCATTTTGTGGGGTGGTGAAAGCATACATGTGCGTGTGCATGCGTATGAACACCCGTTGCTCATGTGAGCGCTCGCAAGTGAGGCCACGAATGCCCGCGACGCTTACGGTGACGCGTGTGAGCGGGACCGCGAAGGCCCACGACAATCCTCACGTCAGTAGGGCGGTGTGTGCTCGTGGCCAGCCGCACACACCGCCCGGTAGCCCACAGGTTGGGGAACCCCTGATCTAGGGCAGTGGTTCTCAACCTGTGGGTCGGGACCCCATTTGGGGTCGAACGACCATTTCACGGGGGTCGCCAAACAATGCAGTCCACCATCCCCCCCCTTTTCCTTAGCTGTGCTGCTCCCTCTTATTCTATTGGCTTTTGAAAGCCAATGGAATAGACTCTAGTCACTGAAGCAATAGGTGTGAACTTAAATGGACTCCAGAAGATGGTAGAGGACAGGAAGACCTGGAGGAACATTGTCCATGGGGTCGCGATGGGTCGGACACGACTTCGCAATTAACAACAACAACAAAAGAATAGACTCTCTTGAATAGAGTCTAACGCTATTGGCTTTCCGAAAGCCAATCGGAATCGTCCAGGCTGTCTCTGCCCTGCTGAGCCCGCCAAGAGTCCCAGTCTGCAAACGGTGCTGCACCAGGTGAGTAGCCCTCGACTTACGACCGGTTGAGTAGTCCTCGACTTATGACCGGTTGGGGGTCGCGGCATTAAAAAGGTTGAGAACCCCTGATCTAGGATATGACCCAGCTTCCTGTGGAGGGCAAGGGGTGGAGGGCGGGTCACTCACCACTGCTGGCACTCTCCGAAGAGCCAGGTGCTACCCAGGCTGGTCTCCCGGCCTTCGTGCAGGCAGAGAGGCGGGCAGGGGTCCAAGGCACAGGGGTGGGTCTGCACCTGCTCCTCCAGACACTCGGGAGCCCAGGAGCCGGAGGTGGGGGTCCTGCGTAGGGAGGTGGAGAGAGGGTTGCAAACTGTCTTGTAAGCCCTGAAAACCCTACATCCGGCCTGGCCAATTGCAGACCCAGCCATCCCGCTGCCTCTACGCTCCGATCTACGACAGCGCCCCCTATAAATTCTCCGCTCCCGGTCTGGGATCCTTGGGATTCATCCTTCTCTTCCTCCACGAAGAGTTTCAGCACTACGCTTCGGTTACGTACTACAGTTCTCAGCTTGGGCAGCGCTCCACTTACAACTGGTTGCTTAGAGAGCATTTGAAGTTATGATCGACCTCCCCCAAAAGCAGTTACAACCTGGTTCTAATAGGTGGCCCTGTCCCCCCCCCAGGGTCGTGTGATTGCCTTTTGGGAGCTATAATAATAATAATAATAATAATAGTAAAGTTGGAAGGGACCTTGGAGGTCATCTAGTCCAACCCCCTGCTCAGGCAGGAAACCCTACACCATTTCGGACAAATGGCTGTCCAGTCTCTTCTTAAAAACTTCCAGTGTTGGAGCATTTACTGCTTCTGGACCTGCATTTCAAGCTGTTTGCAGCATCCCGGGGTCACATGATTGCAATTTACATAATTTTTGCCCCCCCCAAAACCCGGTGTTTATTTCCGTTCCTTGGCAAAAACACTTCATAGTGAACAATGGGGTTCGCTTAATGACATGGTGTTCGCTTAATGACTACTGCAAAAAGACGTTTCTGACATCCGGTCAGACAATTTACAATTCTGGCAACTTCGCCCCTCTTGTTTCACTAAATATTTTTAAAGAGTACCGATAGTCTTCTTTAACAAGATGTATTGTTAAATAAATACTGCCAAATAAATCTTGTTAAAGAACACCGATAGTCTTCTTTAACAAGATTTATTGTTAAATAAATATTGCCAATCTCGTTAAAGAATACCAATAGTCTTCTTTAACAAGATTTATTGTTAGATAAATATTGCCAAATAAATCTCGTTAAAGAACACCGATAGTCTTTTTTAATAAGACTTTTATTGTTAAATAAATATTGCCAAATAAATCTTGTTAAAGAATACTGATAGTCTTTTTTAACAAGATTTATTGTTAAATAAATATTGCCAAATAAATCTCGTTAAAGAATACCGATAGTCTTTTTTAATAAGATTTTTATTGTTAAATAAATATTGCCAAATAAATCTTGTTAAAGAATACTGATAGTCTTTTTTAACAAGATTTATTGTTAAATAAATATTGCCAATCTCATTAAAGAATACCGATAGTCTTCTTTAACAAGATTTATTGTTAAATAAATATTGCCAAATAAATCTTGTTAAAGAATATCGATAGTCTTCTTTAAGAAGATTTATTGTTAAATAAATATTGCCAAATAAATCTTGTTAAAGAATCCCGATAGTCTTCTTTAACAAGATTTATTGTTAAATAAATATTGCCAAATAAATCTCGTTAAAGAATACCGATAGTCTTCTTTAACAAGATTTATGGAGCCAAAAGGCTGGATTCTCAAGGATTCCAGCAACTGAAAGTCTTTCCAATTTACAAATCGTTTATGACCGTATACTTTGGGGTGGGGGCTTTCCCGTTGTCTTCTTAAACAGCTGTCCTAAGATCTGGCGAGGACCCGGACTTTCTCGCCGGGGAGACGGAGGACTAGAAGCGCCGGATCGCATCATGTCTCTTGAACCTCTTTTCCGCGTGGGAATCAACTCTCGAAGAGCCGGCTCCCTTCCTGCCTTTCAGGGTGTGGCCCTCAATGAGAAAGATATGTAGCCCCAAATTCTGGTCCTCCACCCAGAGGCAAACTTTGCCCATGGCGGCCTGGCTCCAGCCTTACCTGAAGCGAGTACGCAGCCCATTTCCACAGGTGATGCTACACTGGGACCAGCTGGACCAGAGGCTCCAGGCGCATTCAGTGGGCGGGCAGGTGTAATTGGTGCAGACAAGCTTCCCGCCAGCAGCACAGGTGCAGTTATTGCAGCCGTCGTCGTACTGGCTGCCCGGTGCCCAGCTGTGTCCCTGGGTGTCGGTGCACTCACAGTGGGCGAGAGGAACGCAGCTGCCATCTTGCTCCAACGTACCTACGGGAGGAAGCCAGGTGAGCAAGGAAGGTGTCTCTGGATCTAGGCCCGAATTGGCCTCGATGGCGTGGTTACCTGGCTAGGTAACATCATCAGCGCTGGGGGTGGGGGGTGGGGGTTGCCGCCCATTTAGAGTTGGTCCTGCCAGTTTTGGAGAGGATTGGATTCTCCACTTGATTATTGTTTTCTGCTTCATAGTTTGTCTGGTGTTAAACCCTGCTTATCTCTGTGTTGGCCGTTGGTGGGGATGTACTGTGAGCTTTCCGTTTCCTTCCCCGGTTTTCATTGAATCGTTCAATGGTGTGTAAACGTGGTTTATCTCCATGGATCCGTTGACGGCCGATTTATCCGAGTGCCCGTCTTCCGGGATAAGCAGGGATTCCCGCCAGACGAACAATCAATCAGAAAACGGTACTTTAACCAAGGAGAAAACCTTCACCCCCAACAACTCAACAACTGTACAGGCAGCCCTCGACTTACGACCAAAATTTATGTCACTAAGTGGAACATTTGTTAAGTGCCCAATTGTACGACTTGTCTGGTAAGTGAATTATTGCGTTTGTCAAGTTAAGTGAATCTGGCTTCCCGTTGGCTTTGTGAGAAGGTCGCCAAAGCGTGTCACCCAATTCCAGGACGCTGCGACCGTCATAAATATGAGTCAGTTGGCAAGCGTCCAAATTTCGATCACGTGATCATGGTGTGGGAGATGAAAATATAGCTCCCTTCTCATATCATAAGGTAGGGCTAGAACAGGGGTAGGCAACCTTGGCTCTTTTATGACTCGTGGACTTCAACTCCCAGAATTCCTGAGCCAGCATGGCTCAGCTTAGAAACCTCTCCCTTCCCCTCAGCATGGCTGGCTCAGGAATTCTGGGAGTTGAAGTCCACGAGTCATAAAAGAGCCACGGTTGCCTACCCCTGGGCTAGAACAAAACCTGAAGCGGGCCCCCACAGAAGTGATTGGAAGCTTTAACGTGAATTTATGCTGTTTCCCAACAAGGACGCATTATTTGGAATCTGCTGAGCTTTGCGCAATGTAAATGGCAAAGTAGGTAGTTCTACATATATATTTGGAACTTCAGTATTTTACCCGTGAGAAAAGAGGAAGCGAAAGTAGCAAACGTACAAAAGTTTCAGATGGGAACTGTCGTTGCAAAGTAAGAAGTATGAGTTGGGTGGTCGGTGGGCAGAAAAGTATAAAAATGTCGGTTTAAGTCTGGCTCGGGGCCCTTGGCCGATAGCTGTCCCTTTGGAATCTGCTATGCCACGTGGTCCTCATTGCACTGGGTTGTCAAGGTAAGTGATGTTATGTTGTTATACTATGTTCCAAATTACTAGAAAAATAAACCTCTGACTCTTAAAGTAAGAACGATTGTTTTGTGTTGACGTCTCTTGTCTTTTCAATTGGGTTTTCCCACGGCAATGGGAATGCTGCAGGTGTGAAAAACGGTCGTACGTCCGTTTTTTCGGCGCCATTGTAACTTCGAACGGTCACTAAATGACCCGTTGTAAGTCGAGGGACTACCTGTACATAAACAGGAGCAAACCCCGGGGACCCGCCAACGCCTCCTCACCGTCGGGACAACGACAGCCCGGCTCGCAGGCCTCCTTCTCCTGGCACACAATGCCTTCCTGGAGGTCCCAGCAATGGCGGGGGCACCGGTTGGCACACCCCACCCAGTGCATCATGGGTGGGCAAGTCTCCTCTGCGGAAAGAGAGCGTTTATTACCAGCAGAAGTCTCGGAAAAGCAGGAGGAACCGACCAGATTGTGACCCCATTGAAAAGAGGGTCCATTTGACCGGAATGGGAGGGTGAACTAAAACAGAGTTCCCCAACCTTTCTGGGTTGGTGGCCCGTAGGGTGGGGAGGGTGGGAAGAAGGGATGGTTTTGTGGGAGAGGCATGTACGGGTGTGCACCAGGACCTGTTGCTCATGCGAGTGAGGCCGAGAGCAGCTGTGACGCTCGCACGAGTGAGACCCTGAGCGCTCGTGATGATCACGTGAGCGGGGTCACACCTGCGACGCTCACATGAAGCCCTGAGTGCTCGTGATGATCGCGTGAACGGGGTCGCGCCTGCGACGCTCATGTGAGGCGCTGAGCATTCGTGATGATCATGTGAACGGGGTTGCGCCAGCGGTGCTCACGTGAGTGAGGCCTTGAGAGCTCGTGATGATCATGTGAACAGGGTCGCCCCTGCGACGCTCACGTGAGGCCCATGATGTTCATGCGAATGGGACCGTGAGTGTCTGCAACGCTCACGCAAGTAAGGCCCCAAGTGCTTGTGCGAGCGACACCTCTTACACGCGTGAGGCTGTGCGCATCCACGACTCTCACGCTAGTTGGTCCATGAGTACGAGTGGGGCTGTGCGCGTGGCTTGCTTGCAAATAGGCCACAGACTGGTAGAGGGACGCAGCCCACATGTTGGGGACCCCTGGACTAGGAGACCCTCAACGTCCCTCCCAGCCCAATGGTTCTGTGTTCTATGTCCAGCGGGTACCACCGCCCTTCCTTCCCTCCACGTACCGCAGGGCTGCGGGTTGCAGACCCGCACGTGATACTTCTCGCCAGGGCAGTGGCGCCCTCCATTCTTGGGAGGTGGGCTGGTGCAAGTCCTCGTTCGGGCGGAGCGCCCCCCACCACAGGTCCGGTCGCACCACGACCAGGGACTCCACTTAGACCAGACTCCGTCCACTGCAGCAGAGACACAAAGCAGGGAAGAGTAACCCCGGCCCCCGTTTAGTTATGGGTCAGCTTCGGGGCTGTTCTCTCCCTCTCTTCCCCACCTCCCCCCACCTTTCATTGTCCAAGAGAGGGCTTTTTTCACACAATTCCCCTGCGGTACTCCATGCCACAAGAACAATCGCATGCGGATAAAAGCACAGAAGGGTGGTTTTTTTTCTGTTTCTTGCCGGAGCTTTGCGAGTGAAGCCTCTTCGGACCCCCGCCTTCATCGAAGTCCCCGGGGTCGGAGACATCCAAGGCCCCAACACCTACCTTTGCACGCCGGCAGGTTGCAGAAACGCCTCTCCAGGTTGGCAGTCAGGATGTCTTGGCACCACTGCCCACCTTGCCCCGGCGGGTGGTAGGTCCGCAGGCGCTGCTGCTGGCCGACCCCGCAGCTGCGGGAACACTCGCTCCAAGGGGACCACGGGTTCCAGGTACAGTTCAGCCCAAGGCACTCCTTGCCCTCGCATACGGGGGTCTCTGGAGGGGGGGGTACCAGGGAGAGAAAGGAAATCTGGGCACTCCTTGGAGGGGGCTCAAGGAAAAAGTCCAACCATGGGGAGGGGCCTTTGGCCTGCTTGGACTTTCCAAGGCTGCCGTGGTGAGGTTGTTAAGGGAATTTCTCTTGCCCCTCCCCCCTTGACTTGGCTTATCTGAAGTTCACCTGTGCACTGGGGCAAGTTGCACTCTCGTTCTTGCAACGTGTCTCCCACACAGCCGCTTCCTCCCAGGCAAAACCGCTGCCGGGTCTTGAGGGCAGGGAGGTCGGGATCGCTGCAGGTCTTGGAGCAGGGTGTCCAGGGGGACCAGGGAGTCAGGCCGCCATCCTCGGCCCCTGCCATGTTGGGGGAGAAAAGGCCAACCACGTCAGCAGAGTCGCCGGGGCTGAGTTCCGTTCCATCCCGTCACTCTCCGGAAAAAGGACCGAGCGTGGGCAGGCCCAGAGCTCACCTGGGGTTGCCGGGACTGGTGCCGTTGTGGGGTGGGTCAATTCTGCAACACAAAATACAAAGCAGAGGGAGGTTAACAGATGTCCTTCATCATCAACGTCGTCATTATCATGTCTTACGCAGAGCAAATTGTGCAGCAAGCATTCTCCAGCAGTTGTGATCGTTCGCAGCGTCTTCGGTTTTGATCGCTCGCAGCGTCTTCTGTTTCGATCGTTTGTGTCTTCGGTTTTGACCGTTCGCAGCATCTTCAGTTTTGATCGTTTGCGTCATCTTCGGTTTTGATCGTCTTCAGTTTTGATCGTTCGCAGCATGTTCGGTTTTGATCGTCTTCAGTTTTTGATCGTTCACAGTGTCTTCGGTTTTGATCATTTGCAGTGTCGGCAGCGCCTTCGGTTTTGATCGTCCGCAGTGTCTTCAGTTTTGATCATTCACAGCATCTTTGGCTTTGATCATTCGCATCATCTTCGGTTTTGATCATTCACAATGTCTTTGGTTTTGATCGTTCGCATTGTGTTCGGTTTTGATCGTTCGCAGCCTCTTCGGTTTTGATCGTTCACAGCGTCTTCGGTTTTGATTGTTCGCAGCGTCTTCGGTTTTGATCATTCACATCGTCTTCGGTTTTGATCGTTCGCAGCATCTTCGGTTTTGATCTTTCTCATCATCTTCAGTTTTGATTGTTCGCAGCATCTTCGGTTTTGATCTTCTTCAGTTTTGATCGTTCGGTTTTGATCATTTGCAGTGTCCGCAGCGCCTTCGGTTTTGATCGTCCGCAGCGTCTTCGGTTATGATCACTTGCAGCGTCTTTGGTTTTGATTGTTCACAGCATCTTTGGCTTTGATCATTCGCATCATCTTCGGTTTTGATCATTCACAATGTCTTTGGTTTTGATCGTTCGCATTGTGTTCGGTTTTGATTGTTCGCAGCCTCTTCGGTTTTGATCGTTCGCAGTGTCTTCGGTTTTGATTGGTCTCATCGTCTTCGGTTTTGATCGGTCGCAGCGTCTTCAGTTTTGATAGTTCGCAGCATCTTCGGTTTTAATTGTTCGCAGTGTCTCTGGTTTTGATCATTTACAGCATCTCCTGTTTTGATCATTTGCGGCGTCTTCAGTTTTGATCGCTTGTAGCATCTTCGCCATCGTCTCAAAGGTCATTAATCTTCTGAAGATCTAACTTAAGTGTTTGATGCCAAGTTTTCCAAGGCCAGCCTTGTTTCGTCTGTGCAATTTTTAGATACCAATCTAGGCATAGTTAAGATATGCCCAACAAGCCGCATTCAAAGTTTATGTATTGTCTAAGATCCGTGAAGATCGCAGATGTCAGGGGCAGGAAATTTGAGCATTTGATTGTCTGGAAAATAAGGTTATTATTATTGTTTATCTTTTGTTTTCTCTCTCTTGCTGTCCTCATTTGCTTGTTGCCTGGGGAATTCTGGGAATTGGTCCACACTTCTTGAAGTTGTCAAGATTGAGACATACTGGCATAGTGGAGTAAGAATAACAAAATAACAGAGTTGGAAGGGACCTGGGAGGTCATCTAGTCCAGGGCTTTTCAACCTTTTCACCCATTGTACCACTTTTAGGATATGGCAACATCTGAGGACCACCAGTCGCCTAGCAAGGTGTCAAAAACTTGATGACCCCCCCCCCAAAGGAAAAAAGTGATAAAGTACAAGTAGTCCTCGACTTACAACAGTTTGCTTAGTGACTGTTCAAAGTTACAGTTAATTCTCCTCACCGATAGGAAGTTTCTCCTTAATTCCAGGTCGATGTAGAATATGTTATTGAACAGGGGTCCCCAACTCCCAGTCTACTGGGACTGTGCCACGGCAAAGTTGGAAACTGGGCCGTGGATGAGCAATGTACAAGCACACGTACATTTGTACAAGCGGCGTGCGCGCACGCGCGCACACAACCGTCTCATCTCCCTCCCACCGTCCCTGACACTGCCGCCACCACCTCCCTTACCGGTTCGCAGAGCAGGAAATGTTGAAGACCAGTGCTGTAAAATATGCTCCACTAAAATAGCTAGCTTGCTATGCGCTGTTGTGTAGGGTTTGGGGCACCAGGGACCGGTTCCATGGCGGGAGGTTTTTCCGTGGACCGGAGGGATAGTATGGTTTTGTGTGCTGGGGATGTCTAGTTTAATGAAGAGAAGGACAAGGGGGGACAGGATAGCCGTGTTCCAGTATCTCAGGGGCTGCTACAAAGAAGAGGGAGTCAAGCTCTTCTCCAAAGCGCCCGAAGGCAGGACAAGAAGCAACGGATGGAAAATGATCAAGGAGAGAAGCAACCAAGAACTAAGGAGAAACTTCCTGACCATTAGAACAATTAACCGGTGGAACCACCTGCCTCCAGAAGCGGTGAATGCTCCAACACTGGAGGTTTTGAAGAAGAGACTGGACAGCCATTTGTCTGAAACGGTGTAGGGTTTCCTGTCTGAGCAGGGGGTTGGACTAGATGACCTCCAAGGTCCCTTCCAACTTTATTATTGTTGTTGTTGTTGCTGCTGCTGCTCCTCACCTTTGCAATCCAGGGTTTGGCAGTATTTGATGTCCACCCGAGGGCCAACACAGTCCTTCCCCCCGTGGGCAGGCTTCGGACGGGCGCAGTTGCGTGTCCTAGTCATGTTGCCCAGCCCGCCGCAGGTCAAGGAGCAGGGCGACCAGGGGGTCCATGCCGCAAAACCTCCATCCACGGGGCAGAGGGAGAACACGCAATCCAGCTGGCCGTTGCGACAGGAGCTGAAGGGAGGGGAGGAAAGAGGAGGGGGGCGTCAGGGGGCATCTGCCCAGATGTGCCTAGAGCAGTGGTTCTCAACCTGTGGGTCGGGACCCCATTTGGGGTCGAACGACCATTTCACGGGGGTCGCCAAACAACGCAGTCCGCCATTTTTTCCCCCTTTTCCTTAGCTGTGCTCCTCCCTTTTATTCTATTGGCTTTTAAAAGCCAATAGAATAGACTCTCTTGAAGAGAGTCTAATTCTATTGGCTTTCCAAAGCCAATAGGAATGGTCCAGGCTGTCTCTGCCCTGCTGAGCCCGCCAAAAGTCCCAGTCTGCAAACGGTGCTGCACCAGTTGAGTAGTCCTCGACTTACGACCGGTTGGGGGTCGCAGCATTAAAAAGGTTGAGAACCACTGGCCTAGAGAACTTAGATCTGGGAGTACAGGAAAACGCTCATCTTACGACCACACTGGAGCCCGACATTTCTGTTGCTAAGAGAGACAGTTTTGATCCCGTGACCGCCGGGGTGCTGCAACAATCGTAAACGTGAAAAACGACCATCGTTTTTCACAGCTGGGGTAACTTTGAACGATCACTAAATGAATGGCTGTAAGTTGAGGACGACAAGGGAAGGTGAAGGGTGGATAGCCTTTGATTGACAACCACGGGGGGGGGGCTGAGTTTCAGCCCTTTTCGGGTGCAGCTTGGTGGTGGGCAGATCAAAGCACACACACACACACACACACACACACACACACACACAGAATGGCTGCAGGGAGTCCTTGACTTACGACAGTTTGTTTAGTGACCGTTCAAAGGTACGCCGGCATTGAAAAAGTGACGTATGAGCATGTCTTTCACACTTGGTCACAGGATCGAAATTCGAACCATCGGCAACCGGTTCACACAGGAAATCCTCGACTTACGATGGTTTGTGTAGGGACCGTTCCAAGTGACAACTCTCCCCCCCCCCTAAAAAAGGGGCTCCGGAACATCTTTCACACCTAAGACCGTTGCAGCGTCCCCCACAGTCACGTGACCAAATTGAGATGCTTCGCAACCGGCCCATACGGATGACGGTCGCGGCGTCCCCGGGTGTGTGTCACGTGATCCTCTTCGGTGACCTTCTGACAAGCGACGTCTACGGGGAAGCCAGGTTCCCTTAACCAGGTTAGCGACTTCATCGACTGCCGGGGGACGCGCTTGAGAACCGCGAGGAGGAAGGTCGTAAAACGGGACCAAACCCCCACGTCGACCATTGTCTCGTTTAGCGGTAGAAATGGTGGGCTCCGCTGTGATCGTTACGTCGAGGATGACTTATCTTCTCTCCCCCCCCCCCAAAAGGAGGCGCCGGCTTCAGGAAATCTTCTCCTTCCTCCCTCCAGCGGACAGGAACCGAACCCCATTTTTAGAGGGGGGGGTCAAACTCACCAGTTGCTGCAGGCGGCAGAGATGGTGCCGTTGGGCGCCACTTCTTCTCCTGGGGAGACCCGTCGGCCTTGAGCAGTCAGGATGAGCAGAGGCGTGTCGGCGGTCTCGTCCGAGTGTTTCCGGAATCCCTGCAGAACCTCCTCGCTCAGGACACAGGGGCACTCCTGGGGCAGGAAGAGAGAAGCAGAGGAGGGGGGGCGTGGGCGTCCCTGGGGAAAAGACTTGGGGGCAGGGAGTCAAGCAAGCTGGGCTCCATCGTGGCTTAAGAGCGGGCTCGGCGCTAGACTGACTTGCCTACGGAGGCTTCCAATCGTGGACCCTTCCAGTGCTCACCGACGGCGAAATGGGTCTCGCAGAAGTAGTCTGCGTGCACCCCCCACCCCGGGAAGGTCTCCAGAGGGGAACCACAGCGCGATACTGGGGGGGGGTTCCTCGCTGCTCTCTGAGCTGGGTGGTTTTCTTGCAGATGTTTCACGGCCCAAGTAGGTAGGTCGTTAGTGCTGGAAAGAAGGGGGTCTGCAGGGAGGAGGGAGGAGGAGGAGGAAGGACTGTGGGGTCCTGGGTGCTCTCTGAGCTGGGTGGTTTCCTTGCAGACATTTCATGACCCCAACTAGGGAACGTCATTAGGGCTAGAAGAGAGAGGGGGGGGGTTGTGGAGGAAAAGAGAGTGGAAGAGGAGGAGGACAACTGTGGGGTCCTTGGTGCTCTCTGAGCTGGGTGGTTGTCTTGCAGATGTTGGGAAGAGAGTCTGCAGGGAGGAGGGAGGAGGAGGAGGAAGAGGAGGAGGAGAGAAGAAGAAGAAGAACTGTGGGGTCCTTGATGCTCTCTGAGCTGGGTGGTTTCCTTGCAGGCGTTTCATCACCCAACTAGGGAACGTCATCAGGGCTAGAAGAGAGAGGGGGGTTTGTGGAGTGGAGGAAAGGAGAGTGGAGGAGGAGGAGGAGGAGGAGGAGGAGGGAAGAAGAAGAAGAACTGTGGGGTCCTCGGTGCTCTCTGAGCTGGGTGGTTTCCTTGCAGACGTTTCATCACCCAACTAGGGAACGTCATCAGGGCTAGAAGAGAGAGGGGGGTTTGTGGAGTGGAGGAAAGGAGAGTGGAGGAGGAGGAGGAGGAGGAGGAGGAGGAGGAGGAGGAGGAGGAGGAGGAGAAAAGAAGAAGAAGAACTGGGGAGGTCCTTGGTGTTCTCTGTGCTGGGTGGTTTCCTCTCCAACGTTTCATGACCCCAACTAGGGAACAGCATCAGTGCTAGAAGGGAGGGATGTGTGGAGAGGAGGAGGAGGAGGAAGAAGGACTGTGGGGATCCTCCGTGCTCTCCAATCTTGGGGGTTTCCTCTCCGACGTTTCATGACCCCAACTAGGGAACGGCATCAGTGCTAGAAGGGAGGGGTGTGTGGAGAGGAGGAGGAGGAAGAAGAGGAGGAGGAGGAGCAGAACTGTGGGGTCCTTGGTGCTCTCTGAGCTGGGTGGTTCTCTTGCAGACGTTGGGAAGGGAGTCTGCATGGAGGAGGGAGCAGGAGGAGGAGGAGGAGGAGGGGAAGAGGAGGAGGAGGAGAGAAGAAGAAGAAGAACTGGGGAGGTCCTTGGTGTTTTCTGAGCTGGGTGGTTTTCTCGCAGACGTTTCATGACCCCAACTAGGCAACGTCATCAGGGCTAGAAGGGAGTGGAGTTTGTGGAGTGGAGGAAAGGAGAGAGGAGGAGGAGGATAACTGTGGGGTCCTTGGTGCTCTCTGAGTTGGGTAGTTTTTTTTGCAGAGATGACCCAACTAAGTAACATCATGGTGCTAGAAGGAGTGAGGTTTGCATTGCATATAAATAGACAGCAACCTCCTCCTCCCTTCTAGCACTGATAGGGTTACCTAGCTGGGTCGTGAAACGTCTGCAAGGAAACCACCCAGCTCGGAGAGCACCCAAGACCCCACAGTCCTTCTCCCCTCCTTCTTCTCTTCCTCCACCTCTCTGCAATCCTCACGCCTTTCTACCACTGACAATGTTATTTAGTTGGGTCGTGAAACGTCTGCAAGAAAACTACTCAGCTCGGAGAGCATCCAGGGCCCCAGAGTTCAACCCGGAGCTACAAAGTGCGGAGCTACAAAGTGCTCCTCAACATCTTCATCAACAATCTGGACGAAGGGATAGATGGGGAACTCATCAAATTTGCAGGCGACACCAAGCTGGCAGGAATAGCCAACCCTCCAGAAGTTACAGGCTTAAGATACAGGAGGATCTGGACAGACTCGAACACTGGGCACTAACTAACAAAATGAAATTCAAGGGTGAAAAAAGCAAGGTTCTACATTTAGGCAAGAAAAACCAAATGCACAAGTACAGCATAGGTGGCACCATGCTCAATAGTAGTAACTGTGAGAGGGACCTCGGAGTCCTAGTAGACAATCCCCTAAATAGGAGCCAGCCGTGTGCCGCAGCTGCCAAAAAGGCCAACACAGTGCTAGGCTGCATTAACAGAGGGATAGAATCAAGATCACGTAAAGTATTAATACCACTTTACAAGGCCTTGGTGAGGCCACACTTGGAATACGGCATCCAGTTTTGGTCACCACGATGTAAAAAAGATGCTGAGACTCTAGAAAGAGTGCAGAGAAGAGCAACAAAGAAGATTAGGGGACTGGAGGCTAAAACATACAAGGAAAGGCTGCTGGAATTGAGTATGTCTAGTTTAACGAAGAGAAGGACGAGGGGGACAGTATAGCTGTGTTCAGTATCTGAGGGGCTGCCCCAAAGAAGAGGGAGTCAAGCTATTCTCCAAAGTCCCCCGAAGGCAGGACAAGAAGCAACAGATGGAAACTAAGCAAGGAGAGAAGCAACCTAGAACTAAGGAGAAACTTCCTGACCGTGAGAACAATTAACCAGTGGAACTCCTTGCCTCCAGAAGCTCTGAATGCTCCAACACTGGAGGTTTCGAAGAAGAGACTGGACAGCCATTTGTCCGAAACGGTCTAGGGTTTTCTGCCTGAGCAGGGGTTGGACTAGATGACCTCCAAGGTCCCTTCCAAGGGACCCAGATTGTTGTGGGCAATGTAAATATATATATATATATATATATATATATATATATATATATATATATTATATATATACATTGCTTACTGGTGTACACCGCTTAGAGAGTGCTTGCACTTAAAGCGGTATATAAGTCTCATAAATAAATAAAATAAATAAACTTTACTACTACTACTATTATTATTAAGTCTGATATTTTCCCAGGTATCTCTACACAGGACTCAGGATAGCCCCGCAGTAGGACCCCCAAAGCTGCCTCTATCTTCTCTGAGCCCATGCACCCTTGAGGTGTCCATAACCTTGCAGACTGTGCCTCGCCAAGCTGTTATCTTACTCTGCCGTACACACATACCCCCCCCCCGAATATCCAGGGTACACTCACAGCATCACCAGCCTCTGAACTGCCCCAAAGCACCCAATACACAGAAGTGCCAACCTGGACGCAGGCCCCCTTGTGCTGGTAGGTGCCCGCTGGGCAGTGGCACCCTTCCTCGCAGCCATCCGAGAAACAGTCCATCTGGTGGGTGAGATGCGCGCAGCTGTAGGGACACCCCTCTTCAGCCAGGCATTCCCGGTAGAGGCGCCCCACAGGGCAGCCCACCTCTGAAAGGGGGAAGGGGGTAGATTAGCACCCAGAGCCCGCCATCTGCTCCAGAGGCTCCCAGCTGGATGAGGAGCCCCCCCCCGCAGTTTATAGGGAGAGGTCCTTTCTACATTTCAGTGCCTTGTCCTGCTCCGAGTGCAGCTGTCCCAGTTTGGATGCCCGGAAAACAGAACCGGCAAAAAACGAGCCAATGCTGGAGCTTGTGTGATTGGAACGTGAGAAACGGACCCCCTGCTCAGTCAACAGGCGTGTTGACTTACCGCCAGCCTATCCAACGCGTAGAAATACTTGCGGTTGTGGGCAGGGTTTGCTAGGGTTCTGAGTTATGGGGGGGGGGAGTCACGAGGGCATGTGCGAAGGAGGCCGGGCCACAAGGAAGTCGGTCGGGCGTTGCCTCCCCCCAGCGGGGACTCACCGAGACAAACGTGCGTGTTGCAGGTCTTGCTTTGCGAGGACAGACCCCGGCAATCCGGCTGGCGACAATGTCGGCTGCGCAGCTGCTCGCCCCCTCCGCAAGAGACACTGCAGGGGGACCAGCCGGTCCAAGGGTCCCAGATTTCCGCCTCTGGAATGGGCAAGGAAAAAGGAGGATGGGGTCGGAGGACCTCCTGGCAGACAGCAGCGGTCGATGTTGAGCCCCCTTCCGTGGTCAGTGTTTGAGGCAGGGTCCTGGAGACCAGCTGCCCCCCCTGGGCTGTGGGTTTTGAAGGGACAAGCCAGCTGACTCCATCTTTGCAAGGCTGGCTGTGTCTGGACACCCTGTTGCCCGCTAGTCAGCAAGCCTGGGAATGTGATAAGCTCCTCCCCCGGAAGACATTTGCATAGGGGAGTCTTGTGGGGGGGGAGTTTTCTCAGACCTAGAGAAAGACACACGAGTGAGCAAAGGTCGGCAACACGCTAGCTTTCTCTATGCCAGCGGTTCTCAACCTGTGGGTAGGGACCCCATTTGGGGTCGAACGACCATTTCACGGGGGTCGCCAAACAACGCAGTCTGTCATTTCCCCCCCTTTTCCTTAGCTGTGCTACTCCCTTTTATTCTATTGGCTTTTGAAAGCCAATAGAATAGATTCTCTTGAATAGAGTCTCATTCTATTGGCTTTCAAAAGCCAATAGGAATTGTCCAGGCTGTCTGGAATTGCCCTGCTGAGCCCGCCAAAAGTCCCATTCTGCAAACGGTGCTGCGAGTTGTCTGCAGCGAAGGCGAGCTGGCTGGAAGCTTCCACCCCTCCCTGCTGAGCAACTACTAAAAATGGAAGGAAAAGAGGGCCAGGGGTGGGAGGTGGGAGGCCGGCGGGCGCAGGGAGGGTTGCTGGCGCGCATGGGGCCCGGCAGGTGCCTTACCTCCCTTGGGCTGGGCCAGCTGGTGGCCCAGCCGGTGGTCGCCCTGCGCCGTCGCTGCCCCTTGCCAGCTATGCCTTGGCCGGTGCAGGGGGCGGCACCACGCATGTGCGGCACTCCCGGGCAGGGAAAGTCCTTGACTTACGACCGGTTGGGTAGTCCTTGACTTATGACCGGTTGAATAGTCCTCGACTTACAACCAGTTGGGGGTCACGGCATTAAAAAGGTTGAGAACCACTGCTCTATGCAAAAGGCTACTACAGGGTAGGAGCGTTGCTCAATCTCGGCCATTTTAAGCTGCGTGGACTTCAACTCCCAGAATTCTGCAGGCCGGGGAATTGAATTCTGGGGGTTGAAGTCCCACCCGTCTTGAAGTCACCAAGATCAGAAAACGTGGCAATAGGGATTTGCCCTCGATTGACGGGAGAATTTCCATTTGCTGAACAAGATGCTGGTTCGGTGAACGGCGTCTGATTTTGATGACGTTTTTTTGGTGCCATGGTTGTTAAACGAATCGTCGCAGTTGTTAAGCCACTCAGGGGGCTGTTAAGTAACTTTGGCTCCCCCTCCCCTGTGGGTTTTGCTTGCCAGAGGTCACAAAAAAGGGGATCGCGTGACCCCGGGATGTTGCAACTGTCATAATTACATGGCTGGGTTCTGATAATGTGTCCTTGAGGATTCTGTGATGGTCATAAGTGCGAGGACTGGTTCTAAGTCCCTTTTTTGAGTGTCGTTGTAACTTCAAACATCCACTAAACAGACACGAATGAATGTGTCGCGGGATAATGTTGCAGGATCCAATCTGGGTTGGTCACCGAGGATCATCTTCCGAGCTTCCGGACCCGTACCGGAGTCCATCTTCATGGAACGTCTCTCTAGTAGAGTGTGTGTGTTGTTCTTTGTGTGGTATTTATAGTGCTTGTGGTGAGTGGCTCTTACAACGGAGACCCGAACTCATTGGTAAACCTCACACTGCAACGAACAAGGACGTGCGTTCAACATTGGCAGAAATTAAGATTGTTGGCCGAGAAGGTACAAAAACAGCCGGGGAAATGATTGAAACCTGGGAAACAAGGAGTGCTGATTTACCACCAGCCTATCAGATACTTAGAAATACTTGTGCTTGTGGGCAGCACGAGCGGCACGATAGCCAAGGACTGAAAAGTCAGCCCTCAACGCACCCCCAATCAACCACTAAAAAGCCGCACACGACAGGCACCGTGGAAATACCACGGACCGAACAGAACACACTCGGCGTGAATCCAAAAGCTCAGAAGTCCTGGTGACCGACCCAGATTGAATCCTACAACAACTGTAAGTCGAGGACTGTCCGTTTCCACTCCTACGGGACCGGTCCAAACTCACCTGGACACTCTTCCCGATTCAGACAGGGTCTCTGCTGCTCGCCGCCCCCCGCACACCCCCGGCCTCCGTTCTGCGGGGATGGGTTGCTGCATTCCCGGAAGCGGTACTGGACACCCTCGCCGCAGCTCTGGCTGCAGGGAGACCATCGTCCCCAGCTGGACCATCCGCCATCTAGGCGGCACCAGGAATCCGCCCGGCACTGCAGCTGCCCGTCTGCGCAGGTGCTGAGGAAGGGAGACGCCGGATCAGCGATTTTTGCTTTCGGAGAAACGGCACATCCGGCAACTTTCTGTCGTCGTACACTCACCAGTTCTGGCAGGGTGCGTAGATGGTCTCTCCCGGCTGGGCGTATTCCCACACGGGGAGCCCCAACCAGGAGGAGAGATTCTGGTCTTCGGGGGCGCCTGTGTGCAAGAGGCGTGCGTGTCAGGTCCAGAAGCGCCGACAACGGCGAGCGGAGTTGCTTTATTGCGGCGTGCCTACAGACTGAATCTTGCCGGATAAAAGCAAGGGCCTGCTACTATAGCTATAGATATACCCAGTCAACTAATCAAGGCGAAGCTTGGGAGAGAGAAAGAGGAGGATGGCGGGGTCCTGGGTGCTCTCTGAGCTGGGGGGGGGTTTTCCTTGCAGACGTTTCAGGACCCAACTAGGGAACGTCATCCATACTGGAAGGGAGGGGGGGTTTGATCTCTGTTTATATGCAGTCCCTTTTAGCTCTGTTGATATTACCTAGTTGGGTCATGAGACATCTGCAAGGAAACCACCCAGCTCAGAGAGCACTGAGGACCCAGTCTTCTTCTTCTTCTTCCTCCTCCTCCTCCTCTCCACACAACCCTCCCTTCTAACACTGATGATGTTCCCTAGTTGGGTCATGAAACATTTGCAAAAAACCCCAACAAAAATCAGAGAGCACCAAGAACCCCATAGTTCTTTTCCTCCTCCCCCTCCTCCTCCTCCTCCTCCTCCTCCTCCTCCTCCTCCTCCTCCTCCTCCTCCACCTCCTCCTCCTCCTCTTTCTCCTCCTCTTTGCACTGATCATGTTTCCTAGTTTCAGAAAGAAAGAAAGAAAGAAAGGAAGGAAGGAAGGAAGGAAGGAAGGAAGGAAGGAAGGAAGGAAGGAAGGAAGGAAGGATTCTATACACATTCCTTGTGCATCCAATTATACTTGGCCAATTTAGAAAGAAGGAAAGAAAGAAAGAAGGAAAGAAAGAAAGAAAGAAAGAAAGAAGGAAGGAAGGAAGGAAGAAAGGAAGGAAGGAAGGAAGGATTCTATACAAATTCCTTGTGCATCCAATTACACTTGGCCAATAAAGAAAAAGAAAAAGGAAAGAAAGAAAAAAGGAAGGAAAGAAGAGAAAAGAAAGAAAGGAAGGAAGGATTCTATACAAATTCCTTGTGCCTCCAATTACACTTGGCCAATAAGAAAAAAGGAAAGAAAGAAAGAAAGAAAGAAAGAAAGAAAGAAAGAAAGAAGGAAAGAAAGAAAGAAGGATTCCGTACAAATTGCTTCTGCATCTAATTACACTTGGCCAATAAAGAAAAAGAAAGAAAGAAAGAAAGAAAGAAAGAAAGAAAGAAAGAAAGAAAGAAAGAAAGAAAAAGAAAGGAAGAGAGGAAGGGAGGAAGGAAGGATTCTGTACAAATTGCCTGTGCATCTAATTACACTTGGCCAATAAAGAAAAAGAAAGAAGGAAAGAAAGAAAGAAAAAAGGTAGCAAAGAAGAGAAAAGAAAGAAGAAAAGAAAGAAAGAAGGAAGGAAGGAAAGAAGAGAAAAGAAAGAAAGAAAGAAAGAAAGAAAGATTCCGTACAAATTGCTTGTGCATCTAATTACACTTGGCCAGTAAAGAAAAAGAAAGAAAGAAAGAAAGAAAGAAAGAAAAAGAAAGGAAGGAAGGAAGGAAGGAAGGAAGGAAGGAAGGATTCTGTACAAATTGCTTGTGTGTTTAATTACTTTTGGCCAATAAAGAAAAAGAAAGAAGGAAGGAAAGAACAGAAAAGAAAAAAAGAAAGAAGGCAGGAAGGAAGGAAGGAAGGAAGGAAGGAAGGAAGGAAGGAAGGAAGGAAGGAAGGAAGGAAGGAAGGATTCCGTACAAATTGCCTGTGCATCTAATTACACTTGGCCAATAAAGAAAAAGAAAGAAGGAAAGAAAGAAAGAAAAAAGATAGCAAAGGAGAGAAAAGAAAGAAGGAAAGAAAGAAAGAAAGAAAAAAGGAAGGAAAGAAGAGAAAAGAAAGAAAGAAAGAAAGAAAGAAAGAAAGAAAGAAAGAAAGAAAGAAAACAATAAAACTCACAGAGCACCTTCCCTCCGTGAACCGCTAGGGAAGGTCCGACTTTACTCCCTTCCTACCCACCAGACACTCCAAGCTGTGCTGCCTCTTGGTCAGCCCGGATCAAGACTACGTTCCATTTCTAGGGAGATGAGAGGGCTGGGGGGCATTGACCCCACTGCTCTGGTGACACCCCCAAATCTCCCCCAAAGTGCCCCCCCTCACCAGAGGGCCTTGTAAACTGGAAGCTCAGATGGGGAGGGGTCTTGGTCGTCCCCCTGCCTGCTCGCCAAAGAGGCTCGCTGTGTGTGCCGCCCTCTTTCTCCGCGCCTCCGTCGCGCGCTTGCTGAAAAGCAGGCCCCCTCCTTTTCCGAGGGCATCTAGACTCACCCAGCCAGGGCATCTGGTACTTGCAGCGGCACTGGGAGGGAGCCACGCACGCCCCGTCCTGGAGCAGCTGCCCATCCAGGCAAGCGCAAGCGAGTTGGCAGCCAGGGCTTTCCAAACACGCAGTGTCCGGCTGATGGTCCTCGCAGGTACGTGGGCACGGCTTGCCACACGGGAAAGGCACCTGGCCGCCTCCACAATCTGGGGGGGGGGAGACCGGAGAAATTACTCGTACCAAAACTCCTGTGCGCTCCTCCGGGGTCTTCCCCAACCCACCTCCTTGCGCCGGAGTGGTCCGGGAGGATTCCCGATCCATGCGACAAACGCTGGAGGCCAGAGTTCCCCAAATTTTCCAGCTTTGCGGAACAGCCTGGGGGCAGAGGGGCGGGTTCCGCACAAGCGGCCGGCGAGCAGGCCCACGTGCGTGGCGCCGTTTGCACAAGCGTCGGGCAGGTGTGCCCATGTGCATGGCACCGTTTGTGCAAGAGGGGGCAGGCGTGGCCCCGTGCGGGGCGCCGTTTGTGCAAGCGGTGGGCAGGCGTGCGTGGTGCTGTTTGTGCAAGTGGCGGGCAGGCGTGTCCACGTGCGCGGCGCCGTTTGTGCAAGCGGGGGGCAGGCGTGCCCACATGCGCAGCACCGTTTGTGCAAGCGGCGGGTAGGCGTGCGTGGTGCTGTTTGTGCAAGTGGCTGGCAGGCGTGCCCATGTGCGCGGCACTTCTGCGAGCAGCAGGCAGCTGTGCCCGCCGCTTGCACAAATGGAGTGCGTGCAAAGGCGCCCGTCTGCTCCTCACGCCAGTGGGGATGCGCACGTGCATGTGTTCACCGCGTGCGCGGGTGCCTGTGCTCACCTGCTGCTTCCGTGGTCTGGTTTCAAATGGTTCAATGACTGGTAGTGGGCTGTGGCTCGGGGGATTGTGGACCCCTGGTTTACATTCTCTACACTGTGAAACGTCAGCAACTTTTCCCAAAGTTCCTCACGCCAAGGGAGATTGGACCACCATTTTCCCAGAATGACACAGGCAGGGTCTCCTGCTTGAGCAGGAGGTTAGACTAGAAGACCTCCAAGGTCCCTTCCAATTCTGTGATTCTCTTAAGCAAGACGAGCAGCTGGCAAGCGAAAGCTGAGCTGGACATGGGGAGGGGGACTGCATCGACGCATCCCTGGGGGTCCCTTGCTCTGCACCCTTATTCCTCCTGTGCGCCCGGCCTTCCCACCTCGGTTCAGTGGAGCAGCCCTGTTTATACAGGTAGTCCTCGACTTACGACGGTTCGTTCAGTGACTGAAATTACAACGGCACTGAAAAAAGGGACTTCTGACTGCTTTTCGCAGTTTTTATGACCGTCGCAGCTTCCCCATGGTCACGCGAACGAAAATTCAGTCGCTTGGCAACCGACTCGTATTTATGATGGTCGCAGTGTCCCGGGATCCCTTTTTGCGACCTTCCGAACGAGCAAAGTCAATGGGGGGAAGCCCGATTCACTTAACAACCATGTTCCTTGTTTAACAATGGTGGCAAGAAAGGTCCAAAAAATGGGGCACCACTCCCCTTAACGAATGTCTCACTGAACAACCAAAATTGGGGAAGGGCTCAGTCACAGTCATACGCCGAGGACTAGCAGTATTGACGAAGTCCAGCTGGCCGTTTGCTTGCCGTATTCCTGTTTACAGGGCATCGGGTGCAAAGGCGCTATGTTTCTCTCCTAATTCCTCCACACAGCATGGCATTCCGGGACTCCTGTCTTTCTTCCCCCCACCCTCCCGGATGTGTTGTGATTCCTTGCCAGCCAGTGGACCCGGCAGCTGAGTCGGAGGACTCAGAGGACTCAGTGGAGGGGCCTGGAGAGACAGCAGAGTCAGAGGAAGGCTCTGAGGAGCTCCAAGACTTACGGTAGGACGAGGAGCCTGGCCCCTCTACTCGCGCTCAGTCTGAGACACAGCTGTGCTGGGAGCCTGAGTTGGACGGTGATGAAGAACAGCTGGGACAAATCACGGATACATGAATGCGCAGGCAAGAGAAGCGAGTAGGACAGAGGAATGCAATGGGGCGGCTCCAAAGGCAAAGGAGAAGGCATTAGGAAGCCACGCTTTGACTGAACTATAAAAGGGAAGGTGTGGGAGGTGCTGGTGGCCGAAGGCAATCGTTTGTATTGAGGATGTGTGAACTGTGAACTCTGTTTTGTTTGCCTTGGACACTGACTCAGGTCTGTGAATAATAAAAGGTGATTGGTTCTTTCCTGCGGTCCCTTGCTTGTCGGATGAGGGGTTTCTCCTTGTGAGCTTAACAAGGACTCGCGTAGGCGGGGACAGAACAGGATGCTCCTTCTCACCCTCACAGGCAGTGACTCCATCGTGGCACTGACGGCTTTGCTGAGCTTCGCCGGGACACGCCGTACCGCCAAACCGAGCGGGGGGATTGTTGCACTCCCTGATCCTCGTTGACACGCCCCGGCAGGCGTCGCAGGCAGACCAGTCGCTCCACGAGGACCAGCCGCCATTGACTGCAGAGGGCGAAACACCAGGAGGCATGGTCGATAAAGCCACCGAGGCCGGAGCTCCGCCCCCCCCCCTCAATATCCACTGGTCGTCCTCCTTTAGTGACCGTTCACAGTGACGACAGAGCCCCTTGGCGAGCAATGAGTGCCTTTGCCACCTCTGCAGGTCTGCAAAGCGACGGAGAGCTAAACTAAGGTCGTCAGCCTACTTGGCGATGGCTCGGCTTAGCGGCGGCTTCGCTGAACGACCAAGTGGTCAATTCGTCGTGGTTGCTAAAGGAGGAGTATGCATATTGAAACATTTTCAGTGTTTCTATCCAGAGGGGCCTCAACAGACATGGAAATTGGGTTGGGTGCAGCAAAGTTCAGTTTGGGTCTCGGGGTTAAGGCGCCAGGTTAGAAACTGTGAGTTCTAGTCCTGCTTTAGACATGAAAGCTACCTGCATGACTTTGGGCCAATCGTCAGGAGACAGTGAGTTCTAGTCCTGCCTTAGGCATGAAAGCCGACTTTAGGCCAATCCCCAGGAGACGGAGAGTTCTAGTTCCGCCTTAGGCATGAAAGCCAGCTGGGTGACTTTGGGCCAATCCCCAGGAGACAGAGAGTTCTAGTCCCACCTTAGGCACGAAAGCCGGCTGGGTGACTTTGGGCCAATCACCAGGAGATGGGGAATTCTAGTCCCGCCTTAGGCATGAAAGCCAGCTGGGTGACTTTGGGCCAATTGCCAGGAGACAGAGAGTTCTAGTCCCGCCTTAGGCATGAAAACAGGCTGGGTGGCTTCGGACTAGTTGCTCCCGCTTGGTCCAAGCCACCTCATAGAGTCGTTGTTATGGGGAAATAAGAAGAGGAAAGAATATTAGATATGTTCACCGCCTTGATTTCTTTATTAAAAGTTATAAGGGCAGGATATAAATAAATAAATAAATAAATAAATAAATAAATAAATAAATAAATAAATAAATGTAAAAAAAAAAACATGCATAACATGTTTTAAATACCAGAATTTTACAGGGGTCCCTAATACCCCAAACATCATAGATTTGGCTCTCTCTCTCTCTTTTTTTTTTGCAAAGCAACCCCTCTGGTGGGAAGGGGAGGGGTCTACATCCTCCCCGGGAGCTGAGTTCAAAACCACGCCCTCCTCCAGGGCAAGACTCTCACCTGGGCAAAAACTGGCGACAGGACACTCTCTTCTCTGCAGCTGGACCCCGCTGTCTCCGTGGTATTCCTGAGCCCCCTCGCACTCGCCACCCCCGTGCTGGGGCTTGGGGCAGCTGCAGGTCCGGTAACGGGTCACCAACTCGCTGCCGCAAGTCCGGGAACAGGGACTCCACGCAGCCCAGTCGCACCAGTTGCCCGGCACTGGAGGAACATCAAAAGAGTTCTGCGTTCTTCATCTGACTTATCCCAGAATTGAGGACAAGGGTTCAAGCCTCGAACTAGCTTCTCTGTCCCCCCAAAAAATCCAGAACTTGGGGTTCTTGGCCTCTGGGAAGGAGGCTGGAAGAGGTCTGGATGAAGGTAAGCCTTACACACCTCCAGCACTGCTTCTCTGAATGCTGGGACAAAAACTGTCCTCCCAGCTACGTTCTGTTCTGCCCTCCCAGCTATTTCCCACTATGTCCTCCCAGCTACGTTCCGCTCTGCCCTCCCAGCTACGTTCCGTTCTGTCCTCCCAGCTATGTTCCGCTCCACCCTCCCAGCTACGTTCCGCTCCGTTCTCCCAGCTCTGTTCCACTCTGTCCTCCCAGCTACGTTCCACTCCACCCTCCCAGCTACGTTCCGCTCCGTCCTCCCAGCTATGTTCTGCTCCATCCTCCCAGCTACGTTCCGCTCCATCCTCCCAGCTATGTTCCGCTCTGTCCTCCCAGCTCCGTTCCGCTCTGTCCTCCCTGCTACGTTCCACTTTGTCTTCCCAGCTACGTTCCGCTCCATCCTGCCAGCTCCGTTCCGCTCCGTCCTCACAGCTACGTTCCGCTCCATCCTCCCAGCTCTGTTCCACTCTGTCCTCCCAGCTATGTTCCGCTCCATCCTCCCAGCTACGTTCCGCTCCGTCCTCCCAGCTATGTTCCGCTCCATCTTCCCAGCTGTGTTCCGCTCCATCCTCCCAGCTCCATTCTGCTCCCTCCTCCCAGCTACGTTCTGCTCCCTCCTCCCAGGTACGTTCCGCTCCATCCTCCCAGCTACGTTCCGCTCCATCCTCCCAGTTACGTTCCACTCCATCCTCCCAGCTATGTTCTGCTTCGTCCTCCCAGCTACATTCCACTCCGTCCTCCCAGCTCCGTTCTGCTCTGTCCTCCCTGCTACGTTCCGCTCCGTCCTCCCAGCTATGTTCCGCTCCATCTTCCCAGCTGTGTTCCGCTCCGTCCTCCCAGCTCCATTCTGCTCCCTCCTCCCAGCTACGTTTTGCTCCCTTCTCCCAGCTACGTTCTGCTCCATCCTCCCAGCTACGTTACACTCCGTCCTCCCAGCTCTGTTCCGCTCCGTCTTCCCAGCTACATCCCGCTCCGTTCTCCCAGCTACGTTCTGGTCCGTCCTCCCAGCTATGTTCTGCTCCATCCTTCCAGCTACGTTTCGCTCCGTCCTCCCAGTTATATTCTGCTCCATCCTCCCAGCTACATTCCGCTCCGTCTTCCCAGCTACGTTCCGCTCCGTCCTCCCAGTTATATTCTGCTCCATCCTCCCAGCTACATTCCGCTCCGTCCTCCCAGCTACCTTCCGCTCCGTCCTCCCAGCTGTGTTCTGCTCTGTCCAGCCCGAACCGTTGTACCCCCCCCTCCCAGCCAAGTTTGGGATACTCACCTGCACACGCCTGGTTGGTGCAGACCAGCTTCCCATCGGAGCAGGTACTGGGGGGGGGAGAGGGAAGGGCGACAGATGAGACACCCTGTGGGAATCGGAATGGACGCCCTGCTAACGTTACGGCACGCCCTCCAGCTTGAGCGTCTCCTCCTGGCTGGCTTACCAATTGTTGCAGCCGTCGGCATGGGGCACGGCTTCTCCCGGCGGGTGCCGGCGTCCGGTCAGCAGGTCTAGACAGGTGCAGTCGCGCTTTTTCACGCAGGCCGAGCCGTTCCCGTGCAAGATTTTGCCTCCCGCGCAGTAGCAGCCCGGTTCGCATGCCCACCCGCAGTGCTGGGGGGGGGCAGAGAGGAGGCGGGGTGGAGAGATAAGTGGGAGGGAGAGGAGGATGCGGGAATGAGAACGAGCCAGAAGAAGAAGGAGAAGGAGGAGAAGGAGAAGAAAGAAGAAGGAGAAGGAGAAAGAGAAGGAGAAGGAGGAGAAGAAGAAGAAGAAGAAGAAGAAGAAAAAGAAGAAGAAGGAGAAGGAGAAGGAGGAGAAGGAGAAGGAGAAAGAAAGAGAAGGAGAAGGAGAAGAAGGAGGAGGAGAAGGAGAAAGAAGGAGGAGAAGAAGGAGAAGAAGGAGAAGGAGGAGGAGAAGGAGAAGGAGAAAGAGGAAGGAGAAGAAGAAGAAGGAGGAGGAGGAGAAGGTGAAGGAGGAGGAAGAGAAGGAGAAGAAGAAGGAGGAGGTGGAGGTGAAGGAGGAGGAGCAGGAGAAGGAGAAAAAGGAAAAGGAGAAGGAGAAGAAGGAAGAGAAGGAGGAGAAGGAGAAGGAGAAGAGGGAGAAGGAGAAGGAGGAGAAGGAAAAGGAGAAAGAAGGAGGAGGAGAAGGAGGAGAAGGAGAAAGAGAAAGAGAAAGGAGAAGAAAAAGGAGGAGAATGAGAAGAAGAAGGAGGAGGAGGAGAAGGAGAAAGAAGGAGAAGGAGGAGAAGAAAGAGAAGAAGGAAGAGGAGAAGGAGAAAGAGGAAGGAGAAGAAGAAGGAGGAGAAGGAGGAGAAGGTGAAGGAGGAGGAGGAGGAGGAGGAGAAGGAGGAGGAGAAGTAGTAGTAGTAGTAGTAGTAGTAGTAGTAGTAGTAGTTAGAAATATTGTATAGATCAGGGGTATCAAACTGCCAGCCCGCGGGCCGGACACCTCATGCGGAAGCCGCACCCACCCCATTATGCCGGGCCTAAGACCCCCCCCCTTTTGGGTCTGATCTCCCTTGGTCAAAGAAGAGGTTGGTGGGGGTCTTTGGGGGGGGGCTGCCAGACCAGCCAGTGGGGGGGGGAAAGAGACTTACTGTGATGTCATCACAGGTCCGAGGACAGGGGGGCCCGCAGCTGCTGTAGACGGAGCCTTCCAAAATGGAGCAGTCCTGGACTGGGGGGGGGAAATAAGAAAAGAAAATTAGGACAAAGGACCCCCCCCATCCTGGGAACATTTTGAGCCCTCCCCACCTACCCAAACGGGGCGGAGCTGACATCCTGTTGCATTGCAGAGATCAGCATACAAGCGAGACCGTCGGGATCCTCGGCAGGAAGGGGGGGTGTTCCCCATTTCTCCACCCACCCCCCCGTCCCCAGAGCACCCCCTTGCTTTGCAGGTAGTCCTCGACTTTACGCCTGCTCGTTTAGCGACCGACATGACAACAGGACAGAAAGCAATTTATTTAAGAGCGTTTTCCCGCAGCCGCGACAGTCGCAGCGTCCTCCCCCCCACGGTCACGTGGATCAAAATTCGGACGCTCGGCAAGCGGCTCGTATTTATGATGGTCGCGGCGTCCCGGGGGGGTCACGTGATCAAAATTCAGATGCTCGTATTTACGACGGTCGAAGCATCCCGGGGTCACGTGATCAAAATTCAGACACTCGGCAAGCGACTCGTATTTACAACGGTCGCAGCGTCACAGAGTCACGTTATCAAAATTCAGACGCTCGGCAAGCGACTCATATTTACGACGGTCACGGCGTCCCGGGGTCACATGTTCAAAATTCAGACGCTTGGCAAGCGACTCGTATTTACGACGTTTGCAGCGTCCCGGGGTCACGTGATCAAAATTCAGATGCTTGGCAAGTGACTCGTATTTATGACGGTTGCAGCATCCTGGGAGTGAAGTGATCAAAATTCACACTGCTTGGCAAGCGACTCGTATTTACGACAGTCGCGGCGTCCCGGGGTCACGTGATCAAAATTCAGATGCTTGGCAAGCGACTCGAATTTACGACGGTCGCAGCGTCCCAGGAATCACGTGATCTCCTTTTGCGATCTTCTGACCAGTAAAGGAAGCTGGATTCGCTTGACGACCCTCTGTTTCGCTTAAGACCTGCAGTGATTCACTCAAGGACGGTGGCAAGAGAGGTCGTAAAATGGGGCAAAAGCCAGATTCACTTTATAACCGTGTTCCTGGGGAGGCCATTCATTGAACAGCCATTTTAACTCACTGAACTGCAGGGTTTCACTTAACGACTGTGGTGAGAAAGGTCGTAAAACGGGGCCAAACCCCACTAAGCCCGTCTCGCTCAACGACAAAAGTGTTGGGCTCAAGTTGTCGTCGTACATTGAGGACTACCTGTACTCTTCCCAACTTAGATGAAGACAGCAAGCTTCAGTCCCCAGTGAGGACGGGTGCTTTTGCTGAGTTTAGATCAGCCTACCTCGCAGGGCTGTTGAGAAGATTAACAAGGTCAGCAAAAAAAGGACCTGAAAACAACATGTTCCGGTTAGTCCTTGACTTACGATCACAAAGTCCGGAATTTAGGTTGCTAAGCGAGACCTTTGTCCCGTTTTACGGCTTTTCTCGCCACGGCCGCTAAGCGAATCACTGCCACCGTGGGGATCCGGGACCCCACCCAGGACGCCACGACCGTCATAAAGGTGAGTCGACGTTTTGATCAGGTGACCCTGGCGGGATGCTGCAAGGCTCATAAGTGTGAAAAACGGTCGTGAGTGGGGGGGGGGAAACGGTCCCAAGTCCCTTTTTTTCAGCTCCTTTGTAATACCGAATGGTCACTCAAGTGAATCGTCATAAGTCGAGGACCATGGATATCCCAAATTGCCGATTTCCTGGGGGGGGAGTCTCCGTTCTTTAGCAAGACCCCCTCCCAAACACCTGTACCCCCACCTCTGCTGGCTGTGGGGAGGGTCCTGCTCACCTTCCCTCTCTCCCCCCTCCCAACTCACCTGGGCAGGGGTTCAAGTTGCAGGCCTCCACCTGAGTGGGCGGTCCCTCGCAGTAGTCTCCTCCCCCTCGGGGGGCGGGGCTGTCGCAGGCTCGGCTCCGGCTCCGGATGCCCCCTCCGCAGCTGACGGTGCAGGGGGTCCAGGACCCCCAGGACCCCCAGCCTCCACTGCCTGTGCAGACACGGCTTTGGTCACGAGACCGCCCCCCCCCAGAAAGGCTCCGCCCACAAAAAATTCCTCAATCACATGATACGCCGAGCCTGCTGAGCGGTCCCACACGGGACAGGCGATCTGTACGCGGGGCGTTCCGCAAAGGAGTCGATTGTGTAAACACCCCAGTCCAGGGGTTCATAGGGAGAGGGAGTGGGTTGTTTGAAGGGTGGGCAAGAAGCGAATCCGGGCATCGAAATGGAGCTGGACAGAACCTCGGAGGTCATCCAGTCCAACCCCCTGCTCGAGCAGAAGAGCTTTACAGAACTACGGAATGACAGAGTTGCCGGGGACCTTGGAGGTCATCCAGTCCAAGCCCCTACTTGACCAGGAGACCCTTACAGAATGACAGAGCTGGAAGGGACCTCGGAGGTCATCTAGTCCAACCCCCTGCTCGACCGGGAGACCCTTACAGAATGACAGAGCTGGAAGGGACCTCGGAGGTCATCCAGTCCAACCCCCTGCTCGACCGGGAGACCCTTACAGAATGACAGAGCAGGAAGGGACCTCGGAGGTCATCCAGCCCAACCCCCCTGCTCAAGCGGGAGACCCTTATAGAATACCAGACTAGGAAGGGACCTTGGAGGTCATCTAGTCCAACTCCCTGCTCAAGCGGGAGACCCTTACAGAATACCAGAGTAGGAAGGGACCTCGGAGGTCATCCAGTCCAACCCCCTGCTCCAGCGGGAGATCCTTACCAAATGATAGAATGACAGAGTTGGAAGAGACCTCAGAGGTCATCCAGTCCAACCCCCTGCTCGACCAGGAGGCCCTTACAGAATGACAGAGCTGGAAGGGAGCTCGGAGGTCATCCAGTCCAACCCCCTGCTCGACCAGGAGGCCCTTACAGAATGACAGAGCTGGAAGGGAGCTCGGAGGTCATCCAGTCCAACCCCCTGCTCGACCAGGAGGCCCTTACGGAATGACAGAGCTGGAAGGGACCTTGGAGGTCATCCAGTCCAACCCCCTGCTCAAGCGGGAGGCCCTTACCAAATGATAGAATGACAGAGTTGGAAGGGACCTCGGAGGTCATCCAGTCCAACCCCCTGCTCGACCAGGAGGCCCTTACAGAATGACAGAGCTGGAAGGGAGCTCGGAGGTCATCCAGTCCAACCCCCTGCTCGACCAGGAGGCCCTTACGGAATGACAGAGCTGGAAGGGAGCTCGGAGGTCATCCAGTCCAACCCCCCTGCTCAAGCGGGAGACCCTTATAGAATACCAGACTAGGAAGGGACCTTGGAGGTCATCTAGTCCAACTCCCTGCTCAAGCGGGAGATCCTTACCAAATGATAGAATGACAGAGTTGGAAGGGACCTCGGAGGTCATCCAGTCCAACCCCCTGCTCAAGCGGGAGGCCCTTACCAAATGATAGAATGACAGAGTTGGAAGGGACCTCGGAGGTCATCCAGTCCAACCCCCTGCTCAAGCGGGAGGCCCTTACCAAATGATAGAATGACAGAGTTGGAAGGGACCTTGGAGGTCATCCAGTCCAACCCCCTGCTCAAGCGGGAGGCCCTTACCAAATGATAGAATGACAGAGTTGGAAGGGACCTCGGAGGTCATCCAGTCCAACCCCCTGCTCGACCAGGAGGCCCTTACAGAATAACAGAGCTGGAAGGGAGCTCGGAGGTCATCCAGTCCAACCCCCTGCTCGACCAGGAGGCCCTTACGGAATGACAGAGCTGGAAGGGACCTCGGAGGTCATCCAGTCCAACCCCCTGCTCAAGCGGGAGGCCCTTACCAAATGATAGAATGACAGAGTTGGAAGGGACCTCGGAGGTCATCCAGTCCAACCCCCTGCTCGACCAGGAGGCCCTTACAGAATGACAGAGTTGGAAGGGACCTTGGAGGTTATCTAGCATTTTGGACTCTAAGCTAATAAAAAAATAAAAATGATCGGAGCTGAAAGAGAAATGGGGGGGAGGGGGCAGAGGCAGCACTTACGGGCACAGGGCTGGATCTGGCAAGCCTTGTCCTCACGTTCAGGACCCAGGCAGGGCAGTCCCATCCCGGAAGGGGCGGGATCCGTGCAGAAGTGGTACCGGTTCTGGAGTCCCATCCCACAGGGTGCTGAGCATTCGCTCCAGGGGGTCCATTCGGACCATTGGCCGTTCACTGGCGGAGGAGAAACAAGCAGACCGTTAGGAGAGGCCCGGAAGCCAGCTCTGAAGACGAGAAATCCGATCCGAGGGGAAATAACCGAGTCGGAAGGGACCTCGGAGGCCATCTAGTCCAGCCCCCCTGCTCCAGCAGGAGACCCTACGTCATTTCAGACAGGTGGCTGTCCAGTCTTTTCTTAAAGGCCTCCAGTGTTGGAGCACCTGTAACTTCTTCTGGTGGCCAGCTGTTCCACTGGTTAATTGTCACAAAGTTTCTCCTTATTTCCAGGCTGCTTCTCTCCTTGATAAGTTTCCATCTGTTTCTTCTGCCTTCTGGTGTTTTGGGAAATAGGTTGTCCTCTCTTCTTTGTGGCAGCCCCCTACTTGAGCAGGGGGTTGGACTAGATGACCTCCAAGGTCCCTTCCAACTATTCTATATTCTATATTCTATTCTATTCTATTCTATTCTATTCTATTCTATTCTATTCTATTCTATTCTATTCTATTCCATTCCATATTTTCTATTCTATTCTATTCTATTCTATTCTATTCTATTCTATTCTATTCTATTCTATTCTATTCTATTCTACTGTCCACTCTATTCTATATTCTATATTCTATTCTATATTCTATTCTATATTCTATATTCTATTCTATATTCTATTCTATATTCTATATTCTATTCTATTCTAATCTATTCTATTCTATATTCTATTCTATTCTACCTTCCATTCTATTCTATATTCTATCTTCTATTCTACCTTCCATTCTATTCTATATTCCATATTCTATATTCTATATTCTATATTCAATATTCTATATTCTATTCTATTCTATATTCTATATTCTATTCTATTCTATTCTATTCTATTCTATTCTATTCTATTCTATTCTATTCTATTCTACCCTCCAATCTATTCTATATTTTATATTCTATTCTGTACTTGAATACGGCTATCCTGCCCCCCCCTCCTTCTTTTCTCTTGTCTGGCCAAACCCAAATCTTCCCACTGTCCTTCGTATGTTTTTATCTCCGGTCAAAACTTTTTTTAAAGGCCTTTGTTACTTCGAACGGGCACTAATCGGATCGTCGTAAGTCGTAAACCTGTCCGAAGCTGCCCGGCCTTCGTGTTATCCCCTCTTACCGTCTCCACAGGCTGCGCGGCTGCAATTCCCCAGCTGGCCAGCGATGCAGGAACTGTGGAAAGGGAGGGGGAAGAAAAACAAAAATCCGAATTTAGCCCAGAGGGATGATGGGAGAGAGAAGGCTGGACCAATAGGAGAAGGAGAAGACTGACCAGTTTTGGCAACCCTCGGCCACCGCTTCGCCGGGAGCGTAGAGCTTGCCCTCTACGGCGCACGGACACTCCTCGGCCGGAACGCAGAGATTGTCCTGGAAGAGGAGAGGAACAGCTAATCCTCGACACAACGGAGACTCACAAGTCCCGACGCTAAGCGAATCACTGCAGTTGTTAAGTTAGTAAGTGGGTTGGGACGTGACGCCAGCTTCCCCCTGGACTTTGTGGGTCAGAAAGGAGATGCCGTGTCCCTCAGACGCAGCGACCGTCATAAATGCAAAGTATGAATTTGGATCCGGTGATTATGGGGAGACTGCAAAAGGTCGTAACTGTGAAACAGGCTCATCAGTCGCGTTTTCCAGGGCTGTTGTAACTTTGAACGGTCACTAAATGAACTGTTGTAAGGGACAACTCACCATGGCCAACTCATCTCAGCCAACTCATCTAGGCCAACTCATCATGGCCAATTCATCATGGCCAACTCATCTTGGCTAACTCATCTAGGCCAACTCATTTAGACCATCTCATCTAGGCCAACTCATCTTGGCAACTTGCTGTCGCCAACTCATCTCGGACAACTCGCCGTGGCCAACTCATCTCAGCCAAGTCGCTGTGGCCAACTCATCTCGGCCAACTCACTGTGGACAACTCATCTCAGCCAACTCGTCGTGGACAACTCATCTCAACCAACTCGCTGTGGACAACTCATCTCGGCCAACTCGCTGTGGACAACTCATCTCGGCCAACTCGCCGTGGACAACTCATCTCAGACAACTTGCTGTGGACAACTCATCACGGCCAACTCGCCGTGGACAACTCATCACGGCCAACTCGCCGTGGACAACTCATCACGGCCAACTCATCCTGGCCAACTCATCTAGGCCAACTCATCATGGCCAGCGCATCTAGGCCAACTCATCATGGCCAACTCATCTAGACCATGGCCAACTCATCTAGGCCAACTCATCATGGCCAACTCATCTCAGCCAACTCATCTAGGCCAACTCATCTAGGCCAACTCATCATGGCCAACTCAGCCAACTCATCTAGGCCAACTCATCTAGGCCAACTCATCTCAGCCAACTCATCTAGGCCAACTCATCATGGTCAACTCATCTCAGCCAACTGATCTAGGCCAACTGATCTAGGCCAACTCATCTCAGTCAACTCATCTAGGCCAACTCATCTAGGCCAACTCATCATGGCCAACATCATGGCCAACTCATCTTGGCTAACTCATCACAGCCAACTCATCACGGCCAACTCATCTAGGCCAACTCATCATGGCCAACTCATCTCGGCCAACTCACCGTGACCAAATATATCTCAGCCAACTCACCATTACCAACTTATCAGGGCCAACTCGCTTGGCTGAGACGGGCCACGGAAAGTCTTGTGGTATTTACCAGCAAGATGGTGCCATTGGGGCAGTAGCAGCCTGGCCGGCACACCATCTGGTGTCCGTCGGCGTCTTCGGTGCTGAGCTCTGCGCAGGAACCTGGCCTGTCGTTGCACTCTCGCCACACTTTCCCTGCTGGGCAGGTGCCTGGAACCTCACCTGGTTGGAAGGGATGAGAGGCAAAACCATGGTTATCCTTTGAAGGAAACATTTTGGATGAAAGACTCCATCAAGGATGGTTGATCCTGGACAGACCAGAGAGAGCGACTGTAATGGTTACGGTAGAAAATATTTCTACTGTATTGTATTGTATTGTATTGTACTGTACTGTACTGTATTGTACTGTATTGTATTATTCTATTGTAGTATATTATTGTACTGTATTATATTGTATTGTATTGTATTGTACTGTATTGGATTATTGTATTGTATTGTATAGTATTGTATTATATTGTATTGTATGGTATTGTATTAGATTGGATTATTGTATTGTACTGTACTGTAGTGTACTGTATTGTATTATTGTATTGTAGTATATTATTGTACTGTATTGTATTGTACTGTATTGGATTATTGTATTGTATAGTATTGTATTATATTGTATTGTGTGGTATTGTATTAGATTGGATTATTGTATTGTACTGTATTGTATTGTATTGTACTGTACTGTATTGGATTATTGTATTGTATTGTATAGTATTGTATTATATTGTATTGTATATTATATTTGTATATTATATATATGTATTGTGTATTATATTGTATTGTATATTATATTTCCTGCCGGGGGTTGGACTAGATGACCTCCAAGGTCCCTTCCAACTTTACTACTATTACTATTACTGTATTGTATTATTGTATTGTAGTATATTATTGTACTGTATTAGATTATTGTATTGTATAGTATTGTATTATATTGTATTGTATGGTATTGTATTAGATTGGATTATTGTATTGTACTGTATTGTATTGTACTGTACTGTACTCTATTGTATTATTGTATTGTAGTATATTATTGTACTGTATTGTATTGTATTGTATTGTACTGTATTAGATTATTGTATTGTATTGTATTGTATTCTACTGTATTGGATTATTGTATTGTATTGTATTGTATTGTACTGTATTCTATTGTACTGTATTGGATTATTGTAGTATATTATTGTACTGTATTATATAGTATTGTATTGTACTGTATTGGATTGTTGTATTGTATTGTATAGTATTGTATTATATTGTATTGTATTGTATTGTACTGTACTGTATTGGATTATTGTATTGTAGTATATTATTGTACTGTATTATATTGTATTGTATTGTATTGTACTGTATTGTATTATTGTATTGTATAGTATTGTATTGTATGGTATTGTATTAGATTGTATTGTACTGTACTGTATTGTACTGTATTGCATTGTTGTATTACATTGTATTGCATTATTGTTACTGTTTTGTATTATTGTATTGTATTGTATTGTATTCTTGTATTATGTCATACTGTATTGTATTGTATTGTATTGTACTGTACTGCATTGCATTGCATTGTTTTGTCTTGTATTGTATTTTGTATTGTATTGTTGCATTATATTGTGTTGTGTTGTATTGTATTGTACTGTATTGGATTAGATTCTTGTACTGTATTGGATTGTGCTATGTTTTATTGTGTTGTGTTGTGCTGTGCTGTATTGTATTGTATTGTATCTTGTCCTGCCTTCCTAACAGTGAGGATAATTAGCCAGTGGAACAGCTTGCCACCAGACTTTGTGGATGCTTCATCCCTGGAGGTTTTGAGGAAGAGACTGCACAGCCACTTCTTTGAAATGGCATAGGATCTCCCAGATGAGCAGGGGGTTGGATTGGATGACCTCGGAGGTCCCTTCCAACTCGGTGGCTCTGTCATTCTGTAAGCGTCTCCTAACCAAGCGGGGGAGGGGTTGGGCTGGATGACCTCCAAGGTCCCTTCCCGCTCTGTCCTCCTAGGATTCTGTAAGGGTCTCCCGCTCGAGCAGGGGGTTGGGCCAGATGACCTCCGAGGTCCCTTCCCGCTCTATTCGCGACGGGATCCAGGGATGCGGGGGGGCGCAAGCTCACCTCTGCACGGCTGAAGGTTGCAGGTGGCAAAGTCGATCCTGGCCAGGACGGTGGTGCCAGCTCTCGTCCGGTTCCGGTAGCCGCCTCCGCAGGGCACCGAGCACTCCGACCACAGGCCCCACTCCATGCCGGACCCTGTGTGTGTGTGTGTGTGTGTGTGGAGTCACAACGTTGGTGGTGTGGGAGAGGGAGGGCGTCTGCAAAACCGGCAGCTCCTTGAAACACTCCCCCCCCATCCCCAGTGGAGAAGGAGCTTCAAATTCCCCCAAATGAAGCCGGTCCCTCTCGCTGCAAACTAGAAATGCTGGCTGTATGGAAAGCAGCTTCTTTCTTTCTTTCTTTCTTTCTTTCTTTCTTTCTTTCTTTCTTTCTTTCTTTCTTTCTTTTCTTTCTTTCTCTCATTCCCTCTCTTCTTTCACTCCCTCTGATTCTCTCCTTTCTCTCATTCTTTCTCTCCCTCCTCTCTCTCCTTTCTTTCTTTCCTTCTTTCTTTTTTCTCTCATTCCCTCTCTTCTTTCTCTCTCTGATTCTCTCCTTTCTCTCTCTTTTCTTTTCTTTCTTTCTTTTTCTTTCTTTCTCTCATTCCCTCTCTCCTTTCTCTTTCTTTCTCTTTCCCTCTTCTCTCTTTTTTTCTTTTCCTTCCTTCTTTCTTTCTCTCATTCCCTCTCTTCTTTCTCTCTCTGATTCTCTCCTTTCTTTCTTTTTCTCTTTCTCTCATTCCCTTTCTTCTCTCTCTGATTCTCTCCTTTCTCTCTCTCTTTCTTTCTCTTTCCCTCTTCTTGCTTTCTTTCTTTTCTCTCTCTTTTATTTCTTCTTTCTCTCTCTGATTCTCTCCTTTCTCTCATTCTTTCTCTCCCTCCTCTCTCTCTTCTCTCTCCCTTTCTTTCTTTCTTTCTTTCTCTCATTCCCTTTCTTCTTTCTCTCTCTGATTCTTTCCTTTCTCTCTTTTTCTTTCCCTCTTCTCTCTTTTCTTCTTTCTTTCTTTCTTTTTCTTTCTCTCATTCTTTCTTCTTTCTGATTCTCTCCTTTCTCTCATTCTTTCCCTCCTGTCCCTCCTCTCTTTCTTTTTTCCCTCTCATTCCCACTCTTCTTTCTCTCTGATTCTCTCCTTTCTCTCTTTCTTTCTTTTCCTCTTCTCTTTTCTTTCTTTTTTTTCTTTCCTTCCTTCCTTCCTTCTTTCTTTCTTTCTTTCTTTCTTTCTTTCTTTCTCATTCTCTCTCTCCTTTCTCTCTGATTCTCTCCTTTCTCTCTTTCGTTCTCTTTCCCTCTTTTCTCTCTCTGTCCTTCCTTTCTTTCTTTCTTTCTTTCTTTCTTTCTTTCTTTCTTTCTTTCGTTCTTTCTTTCTCCTGCTCGAGAAGGGCGGTTGGACTAGATGACCTTTAAGGTGCCTCCCAATTCTGTCATTCTATGATTCTGGAAGGGTCTCCTGCTAGAGCATGGGGTTGAGATGACCTCTGAGGTCCCTTCCAACTCTGTGATTCTGTAAGGGTCTCCTGCTCGAGCAGGGGGGTTGGCTAGATGACCTCCTGGGTCCCTTCCAACTCTGTGATTCTGTGATTCTCCTGTGCATCTCTCTCTCTCTCTCTCTCCCTCTTATTTTCTTTCACTCTCTCTCCCTCGTTCTCAATCTCTCTCCCTTTCTTTCTTTCTCTCTCTCTCTCTTTCTGTCTTTCTCTTTCTTTCTCTCTCTCTTTCTCTCTCTGTCTCTTTCCATCTCTCTTTTTCTCTTTCTTTTTCTCTCTTTCTGTCTCTCTCTTTCTCTGTCTCTCCCTCTCCCTCTCTCTCTCTCAAACTCTCTCTCAAACTCTCCCTCTCTCCCTCCCTCCCTGTCTCCCTCTCCCTCCCTCTCTCTCCCTCTGTCAATCTTTCTCTCTCAATCTCTCTCTCTCTCCCTCTCTCTCTCTGCCTCTCCCTCCCTCCCTCTCCCTCCCCCTCCCTCCCTCTCTCTCACCTGGGCAGGGCTGCAGGCTGCAGAATTCGATGTCCACCTTGGAGCCCTGGCAGGGCCGCCCTTCCGGCTCGGCCTCGGCCCGGTAGCGCCGCCTCGTCCCCACGTTGCACGTACGGCTGCAGCCACTCCAGGCCGACCAGGCGCTCCAGCTACAGTTGGCTGTCCAGGGAGGAGAAGGACGATGAGAGCAAGCCTCGGGTGGAACCCAGAATCGACCCGTCTATCCAACAGGCGAAGCCCTGTTTGAGCAGAGCCCCCCCCCCAGCCTTCGGGGCACACCGGGAGACCGGTGTTCCGTGGAGTTTTTCCCCGCCGACCGGAGAAGGGGTGGTTTGGTGTGGGCCGGTCGCTGGCGTGCCGCGGTCCGGTAGCGATCCATAGAGCAGGGGTTGGGGACCCACGCCGTCCAGTGCCGCAAGGCTACAGGGTCCATGGTTATCCTTCTTCCCACTGGACTTGCTTTGTTGAACTAGGAAGCTGTTTCTCAACCGTGGCTATTTAAGAGGGGAGGACTTCCACTCCCAGAATCCCCCAGCCGGCCTGCTTTAAGAGGGGGGGCTTCCACTCCCAGAATCCCCCAGCTGGTATGCTATAAGAGGGGGGGACTTCCACTCCCAGAATCCCTCAGCCAGGATGCTTTAAGAGGGGAGGACTTCGATTCCCAGAATCCCCCAGCTGGCCTGCTTTAAGAGGGGGGGACTTCCACTCCCAGAATCCCTCAGCCAGGATGCTTTAAGAGGGGAGGACTTCGATTCCCAGAATTCCCCAGCTGGGATGCTTTAAGAGGGGAGGACTTCAACTCCCAGAATCCCCCAGTGAGCATGCTATAAGAGGGGAGGATTTCCACTCCCAGAATCCCCCAGCTAGCATGCTTTAAGAGGGGAGGACTTCAACTCCCAGAATCCCCCAGCCAGGATATTTTAAGAGGGGAGGACTTTCACTCCCAGAATCCCCCAGCCGAGATGCTTTAAGAGGAGAGGACTTCAATTCCCAGAATTCCCCAGCCAGGATGTTTTAAGAGGAGAGGACTTCCACTCCCAGAATCCTCCAGCCGGCCTGCTTTAAAAGGAGTGGACATATCCGCTGGCTGGGGAATTCTGGGAGTGGAAGTTCCCCCCCACCACCATAAAAACAGCCAAGATTGAGAATCCCTGATCTGTTATCCTGCCTGGCTGCAGTTCCCGTTATCCCCGAGAAAGGCAGGGGTGATGTCCGATGGGAACCTTCCATTTCTCCCCCCCCCATCCCCCCAATGCTAAAAAAAAAAAGAAGAATTTTGGGGAAGCAATGTTTAAATTCCTCCATAACCCATTCATCAAAGGATGGAAGAGTGGGGGGGGGGCTTTGGATCCTGCCCCTCATCCCCGGGGTCAAAGGTCACGACCCCAGTGGCCTGTCACAACCCCCCCACACACACAATTTCAAACTTACCTGGGCAAGGCTCTGCGCCACACACCATCTCCCCCTGCTGGCAAGTGCTGAAGGCAAAAGCCGCAGGATTAGAACCCAGAACCCACCAAGCCTTCAGAGAGAGCAAGATGCCAGGAGCAGCTGGATCGGACCTCCCCCCCCAAAAAAGCCGTCCTCTTGGAAGTCAAGAGAGGAAAGGGGGGCGGGTTGTCGTTGTCGGTCTCTCCTACCAGTTGTTGCACGAGTCTCGGGAGACGGTGGTGCCCGGCGGGTAAATCTGCCCCTGGTAGTAGCACGGGCACCGGCTGAGTTGCACGCAGGAACCATCCTGGAGGAAAAGACCCTCGGGGCAGTGGCAGCCCTCCTGGCAGGGGGAGGCACACTCCACCTGGGCGCCCCGGTCCAGGCAGAGTCGGGGGCAAGCCCCCCCTTTCCGCCGACACTCCTCGGCCGTCAGATACACCATGTTGGCCGGGCACTCCCCTGCGGGCGGAAGAGCGAGCAGGCGGTTCAGCTAGGCGCCGGGCGGGCACCGGGGCAGGAGATGGGTGTCCCGCCTCTGCAGCTGTCTGCAGGGGGTTGGACTAGATGGCCACTGGGGTGCCCCCCAACTCGGTTACTCTGTAAGGGTCAATTGCTCGAGCAGGGGGTTGGACTAGATGACCACCGGGGTCCCCCCAACTCTGTTATTCTGTAAGGGTCTCCTGCTCAGTCAGGGGGTTGGACTAGATGACCACCGAGGTGCCCTCCAACTCGGTTATTCTGTAAGGGTCTCCTGCTTAGTCAGGGGGTTGGACTAGATGACCTCCAAGGTCCCTTCCAGCTATGTAATTCTCTAAGGGTCTCCTGCATAGGGGGTTGGACTAGATGACCACTGAGGTCCCCTCCAACTCAGTTATTCTGTAAGGGTCTCCTGCTTAGTCGGGGTTGGACTAGATGACCACCAAAGTGCCCTCAACTCGATTATTCTGTAAGGGTCTCCCGCTCGGTCAGGGGGTTGGACTAGATGACCACCGAGGTCCCCTCCAACTCTGTTATTCTGTAAGGGTCTCCCGCTTGAGCAGGGGGTTGGACTAGATGACCATCGAGGGTCCCTTCAACTCGGTTATTTTGTAAGGGTCTCCTGCTCAGTCAGGAGGTTGGACTAGATGACCTCCAAGGTCCCCTCCAGCTATGTAATTCTCTAAGGGTCTCCTGCTTAGGGGGTTGGACTAGATGACCACTGAAGTCCCCTCCAACTCTGTTATTCTGTAAGGGTCTCCCGCTTGAGCAGGGGGTTGGACTAGATGACCATCGAGGGTCCCTTCAACTCGGTTATTCTGTAAGGGTCTCCCGCTTGGTCAGGGGGCTGGACTAGATGACCTCCGAGGTCCCCTTCACCCCTGTGATTCTGTAAGGGTCTCCTGTTGAGCAGGGGGCTGGGCTAGATGACCTCCGAGGTCCCTCGTCCTGCCTTCGTCGTGACTTTGGGCCAATCCCCAGGAGAGGGTGAGGCCGAGTCCCGCCTTAGGCACGACAACCGGCTGGGTGACCTGGGACCAATCGCCGGGTGACGCTGAGTTCGAGTCTGCTGCGTTCTGTTGTTGTGGGGAAAATAGGAAGTGTTTTCGTGTGTGTGTGCGTGTGTGTGTGTGTTCGGTTGTTTATAAAAATAAGACACAGGCGACGGAAATAGATCCACGGAATTAAAAAAAAAAAAAATCCATACCTCGGCAGGGCTGCGTGTGGCAATCCCGGGTCTGGATCAGGGGGCCCGAGCATCCGGGACCGCCGTAGGCCGGCTTGGAGCAGGTGCGGTTGCGGGTCTGCACCCCGGAGTCACACGGCGCCGAGCAGACGGACCAGGCGGACCAAGGGGTCCAGATACCCTCCACTGCGGAGATATATTGGAGAGGGGGCTTAAACCAGGTTTAAGCCCTCCTCCTTCACCACTGGCATCTGTTACGTGGGAGTGGGGGGCTGAGGATTGGGTTCGAGTCTCCCTGGCTTTGGAAGGGTGGCATCCCCAGCCAGGATTAAGCTCCGATCAAAGCCGACCTTCATTTATGAGAGGAAAATCAAAGCTAAGCCTGCATTAAGCTTCGATCAAAGCTGAGCTTAATTTATGAGGGGAAAATCAAAGCTAAGGCCGAATTAAGCTTAGATCAAAGCTGAACTTAATTTATGAGGGGAAAATCAAAGCTAAGCCTGCATTAAGTTGTGATCAAAACTGAGCTTAATTTATGAGAGACGAAATCAAAGCTAAGCCTGAATTAAGCTTTGATCAAATCTGCTTAATTTATGAGAGATGAAATCAAAGCTAAGCCCAAATTAAGCTTCAATCAAGCTGAGCTTAATTTATGAGAGGAAAATCAAAGCTAAGGCCGAATTAAGCGTAGATCAAAGCTGAACTTAATTTATGAGGGGAAAATCAAAGCTAAGCCTGAATTAAGCTTCGATTAAAGCTGAGTTAATTTATGAGAGGAAAATCAAAGCTTAGCCTGTATTAAGCTTCGATCAAAGCTAAGTTTAATTTATGAGAGGAAAATCAAAGTTAAGCTTCAATTAAGCTTCAATCAAAGCTGAGCTTAAGTTATGAGAGGAAAATCAAAGCTTAGCCTGAATTAAGCTGCGATCAAAGCTGAGCTTATGAGAGGAAAATCAAAGGTAAGCCTGCATTAAGCTGCGATCAAAGCTGAGCTTAATTTATGAAAGGAAAATCACAGCTAAGCCTGCATTAAGCTCCGATCAAGGTCGTCAAATGGGGCAAAGCTTGCTTAAGAACTGCCTCACTCCGCAAAGGAAATTGGGGCTCGTAAGTCGAGGACTATCTACACAGGACCCCGTACCCCGAAAGGAGTTTCTCCAACGAAGCAGAACGATCTGGGAGAATTCTGGCCGCAACCGGGTGCGAATTCTGCCCTCCCACCCTTGGCATCCCTTCAGCTGCTCACCTGGGCACAGGGGAGTGTCACAGTCCTCTTCCTGCACGCTCTCTCCATCGCACCCGACGGCCTGTGCGGTACCGTTGCAATGCCGGAATCGTTTGCGCGTGCCGACCAGATCCGGGGCGTAGAAGCAGGTCTTGGAGCAGGGGGACCAGGGGGTCCAGTCGCTCCAGAGCAAAGCCGTTTCTGCAGGGGACAGGAGAGAGAGGGGAGAGGGAGTTGCTGGGTGGGTGGGTGGGTGGCGGGACGAAAACCGTAGAACTTCATGGTCAAAAAAAGAGATCGGACAACCGATTGTCTGAAATGGTACAGCGCAGTGGTTTCCGGTTTGGCGGACCAGCGAAGGTAGAGTGAGGATGCGAGCTGCAGGTACCCCTTCGTGAGACTGTGTGTTGGCCCTGGTATGTCCCCTCCGTACCACTCCTACGCCCGTGGTGGTTGCCGAAACTCCCGCTTGTAGTGTCTAACGGTGAGGCTTTCCCGCTGTTGCCCTCCTCTCCGGTTTGACCGATGTCACCCACAGCCAACTTCACGGTCAGAAAAAGAGATCGGACAACCGTTTGTCTGAAACGGTACAGCGCAGTGGTTTCCGGTTTGGCGGACCAGCGAAGGTAGAGTGAGGATGCGAGCTGCAGGTACCCCTTCGTGAGACCGGGTGTTGGCCCTGGTATGTCCCCTCCGTACCACTCCTGCGCCCGTTGCCGAAATTCCCGCTTGTAGTGTCTAACGGTGAGACTATCCCGCCATCGCCCTCCTCTCCGGTTTGACCGATGTCACCCGCAGCCATCCTGGCTAGGCCTTCGCGCGCCTTGAGGTTCTGGAAACGCGTCCGTCGTGGAGAGCACGGCTTGCTTGCTCAGGAAGTCGGCGTGGTTGAACTTCGCCGTTTGGGTTGCCGGCACTTCAGAGACATTTAGCTATGCACTTTGGGATGAACCCCCCCCCTCCGAATGGTGCGGGAGAATGAACGAATCTCCAGGAAACATCGCAAACAGCAGGGACCGTTTTGCGCTTCAGTTTGTGATGCCGACAACACAGGCTCATCCCCCAACGGCCTGCCCCTGCTGTCAACCGGGAAGGGACGCAGGGCACAAAAACATCCTGTAGCCAGGAAGGCTCCACACACATCTGCAGTGCTCAGGTGATGCCGAGGACACAGGTAAACCTCCAAGTGCCCTCAACGACTCTCGAAAAGAAGGCAAATGACCAGCTGTCTGCGAGGAGTATAAATCCTTCCAGTCCCCACCATCCAATCAGAGACTTCTTCAGGGGGAAAAATGATGGTGGGAAATGGAAGGATTTATACTTCTTGAAGACCGCTAGTCATTTGCATTCTCTTAGAGAGCCGTTGAGGCCACTTGGAGGTTTCTCTGTGTCCTCGTGGGACTTTCTTATTATTCTTTGAAGACGTTTCGCTTCTCATCCATGAAGCTTCTTCAGCTCTGACTGGTCGGCGGGGAGTGGAAGGGTTTATACAAATTGCAGAAAAATTGGTCATTTGCATTCTTTTATAGAGGCGTTGAGGCTACTCGGAGGCTTCTCTGTGTCCTCGTGGGACTTTCTTATTATTCTTTGAAGACGTTTCGCTTCTCATCCAAGAAGCTTCTTCAGCTCTGACTGGACGGCAGGGAGTGGAAGCATTTATACTCCTTCTAGAAAAACTGATCATTTGCATTCTTTTAGAGAGCTGTTGAGGCCACTCGGAGGTTTCTCTGTGTCCTCGTGGGACTTTCTTATTATTCTTTGAAGACGTTTGCTTCTCATCCAAGAAGCTTCTTCAGCTCTGACTGAATGGTGGGGTGGGTTTATACTCCTTGCAGAAAAACTGGTCATTTGCCTTCTTTTAGAGAGCCGTTGAGGCTACTCGGAGGCTTATCTGTGTCCTCGTGGGACTTTCTTATTATTCTTTGAAGACGTTTCGCTTCTCATCCATTATGACCCCTGGCATAAACGCTGTATTCTGCTATGCCGTACGAAATAAATAAGAGGAAGTCCGCCCTGCAGAAAGCGACAACAGATGTTACCGTTGCTCTTACCTGTGATGCAGCTTGTGTGACACTCGCGCACCTCCTGGGCGTCTCCTTGGCATGGGGCGCCCCCGTTGGCTGCCGCCGGGTTGGACGGAGACCTGCCGAGAAAGAGGACGGTATTAAGGGACTTTTCGTTTTCAAGCACGGGTAGTGTATAGAGCCAGCCTTCCGTTTACGACCGTCCATCACGGTCGTTAAGTCGTGAGAGTTGTGACAAGGGTCACCCACGCGACCAGCTGGGTTTTGCAAGCTGTTTGTGGTGCGCCTTGAGCGACTGCTGCGGTCGTAAAATGACAACACGGTTAAGAAAATACTGCAGTCGTTAAGGGAACTGAGGGTACGCTGTGAAACACGGTCACGTGACTGCAGGACGCTACAAACGTGGACTAAATGAACTGTTGTTCAGGATTACCAACAACAAACAAACAAACAAACACACTCCTCCTCCTGGGCGGCACAACCAACACCCAATTCTGCACCCGACTTCCACTGGATCCCGAGGGGTCCCGCCCAAGATAGCATCTCAGCCTCGCCAAGGACTCCCGGGTGAACCGATGCCAAGCACGTTGTGCCGTTTCTTACCGGAACCTTTGCTGCATCCCAACTCCGCAACTCCGGCTGCAGGGGGTCCACGGAGACCAAGCCGACCAGCCGCACTTCACCGGACAGGCCACCGCGTCACAGGTCACCGTGCCATCCAGACAAACGCTGCGTGAGGACGAAACGGAGTTTAAGCAGCCTCTTGTAGGCCGATGGCCCGGTTTGAGGTGTGTGGGAAGAATCATAAATGTATATAATTGTGTTAAAAATTATTGTATAGGGCAGGGGCCCCCGACCTATGGTCAGCAGCCCAGTACTGGGCTGTGACGTGTTGGCCACTGGGCCGCAGGAATAGCTAGCAAGCCCCCCCCACTTGCGGTAGTGCTGCTGCGTGGCCGCTAGCTGCTCTGGTTGCGCATGCACAGGTGTGCTAGCACCTCCACCAGCATCATATGGGTGCCCCATTTGCCCAGGCGTGCAGGCGCCAGAGGCCCGTTTATGCATGCGCGTGGGTGCCAGAGGCCCACTTGCGCGGGTGCCAGTAGCCCATTTGCGCATGCATGCACCCATTTGCGCCACCGCTGTGCGTGTGTCCATTTGTGCTGCACATTTCCTTGCTTCTCCCTATCGGGCCACCAAGCCAGAAAGGCTGGTGTAGGGAATCATATGTTCACTACTCAAGGTCTCCAACTAAGTTACTAATTAACAGCTTCCAAAATCCCTTCAACTTAAACGCGAACGCGAGAATCAATGACACGCTTATTTCAAATTGTAAACACACCCAAGCAAACACACAAAACTCAACACGATGTAAGCATCCTTTATCGTGCTCACGACTCAAACGAAGAGACTCAGTCGACCTCACTTGATTTAATCAACCTTTTCTCAACACGTACACGCTTCCACACCAAGGGCGGGCTCCCCTGTAAAACTCTATCGCTGTCCCCCGTTTTCTCTGTAGCTGCCCCTGTAGGCAAACCTCCTTGCTTTGGGGGAAGAATAAATAAATCTCCTCTCCTCACAGGTGCTTGCTTTCCTTTTGATTTCTTCTTGCGCGACCCCAGCTTGAGCTGGGACTCCAAATTATTCTTCCAATAGGGGCCACAGAATGTTCCAACTCACGGGTCTGCAACCCGCGGCTCCGGGGCTGCATGTGGCTCTTTGAGCCTTCTGCAGTTCCCAGTCCTCCTCTGCCATTTGCAGAGAGAGAGAGAGAGAGAGAGACAGAGAGAGAGAGAAAGAGAGAGACAGGCACTTGCGCTTCCCTTCTTTCTCTCTCTCTCTCTCTCTCTCTCTCTCTCTTTCTCTCTCTCTCTCTCTCTCTGACAAGCTTATTGGGCGGGGCTCCTGCCTTTGCTGCGTCTCTGCAGGAAGCAGCAGGAAGCTGCAAGCAGCAGCTCTCTCTCTCTTGCTCTCTCTCTCACACCCCCTCACTCACACACACACACACACACACACACACACACACACACTCACACTGAGTGGGGGAAGAGGACTGGCAGACCAAGGGCAGGAGAGAGACAGCCCAATAAGAATGTGTGTCAGCTTGTCGGAGAACAGCATGAAGCCAGCTTGCCAGGTGAGCAGAAAATCGGAGAGAGGGAGAGAGAGGGAGGGAGAGAAAGAGAGAGCGGGAGAGAGAGAGGGGGGGAGAGAGGGAGAGAGAGAACTCATGCACAGCGCCCTCTATTTCTTTTTAATTAAGCTCTTCAATCATGCCCCTCCCTGCGGCGCGCGCACATGCGCGCCCATGTTTTACATCTCCCAGTGTTTTCTTTTCTGTGGGAAATGGGTCCAAGTGGCTCTTTTGAGTGTTTAAGATTGCCGACCCCTGTTACAACTCAAGCCAGGGTTGCACAAGAATAAATAAAAATGGACTTCCGGGGGTGTAGCGCTGGCGATGGCGGCTACTTTGTAGCCGTCCTCCTGAGACAGCGTTAAAACCGCTGAGAACAGCAGGCATCAGCTGTTCCGCGGTTTAAAACCTCCTTCCCGGGCCAAGGGAGGGAGGGGAGTTTCACCCTGAATAGTGGTAGAGCCTCTGAAATCCCCAAAGGAGTTTTCTTTCGGGGTGAAAGGAGTGCTCCCACAGAGTTCAGGGTGTCTCCGCTTCTCAGGTGCCTTTGTCCCTTGTTGTTCGGGACAAAGCAAGACGGCGCTCCCACCTCCGCGCTTAAAGAGAACTGGTGAGTTATTTAAAAAGCGGACAGAGCTGATTAGAGGATTTTATTTCTTGATTTTAAGTTTGGAATTTAAGTTTAAAGAGTTACTTTCATTTTCTCTTTTTTCCTTTGTTGAGAGGGAAAGTAAAATGGCGATTTGAAGTTGTTTTTTTTTTTTTAAGGAGACAGAATGGATTTTGTCTATTTAATTATTTCTTTTTTCTTTTCTTTTTCTATTTTTTTTTTTTATTACAATGATTTTTTTGAAGGAGGATTTGGGTTTTTGGAGTTAATCTCCCTCTCTTTTGTTTAATTCTTTTTTTCTTTCTTTTTTTTTTGTATTTTTTAAGAAGGAGGAAAGAAGAAACAAATTTTTTTCTTTTAAGATGGCTTCAAAGCGCCAAGTAATTTCCACAGTTCCTAAGGTGGCTTCTTCTTCGGCGATATTACCAGCGCAACAACCTAAATCAACATTATTACCTTCTCCTCTTGCACAGTCATTAACGGTAAAAGATTTGCAAGATGTAATGGGAAATGTTATATCTCAAATTAGGGGAGAAGTGAAAGAGATCTTAGAGGAGAATAACAGGATCTTGAGGCAAGATATAGTTTTGGCTTTAAAAGGACTTGCTTCTGTTGTTGAAAAGTTGGATTTTCGTGTTGAAGAAGTTACAGATAAAGTGGAGGTGTTGGAGGAAAAATTTGAAGGCATGGAAAAAAAGATGGAAAATTCACGATGAGATTCTTATGTTTCAATATAGAGAGATGGAGTTCGCTTTAAGAATCGGAGGCTTGAGAGAAAATTTGCAAGGAGATCTGAGAGAGATGGTTGCAAATGACTTTGCTGTGATTTTGGATAGAGAAAAAGAGGAAATATTCAGAGAAATTGAAAAAATATTTAGAGTCAACTTTTGGGTTGCAAAGCAAAGAAATTTGCCAAGGGATGTGGTAATTTACTTTGGGAAAAGATCCCTGCGCAATGAAATTATACAAGCTTTTTATAATAAGAGGTTTCAGATTGCTGCACAAGATGTTATAATTTTAAAGGAGATCCCATCTAAAATTTTAAGAAGAAGAAAGGAGTTTGCTTTTTTAGCAGATGAACTTAAAAAGAGGCAGATGCCGTTTAGATGGGATATTCCGATTGGAATAGCGGTGAGCTGTGCGGGGATACGTCATAGACTTAATACTGTTTTTAAAGCAAAGGAGTTTTATACTTCGGTCCTGGGAGCACGCTCATCACCACCTATAATGTTTAAAGTTTCGGAAGAGAAGAAGGTAGAACAGCAGTCTGAAGAAGCTGTATTGATGAAAGTTGGAAAACTACAGACTGAGGGGTCTCAACAAGTCGAGATGAAGGAGCAGAGAATGACTCGGGCAGTATACAAACGCAAGGAAAAGGAACAACAGAAAAAGGAGGTTAAAGAAGTATTACAAGAATTTGTTTCTGAGCCTGTGGGAGAAGCAAGACCTAAGAGTTCTTTGGTGCAATCTTCAATGGCAGATCTTCAAGCAGCTTTCTCGAGGTTATTGGATAAGAGAGATGGGTAAGGAATGTAAAGATTGTTCCAAGGTTATTGACAGATTATAGCTCATTGCGGATGGAACTGGTTATTGGAAAAGAGGAGAGAAGATTATGGAGACTGAATGAAAACTTTAGATAAGAAGTAATAGTAATAGTAGTAAAGTTGGAAGGGACCTTGGAGGTCATCTAGTCCAACCCCCTGGTCGGGCAGGAAACCCTACACCATTTCGGACAAATGGCTGTCCAGTCTCTTCTTAAAAACTTCCAGTGTTGGAGCATTTACTGCTTCTGGAGGCAGGTTGTTCCACTGATTAATTGTTCTCACTGTCAGGAAGTTTCTCCTTAGTTCTAGGTTGCTTCTCTCCTTGATTAGTTTCCACCCGTTGCTTCTTGTCCTGCCTTCAGGTGCTTTGGAAAATAGCTTAATTCCCTCTTCTTTATGGCAGCCCCTGAGATATTGGAATACTGCTATCATGTCCCCCCTTGTCCTTCTCTTCGTTAAACTAGACATACCCAATTCTCGCAACCGTTCCTTATATGTTTTAGCCTCCAGTCCCCTAATCATCTTTGTTGCTCTTCTCTGTACTCTTTCTAGAGTCTCAACATCTTTTTTACATCGTGGTGACCAAAACTGGATGCAGTATTCCAAGTGTGGCCTTACCAAGGCATTGAAGAGTGGTATTAATACTTCACGTGATCTTGATTCTATCCCTCTGTTAATGCAGCCTAGCACTGTGTTGGCCTTTTTGGCAGCTGCAGCACACTGCTGGCTCATATTTAAGTGATTGTCTACTAGGACTCCGAGGTCCCTCTCACAGTTACTACTATTGAGCATGGTGCCACCTATGCTGTACTTGTGCATTTGGTTTTTCTTGCCTAAATGTAGAACCTTGCTTTTTTCACCATTGAATTTCATTTTGTTAGTTAGTGCCCAGTGTTCAAGTCTGTCCAGATCCTTCTGTATCTGAAGCCTGTCTTCTGGAGTGTTGGCTATTCCTGCCAGCTTGGTGTCATCTGCAAATTTGATGAGTTCCCCATCTATCCCTTCATCCAAATCGTTGATGAAGATGTTGAAGAGTACTGGGCCCAGAACAGAGCCCTGGGGCACCCCACTACACACTTCCCTCCATATAGATGCAGTTCCATTGAGGACCACTCGCTGAGTACGGCCGGTCAGCCAGCTACGGATCCATCTGGTGGTGGTTCTGTCTACCCCACATTTTTCTATTTTGTTTTAAATATGTATAAGGGCATTTCAATGGTATAAGTAATGCTTATATGTGTGTTGATTGCGATGACAAAGAAAGATGGATAAACTTTATATAATATAAGTATGATATTAGAAAATATTGTTTAGCTTTCTGAATAATTGATATTTAAATTTATACTTAAAGTTTATAATATTTTAATGGCAGACTAGATTCCAATTAATTTACTTTATATGAAATATGATATTTTGTAATGTTATTAAACTAGGGAGATGATTGGTTTATTAATTATGAAAGAAACAGAAGTTGTGAATTATAGATAAAATAAATTATAATGGTAAACTGGTAGGATTGTAATGACAAAGAAATTATTTTAATGTTAATTTTTTTCTTCTTTTTCTCTTTCTGTTTTTCATACATAATGGAGTTAAAGTACTTAATAATTCATTTATTGAATGTAATTATATTTGTTTGAGGTTTATTTGAGTTTAAAAGTTTTTTCTTTTAAGTTCTAGTTAACCCTGTATTCAGCTCTGGGAAGAAGGAGGGAGGGTTTTGGGGAGGGTTGGGAGGGATTGGGGAAGTGGTTTTTTATTGTAAAATTGTAAAAAATTTATAATAAAAAGAAAAAAGAAAAAAAAAGAATAAATAAAAATGAAATCGAGACAGCGGCGAGCAAAGATTTGTTGATTCCCAAGAGCAAGGAGATTTGCCCATAGGGGCTGCTACAGAGAAAATGGCGACCAGAGATATAGTTCTATAACAGAGCTTGCCGCTGGGAAATTCCAAAACTGAGGTGTTTGAACCTTGTCCAGTCCCATGCAGGGATCTTCCTCACCGTCCCCAGGTGGGAACCCCCCAACAGTCTCCAAGGAAGCCCCCCCCATCTTCTAGGCACACCGGTTCACCACTTCCTAGAGCAGCGGTTCTCAACCCATTTGAGGTCGGACGACCATTTCACAGGGGTTGCCAAACAACGCAGTCCGCCATTTCCCCCCCCCCTTTTCCTTAGCTGTGCTACTCTTTTTTATTCTCTTGGCTTTCGAAAGCCAATAGAATAGACTCTCTTGAATAGAGTCTAATTCTATTGGCTTTCCAAAGCCAACAGGAATGGTCCAGGCTGTCTCTGCCCTGCCGAGCCCGCCAAAAGCCCCAGTTTGCAAACGGTGCTGCGAGTTGTCTGCAGCGAAGGCGAGCTGTCTGGAAGCTTCCACCCCTCCCTGCTGAGCAACTGCTAAAAATGGAAGGAAAAGAGGGCCAGGGGTGGGTGGTGGAAGGCCGGCGGGCGCAGGGAGGGTTGCTGGCGTGCGTGGGGCCCGGCGGGTGCCTTAACTGCCTTGGGCTGGGCCAGCTGGTGGCCCAGCCGGTGGTCGGCCTGCGCCGTCTCTGCCGCTTGCCAGCTACGCTTCGGCCGGCAGAGGGGGTGGCACCACGCATGGGCAGCGCTCCCGGGCAGGGAAAGTCCTCAACTTATGACCAGTTGGGTAGTCCTCGACTTACGACCGGTTGGGGGTCAAGGCATTAAAAATGTTGAGAACCATTGTCCTAGAGTAAACAGCTCCGCAGAGGAAGGAATGGGGTTCTGCCCACACCGGGGATCTATCCCGCTCACCACTGGCTGCAGTTGTCCCTCAGAAAGATCTCTCCTGGCCGGCGGTGGTCCTGGTCAAAGAAGCAGTGACACTGGCTGATGTTCACACAGCCTCCCTCCTGCAGGAAGAGACCAGGGGGGCAGCGACAACCTGCAAAGGCGCACAGCGATGGAGGAACATTAGGTACCTGCAAAGAAGGGGTGCAAAGATACCCACCCACCCCTGGCCAAAGACTCAAAACTCACCCTCTATGCAGCTGCTCTGACAGGTCCTCCGGACACTCAGCTGGCGGCACGTCTGCGGGCAAGGGTCCACCAGGCCGCGGGCGCAGTGCCCGGCTTGTACGAAGACCATGTCTGGGCCGCAATCTGTGGAGAAAGACGAGGGATGTACAGGAGCAGAGCTAACTGAATGACCGAGGTGGAAGGGGCCGTGGAGATCTTCTCGTCCAACTCCTTGCTCAAGAAGGAGACACTCAAGGCCATGGATTCAGATGCTCGATGGAGGAGCGAGCTGTTTCCATCACAAGAAGAACTATTACTATCGGACCGTAGGAACAGCTGGTGGGTGGGAGCGAGGGAATCTATTGTTTCGTTAGCTCAGCTTTCGAGTGGGAAAACCGGAGCTGGTTTTGCTTCCGTGCCAATGTAAACTTTCAGTAAAGGATTATACGCTTGGTCAAATCATGTCCTAGGAGTTTCTTGTTCTGAAAATGCCCACTGGACACCTGGCAGATTCGCATCTGCTGCTCTCTGGGCATGTGCAGAGTGCTTCTTCCAGGGAGGGGGGGTCCTGGATCCCGATTGAAGCCTCTACTCTCTGTTTCCCCCCCTGCTCCTCCCTCTCAGCCCCAGTGAACTGCTTTTCCTCACCCCGGGCGTCTCCGCAAGGCTGTTGGTTGCACGTTTCCATCTGCACGGCATCTCCGGGACAGAGCTGCCCGCCGTTTTTGGGTGGGGGGTCTTCGCAGGTCCTGGTACGACTCCTCACGCCCCCCCGGCACTCGGCGTCGCAGTCTGACCACTCGCCCCAGGAGGCCCAGACTCCGTTCACTGTGGCAGGGAAAAGCAGGCGGAAGTAGCCCCGGTGTGAAAAACGGCCCTAAGTCTCTTTTTTTCCAGTGCCGTCATAGTAAATGAACCATTTTAAGTCGTGGGCTACCTGAACCAGCTGAAGGAAGTGGCCGCTAGCTTCCTCCTGGCTTGGATTCACTTCCAGTCAGCTTCTTTCGAGGATAACACCCCCAAATCGTCCAGGGAATGATATTCTTGAGCGGAAAGGGCACCACTGGGAGATACTTTATAGGCTGAAAACGCCCTTGGGAAACCCAGCACATGTTTCTCCCCTGATCTCCTTATGGGGAAAGCGCGTTCTGCCTCGGCCTCTTGCATCTGACTTTCCCATTCTTCCCAAACCTTTTGCCAAGGAGTCACCAAACGCAGTGACTCGACTTACGACCCCCGTTGGGAAGGGAAATTCCATCGCTAAGCAAGGCGGCGGTTCCGCGGCTTGGGCTCAATTTTCCAATCGGTTCGGGGCTGGGGTTCTGAAGGGAATCGCCGGCCTTCTTAAAGGGAATCAGGCTGGTGTTTTTGGCTCCGTGCTTCTAGAAGCACGAAGCCGAAAACACCAGCCTGAAGATGACGAATGAGATTTCGTCGAAACATCACCAAGACACTTCCAATTTGACGCAGGAGAAAACCCGAATAACCAAAAGACCTACATACAAACACCCGCAAAAACCTCAGAAAACACACACACACACACACACACACACACACACACACACACACACACCAGTGACGTCATATCTATGTCCAATGCGTTTTTAATTTTGTATTATTAATAAAAAAAAATTAAAAAAATACTTCAAAATATGAAGTAAAATGTGGAATATTCAGCATTTCACCAGGTTCCACTAAGGTGGCTCAAAATATTAGCTTGAGTTTTTTTTTTTCTCATGGGTTCCGGTGGAGTCCAGGTTTTTGGAAAATCTAGGAATGGGGGAGGAAGGATTTGGGGTCAACCCACAACTGGTACCGAGGGCAGGAAGGCCGATGAGTACCTGGACAGGCCCGGAGGAAGCAGGACCGGCTGTCAAACTCATCCCGGTCACAACGTCCACCCGGGAGAGCGTTGCGGAGTAGGTCGCGCCTCCGGAAGGTGACGCCCAGCCCACAAGATCGGCTGCATTCGCTCCAGGGGCTCCATGGAGACAGGATACAGTCCACTGGGGGAGGAAGAGGAGGAGGAGGAGGAGGAGAGGAGGAGCAGGAGGAAAAAAAGGAAGAAGGAGGAGAGGAGGAGGAGAAAGAAGAAGGGGAAGAGGAGGAGAAGAAGGGGAAGAGAAGGAGGAGAAGGAAGAAGAAGGGGAGGAGGAGGAACAGGAGGAGAAAAAGGAAGGAGGAGGAGGTGGAAGAAGTAGAAGAGGAGGAGGAGAAGAAAGAAGAAGAGGAGGAGGAGGAGAGAAAAAGGGGAAAAGGAGGAGGAGGACAAGGAAGAGAAGAAGGGGAGGAACAGGAACAGGAGAAAAAGGAGGAAGAAGGAGGAGGAAGAAGTAGAAGAGGAGGAGGAGGAGAAAGAAGAAGGGGAGGAGGAGGAGAAGAAGAGGAGGAGGAAGAGGAGGAAGAGAAAGTTGGGGAGGAGGAAGCGGAGGAGAAAAAGGAAGGAGGAGGTGGAAGAAGTAGAAGAGGAGGAGGAGGACAAGGAAGAGAAGAAGGGGAGGAAGAGGAACAGGAGGAGAAAAAGGAGGAAGAAGTAGAAGAGGAGGAGGAGGAGAAAGAAGAGGAGGAGGAGGAAGAAGAGAAGGAGGAGGAGGAGCAGGAGGAGGAAGAGAAAGAGTTGGGGAGGAGGAAGTGGAGGAGGCGAGCAGCAGCAGGAGGAGAAGAGAAGACACAGGAGGAGGAAGAGGAATAGAAGGAAGAGGAAGAGGGGGTAGAGCAGCAGCAGGAGGAGAAAGAGGAGGAAGAAGGAGGAGAGGAGGAAGAAGAGGAGAAGAAAGAAGGGGAAGAGGAGGAGGAGAGGAGGAGAAGGAGGAGGAGAAAGAAGAAGGGGAAAAGGAGGAGGACAAAGAAGAGAAGAAGAGGAGGAGAGGAACAGGAGGAGAAAAAGGAGGAGAAGAGGAAGAGGAGGAGAAGAAGAGAAGGAAGAGGAGGAGAAAGAAGAAGGGGAAGAGGACAAAGAAGAGAAGAAGGGGAGGAGGAGCAGGAGGCGAAAGAGGAGGAGGAGAAAGAGTTGGGGAGGAGGAAGCGGAGGAGGAGAGCAACAGCAGGAGGAGGAACAGAGAATGCAGGAGGAGGAAGAGGAGGAGTAGAAGAAAGAGGAAGAGGGGGTAGAGGAGCAGCAGGCGGAGCAGGAGCAGGAGGAGAAAGAGGAGAAAGAGAAGCAGGAGAAGCAGAGAGGAGAAGGCAAATAAAATATAGGTGGCAAGACCAGGGCAGATGGCACCCCATCTCCCGCGGGAAATGCCCACCGGAGCCCGGGAGCGGCACCTTGGGGGGGGGGGACTGGGTACGCGTGGAGGGGAGGGTCCACGGCTCCTCCTCCCCCTCTCCCGCTCCCCCGCCTACCGCAGTTGGCTTCGTCGGAGCCGTCCGGGCAGTCGTGGCGCAGGTCGCAGCGGCGCTCCAGGCTCAGGCACTCCCCCCCGCGGTGGCAGGAGAACTGCTTGGAGGAGCAGGCGCTGGGGGGGCCCGGCGGGATCGGGGGTGCCACGGTGGGGACGGTGGGGGCCGTGGGGCCGCCTGGCAAAGGAGCAGATGGAAGAGGCCGTTCGAGAGTCGTGGAGAGGTTGGCGGGGGTTGGATCCTGTTCGACCGTGGTTTAACTACGGTTTGCCAACCAAGCCCCACTTTAGCCTGGGTTGACTTCGGTCACCAGGTGGTAGAATTGCCCAAGGCTGTTAATTCACAAGATGACTCTTCTTCTTCTTCTCCTTCTCCTCATCTATTCTCTCCTTCTCGTTGTCCTCCTCCATCTCCTCCTCCTCCACCACCGTCACCATCTTCTCTTCCTTCTCCTTCTGCTTCTCCTCATCTATTGTCTCCTTCTCATTATCCTCCTTCTCCTTCTCCTCTATTGTCTCCTTCTCATTATCCTCCTCCATCTCCTCCTCCACCACCACCACCATCTTCTCCTCCTCCTCCTCCTCTTCTCCTTCTGCTTCTCCTCATCTATGGTCTCCTTCTCATTATCCTCCTTCTCCTCTATTGTCTCCTTCTTGTTATCCTCCTCCATCTCCTCCTCCTCCTCTACCACCACCACCACCATCATCTTCTCTTCCACCACCTCCTCTTCCGTCTCCTCCTCCTTCTGCTTCTCCTCATCTATTGTCTCCTCATTATCCTCCTTCTCCTTCTCCTTCTCCTTCTCATCTATTGTCTCGTTATCTCCTCCATCTTCTCCTCCTCCACCACCACCACCATCTCCTCCTCCTCCTCTTTCTTCTTCTCCTTCTTCTCATCTATTGCCTCCTTCTCATTATCCTCCTTCTCCTTCTCATCTATTGACTCCTTCTCATTATCCTCCTTCTCCTTCTCATCTATTGTCTTTTTCTCGTTATCCTTCTCCATCTCCTCCTCCTCCACCACCACCTTCTGCTCCTCTCTTCCTTCTCCTTCTGCTTCTCCTCTATTGCCTCCTTCTCATTATCTTCCTTCTCCTTTCCTTCTCTTCCTCCCCTTCTTCCTCCCTGTCTTCCTCCTCTTCCCTATCTTCTTCCTCCTCCTCTTTCTCCACCACCACCTCCTCCTCTGCCTTCTCCTTCTCCTACTCATCTATTGTCTCCTTCTCTTTATCTTCGTCCTTCTTCTCCTCCACCATCTTCTCCTCCTCCTTCTCCACTATCTTCCTTCTCCACCCCACTTCCTCCTCTCCTTCTGCTTCTCCTACTTTTCACCTCTTGTCTCGTCCTCATTATCCTCCATCTTCTTCTCCTTGTCATTATATTCTTTCTCCTCCTCCTCCTTTCCTTCTCCTCCTACTCCTCATCTATTCTCTTCATTATCCTCCTTCTTCTCCTTCTCCTTGTCTATTGTCTCCTCATTATCCTACTCCTCCTTCTCTTCTTCATCTATTGTCTCCTTCTCATTATCCTACTCCTCCTTCTCCTTCTCTTCTTCATCTATTGTCTCCTTTTCATTATCCTATACCTCCTTCTCCTTCTCTTCTTCATCTATTGTCTCCTTCTCATTATTCTCCTCCTTATTCTCCTCCTCTTCCTCCACCATCTTCTCCTCCTTTCTCCACTATCTTCCTTCTCCACCCCCACTTTCTCCTCTCCTTCTCCTTCTGCTTCTCCTCATCTATTCTCCTTCTCATTATCCTCCTCCTCTTTCTCCACCATTTCCTCTTCCTTCTCCTTTTCTGCCGTCTTCTCCTCCTCCACCACCACCTCCTCCTCCTTTTCATCTCTTGTCTCCTCCTCATTATCCTCCATCTTCTTCTCCATCTCCTTCTTCTCCTCCTCCTCCTCCCCTCCTCCTCCTTCTCATCTATTCTCATTATCCTACTCCTCCTCCTCCTCCTGCTCCATCACCTCCTTGTCCTTTTCCTACTTTGTATCTCTTGTCTTCTCCTCATTATCCTCCATCTCATTATTCTCCTCCTCCTCCTCCTCCTCCTCATCTATTCTCTTCACTGTCCTCCTTCTCCTCCTCCTTCTCCACCACGACCTCCTCCCCCTCTCCCTCCCTCTCCTCCTCCCAGATGGACTCCATGTGAAGTCCCCACCCCTCCATGTGTAGACTTGGAACCCATCAACCCAAAGACCTTTGGACAGACCACCCAACCGCAGGATGAAAGGGAACAACAAAAAACTCTTCTCTGGGAACCCCTGCAGCTAAACACGGCAGTCGCACGCCGGAAGCCCGGAGGAGAGCCTCATAGCCTCTCGCTGTCCTGAACACAACAGGAGCCCAGCGTCAACTGGACTAACCGACGGCTGTGCCGGTGCTGGTAGCGCACTCACCACAGTGGGCCTCGTCCGAGCCGTCCACGCAATCCTGCTGCCCGTCGCAGACAAACGCCGCTTCCACACAACCCAAGGTCTCGCAGGCAAATTGTCCCTGGACGCATAGGATCCGGGGCATTCCAGCCGAAGGGATGAGAGTCGGCCCTGCCAAAACAGAGGGGAAACTGAGTCAGGGGTAGCGTGGGGTGGGATCCGTGGAGGGGCCGTGCTGGTCTCCGCGAGGCCGGAAGCTGAAATGAGCGTCGGTGGGCTTCTACTTGTTCCTTTCCATCCAAATCTGGGGGGGGGAGGTGGAGCATTCATGACATCACCTCACCCATGACATGATGGCACAGCTGACCTAATAGAATAACAGGGTTGGAAGGGACTGTGGAGGTCATCTAGTCCAGCCGCCTGCTCGAGCAGGAGACCCCCTTACCGAATCACACAGTTGGAAGGGATCGTGGAGGTCGTCTAGTCCAGCCCCCTCCTGCTCGGGCAGGAGACCCTTGCCAGAATCACGGACTCGGAAGGGACCTTGGAGGTCATCTAGTCGAACCCCGCCATTCTGCAAGGGAGAGCCTTACAGAATTACGGGAGCGTAAGTTGACCCCCCTCCTTCTTGGGGGCAGCCCTTCAAATATTGGAACGCTGCTATCGTGTCACCCCCCTAGAGGGGTGGATGGGGGTGAACAGGCTTAGACTCAACCCTGACAAGACTGAGTGGCTCTGGGTCTTGCCCCCCAAGGGTCATCCTGATGGTCCATCATTTGTCCTGGGGGGGGGGGATAAATCTACCTCCCTCCGTGCAGGCACGCAACGTGGGCGTCCTCCTGGACTCACAGCTAAATTTGGAACAACATCTATCGGCCGTGGCCAGGGGGGACCTTTGCCCAGGTTCGCCTGGTGCAGGGGTCTGCAACCTTAAACACTCAAAGAGCCACTTGGACCCATTTCCCAGAGAAAAGAAAACACTGGGAGCCGCAAAACTTGTGTGTGCACACACGCGCGCATGCAAGGGGTGGGGACCTTGATTGAAGAGTTTAATTAAAAAGAAATAGAGGCTGCTCTGCATGAGTTCTCTCTCTCTCTCTCTCTCTCTCTTTCTTCTCCCCTCTCTCTTTCTCTCTCTTTCCTCCCCTCTCTCCCTCTCTCCCTCTCTCTCTCTTTCTCTCCCTCTCTCTCCCCCTCTCTCTCTCCTCTCCTTCTCTTTCCTCCCCCTCTCCCTCCCTCTCTCTCTTTCTCTCTCCCCCTCTCTCTCCTCTCCCTCTCTCTTTTTCTCTCTCTTTCTCTCCCTGTCTCTTTCTCTCTCTCCCTCTTTTCTCCCTCTCTCCCTTTCTCTATTTTTTTCTCTCTCTCTTTCCTCTCCCCCCTCTCCCTCCCCCTCTCTCTCCTCTCCCTCCCTCTCCTTCTCCCTCCCACTCTCTTTCTCTCTTTCCTCTCTCTTTCTTCTCCTCTCTCTCTCTCCCTCTCTCTTTCTTTCTCTCTCCCCCCCTCCCTCTCTCCGATCTTCTGCTCACCTGGCAAGCTGGCTTCAGGCTGTTCTCCAACAAGCTGACACATGTTATTGGGCTGGCTCTCTCCTGCCCATCCTGCTTCCTGCTACCTGTTTTTTGCAGAGATGCAGCAAAGGGAGGAGCCAAACCCAATAAGCTTGTCAGCTTGTCAGAACAGCATGAGGCCACTCTCTTTTACACACAGAGAGAGAGGGAGGGAAGCAGGGAAGTGCAAGTGCCCTCCCCCCTCCAAATGGCAGAGGAGGCTGGGAGCCGCAGGAGAAGGCTCAAAGAGCCATATGCGGCTCCACAGCTTCGGGTTGCTGACCTGTGGCCTGGTGCACCAGTTGCCGCCTTATTTGGACTAGGAGGCTCTACTCACAGTTACTCGTGCCCTTGCCACCTCAAGACTGGATTACTGTAACGCGCTCTACATGGGGCTACCCTTGAAGAGCGTTCGGAGGCTGCAGTTGGTTCAGAATGCAGCCGCGAGAGCGATTGTGGGCGCGCCAAGGTACGCCCACGCGTCATCGATCCTCCGCGAGCTGCACTGGCTTCCTGTGGGTCTCCGGACGCAATTCAAGGTGTTGGTTGTCACCTTTAAAGCCCTTCATGGCTTAGGACCAGGTTACTTACAGGACCGCATACTGCCGCACAGTTCCCAGAGACCAGTGAGGTCCCACAGATTGGGCCTCCTTCAGGTCCCGTCGGCCAGACAATGTCGGCTGGCGGGCCCTCGGGGAAGGGCCTTTTCTGTGGTGGCTCCGACCTGGTGGAATCGACTTCCCTCCAAGATTCCAACTACTCCCACCTTGCCGGCCTTCAAGAAAGCTATTAAAACTCTCCTGTTCCGGCAGGCCTGGGGTTGATGTCCCCGGGGGGGGGCTGGGATACGATTAGGACATGCTGTGTGAATGCACTCATTTTTATTGTTATACTTATTGTTTTAATTTTGTACGCCGCCCTAAGTCCCTAGGGATTGGGCGGCATATAAATTTTATTAATAAATAATAAATAAATAGTTCTTTTCTCTAGACTAGCCGAACCCAAGTCCGGCAGCCGTTCGTCACGTGTTCAAGTCTCCAGACCCTTAATCACCTCAGTTGCTCTTCTTCTCTGCACTTTTTCCAAAAGTCTAAACATCTTTTTTTTTTTTGTGATATGGTGGACAAAATTGGCGGCAGTAGTCCAGGCGTGGCCTTACTAAGGATTTACAAAGCAGTACTTATTCTTCACGGGATTTTGATTCTACGCCTCTGTTGTTATACAACCCAGGATTGTATTAGCCTTCTGGGCTGCTGACGGCCACGGCTGGCTCACGTTGAAGGGGGTCGTCCACTAGGACTCCAAGGTCCATCTCACCGTTACGGGTGTTTGAGCCAGGTTTTAAGTTGGAATGCGCCAACTGGGCCTCCCTCCCACCCCACCGTGTGGGTGGCACACCGGCCTCACCTGACAAGGCGGGCCTCCATCCCGGTGTTCCAGGTCGGGGTGGAAGAACGTGCCACGTCGGCCCTCTTGAAGCACTGCTGGGTCCCGGAGTCACCAGTGGCCGAGAGGTGGGCCAGCCGATGCTGGGTGTTGCTGGGGAGAAGGCAACTGGCACGGTGGTTTTCTGGAAGCGCCGAGAAGGGGTCGGCCTCACGGGGCTGGTGGGGGAAACGGCCGCAGTCTCCGGCTTGGTGACCGGCGGCAACCAGGGGGGCTTCTCCGGAGAAGTCGCAACCGCTGTGGGTCTCGTGCGGATTATCCCTGGGGCTGGGCTGCTGGTGGCAGGGGTCAACCGGCCCTCGGCGCTCTCCGTCTCTGGGGCGCGCGAGAAAGAACCAAACGGTCAGAGGAGAAGAAGAGGAGGACACACACACACACACCCCTCACAAAAATGTGAGCCTCGTCCGGCCTCACTTAAGCTGTCTTGCCCCCCCCCCCCCGAGGGCAGTTGGGAAATCTGGCCCTTAGGATGTCACGACTCTCCCCCTCCCAGTATCCTTTCCCTTGGCGAAATTGGCAGAGTTCGTTCAGCAACATTGGAGATAGTGCATCTCTCAGGAAGGACACAGGCTACGCTAGAGGCAGTGGTGGGATTCAGCCGGTTCGCACCGGTTCGGCAGAACCGGTAGCTAACCTTTGCTGAGTTCAGAGAACCGGCTAATTGCACAGTGCTTTCAGAAGTCCAGTCTAGGCCTCGGAGGTCTGGAGGAGACCTCCCAGGCCTAGAACAGCCCGCCGGAAGTGCATGGATGCCACTTCCGGAAGTCCGTTCTAGGCCTCGGAGGCCTCCCAGGCCTAGAACTGCCCGCCAGAATTCCATGGATGCCACTTCCAGAAGTCTGTTCTAGGCCTCAGATGCCTCCCTGGCCTAGAACGGCCCATCAGAAGTGCATGAATACCACTTCCGGAAGTCCATTCTAGGCCTCGGATGCCTCCCAGGGCTAGAACGGCCTGCTGGAAGTATGTGAATGCCACTTCCGGAAATCTGTTCTAGGCTCGGACGCTTCCCAGGCCTAGAACGGCCCACTGGAATTGCATGGATGCCACTTCCAGAAGTCCGTTCTAGGCCTCAGATGCCTCCCTGGCCTAGAACGGCCCATCAGAAGTGCGTGAATACCACTTCCGGAAGTCTGTTCCAGGCCTCAGATGCCTCCCAGGGCTCGAATGGCCCGCCGGAAGTGCTTGGATGCCACTTCCAGAAGTCCATTCTAGGCTTCAGATGCCTCCCAGGCCTAGAACAGCCCGCCGGAAGTACATGGATGCCACTTCCGGAAGTCTGTTCTAGGCCTTGAAGGCCTCTCAGGCCTAGAACGGCCCATCAGAAGTGCATGAATACCACTTCCAGAAGTCCGTTCTAGGCCTCGGATGCCTCCCAGGCCTAGAATGGCCCGCCGGAAGTGCATGGATGCCACTTCCAGAAGTCCGTTCTAGGCTCGGACGCTTCCCAGGCCTAGAAAGGCCTGCCAGAATTGCGTGGAGTTGCATGAGCATTGCAGGTACTCGGAGCCTCGTGTGAGTGTCGTGGGCACTTGAGGCCTCATTCACACGAGTGTTGGGGGTGCTCTCGGTCCCACTCATGCAAGCAATGGGTTTTCATCAGAGCTTCTGGCTGCTAGTTGGCATTCCTGGACACTAGTTAGTGTTCATGGATGTGGTCTGCTAGTCTTCTATCTGTTCCTCCTACATAGTGGTTGTTATAGCCTCATTGTCTGTTCTAGATTTTGGTGTCTCTTTTCAATGGTGTGTAAGCGTTATTTATCTTTTCCTCCCCTCCCTGCTCCAATCCGCCAACCCGGAAAAGTGGGGAACCCTGCGCTACACCATCTCTGTAACTTCCAGCCCCCCCCCAATATCCCCACCAGGTCCCCAACTTCCCGTCCCCACCCTCAACTCACTCCAGGCACAGCCAAACACCTCCAGGCGCCAGGCAATGCTTTGCTGGTACTCCACGGGCACGAAGCGCAGGAAACGGGTGAGGATAGTCGGGCTGAGCTCCTGTTGAGTCGGAGTGATGCTGTCAGAGTTCCCCTCCAGAACCTGCCGGACGGAAGGATGACAAAACAGGTGGTTCAAGAGCATGGAAACACCTCCTCCTCTTGGCAAAGCAGAGAAGAGCAACAAAGAGAATGGAGAGAAAGGGATGGAAAAATGGAAGAGAGTAACCCACGGAAAGATGATGCTATTAAAGGCTGTCTCTGTTTTTGTGATGGTCACCATCACTCCCTAGATTGTGGCAACACCTGCAAAGAGAGTGTGGAGAGGACAGAAGCGGTGGTTCAAGAGCATGGAACCTCTCCTCCTCTTGGCAAAGCAGAGAAAAGCAACAAAGAGAAGCTTTTAAGGATGGAGAGAAAGGGATGGGAAAATGGAAGAGAGTAGCCCATGGGGAGATGACACTATTAAAAGCCGTCTCAAAGCTCGCATGAGTAGGGCCGCGATGCTCATGGTGAAGCTTGCGCGAGGGGGCTGCGATGCTCATACAAGGGGGGCTCCAAACACCCCGGAAGCTTGTGCGAGTGGGACTGCAACGCTCGTGGTGAAGCTAAAGTTCGTGTGCATGGGGTAGCAATGCTTGCACAAACAGCCAATAGGCCATGGTCCAGTAGTAGGCCACAGCCCACAGATTGGAGACCCCAGATACAGACCACATTCTACCACAGGGTAGGGAAACTACAAGGCCAGGCTGACTTGTAGGTCCTGGATCCCCTCCTGAATTGGAAGTGGGAGGCGCCATACCTGAGCTTGCAAGGATGTAGCTGGGCTATAACCAGGTTTACTGTAGTTCCAAAAATGGACCCCATCATTGCTGTAGAGCAGGCGATAACGTGAGACGAATCCCCCAGACCTGCCTCCACCTTGAGTGGCCACCGCCGTGATGAAGAAAGGCTGGAGGAGGTCCACCTGGAAGTAGGGGTTGGGGTCAGACTGCCGGGGGCTCCATCCTGGCTCCATGTTTTGTCTGGAAAAAGGAGACCCCAGAATTGGTTACAGTCCAGACCAGATCATGACCGTAGATGGAACTTCTGAACATCTGTCTTGGCCACGTCTTCTTCTATCCTGGCTAGGAGAACAAGTTCCCATCATGCTTTTGGCCTCTTTCCTGGACAAAAGGTTAGGAAGACCCATAGAACTGGTAAAGGTAAAGGGATGGCTGGGGGAATTCTGGGAATTGAAGTCCACCCAACTGCGAGGGGTCAAGGTTGAGAAACACCAGGATGGGTGGGTGGATGGATGGATGGGTGGGTGGAGGGATGGATGAAGAGTTGGATGGATGGAGAGATGGATGAAGTTGGATGGACAGAGAGATGGATGGATGGAAAGATGGAAGGATGGAGAGATACTGTAGATAGATAGATAGATAGATAGATAGATAGATAGATAGATAGATAGGTAGGTAGGTAGGTAGGTGGGTGGGTGGGTGGGTGGGTGGGTGGATGGATGGATGGAAAGATGGATGGATGGATGGATGGATGGAAAGATGGATGGATGGAAAGATGGATGGATGGATGAAGAAATGGAAAGATAGATAGAAGGATATAGATCAGTTTTTCTCAACATGCTATCTGGAGAATTCTGGGAGTTGAAGTCCACCCATCTTCAGGCTGAGAAACATCTAGATGGACAGAAGGATGGATGGATGGAGAGATGGATGGAGAGATGAATGGATGGAAAGATGGATGGAAAGATGGATGGATTGATGAAATTGGATGGAGAGATGGATGGAAAGATGGATGGATGGATTGATGAAAAGTTGGATGGATGGAGAGATGGATGGATGGAGAGATATATGGATGAATGGATGGATGAAGGATGGAGAGATAGCAAGATGAGAGAAAGATATACATCAGTTCTTCTCAACATGCTATCTGGAGAATTCTGGAAGTTGAAGTCCACCCATCTTCAGGCTGAGAAACATCTAGATGGATGGATGGATGGATGGATGGATGGATGGATGGATGGGGGAAGGAGAGAAAGAGATATGTGCTTCTCCACATGCATGCTGGAGAATTCTGGGCGTTGAAATCCACCCCTCTCCCCATGGCCAAGGTTCAGGATCGCTGCTCGAGTTGTTGTGCTCCTAGAACACTCGAGCTTGGAGTAGCTCCGGTCCACTTACACACTGGATGCCCTGTTCAGCCGTCCGGCGTCTGGGGGGTGTCGTTCCTGGTACGAGGAGGCCACCAACTGTTGGTGGGGGATGCGCCCGTCCTCCAGGCCAAGGGGCTCCCTGCAAGAATCTGGACCAAGGGATACAAAATTACAACGCATGGTGAGGACATTCCTGGAACAACCTGGGTAGAACAGAACAGAACAGAACAGAATGAAATAGAATGGAACAGAACAGAACAGAGCAGAGCAGAACAGAATAGGACAATACAACAGAGCGGAAAGGAATAGAATAGAAAAGAATAGAGAACAGAACAGAACAGAATGAAATAGAATGGAACAGAATAGAACAGAACAGAGCAGAACAGAATAGGACAATACAACAGAGCGGAAAGGAATAGAATAGAAAAGAATAGAGAACAGAACAGAACAGAATGAAATAGAATGGAACAGAATAGAACAGAACAGAGCAGAATACGACAATACAACAGAGCGGAAAGGAATAGAATAGAAAAGAATAGAGAACAGAACAGAATAGAACAGAACAGAACAGAATGAAAAAGAATGGAACAGAATAGAACAGAACAGAGCAGAGCAGAGCAGAATAGGACAATACAATAGAGCGGAAAGGAATAGAATAGAAAAGAATAGAGAACAGAACAGAACAGAACAGAATGAAATAGAATGGAACAGAATAGAACAGAGCAGAGCAGAATAGGACAATACAATAGAGCGGAAAGGAATAGAATAGAAAAGAATAGAGAACAGAACAGAACAGAACAGAATGAAATAGAATGGAACAGAACAGAACAGAACAGAGCAGAGCAGAGCAGAATAGGACAATACAATAGAGCGGAAAGGAATAGAATAGAAAAGAATAGAGAACAGAACAGAACAGAACAGAATGAAATAGAATGGAACAGAATAGAACAGAACAGAGCAGAGCAGAGAAGAATAGGACAATACAATAGAGCGGAAAGAATAGAATAGAAAAGAATAGAGGACAGGACAGGACAGGACAGGACAGGATAGGAGCTGGAAGGGACCTTGGAGGTCTTCTAGTCCAGCTCCCTGCTCAAGCACAAACTTTTCTGGGGCGTTGCAAAGGTCCTTAGTATCCTCAGAGGAACACAACCTTGAGTAGTGGGTAGTGGCAGGCCTTGAGGTGAGGAAGGGGGAAGTTGAGGCAAAGATGGAGGAATGGGAGATTGGCTTGTAAACGTTGAAAAGAAAGTTCCAAATTGCCGGTTTCTTTCTGATTCTGGTTTGTTTGCACTTTCTTTCTTTCTTTCTTTCTTTCTCTTTCTTTCCTTCTTTCTTTATTTCTCTCTCTCTCTCTCTCTCTCTCTTTTCCTTCCTTCCCTTCTTTTCCTTCTTTCTCTCTTTCTTTTCCTTTCCTTTCCTTCCTTCCTTCTGCCCTTCTTCCTTCTCTCTCTCTCTCTCTCCCTCCCTCCCTCCTTTCTTCTTCTTCTTCTTTCTTTCTTTCCTTCTTTCTTTATTTCTCTCTTTCTTTATTTATTTCTCTCTTTCTTTCTTTTCCTTCCTTCCCTTCTTTTCCTTCTTTCTCTTTCTTTTCCTTTCCTTCCTTCCTTCTGCCCTTCTTCCTTCTCTCTCTCCCTATTTTCCTCCCTCCCTCCCTCCTTTCTTTCTTTCTTTCTTTCTTTCTTTCTTTCTTTCTTTCTTTCTTTCTTTCTTTCTTTCTTTCTTTCTCTTTCTTTCCCTTCATTCCCTTCCTCTTTTCCTTTCTTTCTCTCTCTTCCTTCCTTCCTTCCTTCTTTCCTCCCTTCTTTCTTCTTTCTCCCCTATTTTCTTCCCTCCCTCCTTCCTTCCTTTCTTTCTTCCCTTCTTTCCATCTTTCCTTCTTTTCCTTTCTTTCTCTCTTTCTTCCTTCCCCTTCTTCCTTCTTTCTCTCTCTCCCTATTTTCCTCCCTCCCTCGTTATCTTTCTTTCTTTCTTTTCTTTCTTTCTCTCTTTCTTTTCCTTTCCTTCTTTTCCTTTCTCTTTTTCTTCCTTCTCTTCCTCTTCCTTCTCTCTCCCTATTTTCCTCCATCCCTCCCTCCCTCCCTCCCTCATTATCCTCCTTCCTTCCTTCTTTCCTTCCTTCCTTTCTTTCTTTCTTTCTTTTCCTTCCTTCCCTTCTTTCCCTCTTTCTCTTTCTTCCTTCCTCTTCCTTTCTTTCTCTTTCTTCCTCCCTCCCTCTTCCTTCTCTCTCTCCCTATTTTCCTCCCTCTCACCCTCATTATCCTTTTCTTTCTTTCTTTCTTTCTTTCTTTCTTTCTTTCTTTCTTTCTTTCTTTCTTTCTTTTTATTTTTCCTTCCTTCCCTTCTTTTCCTTCTTTCTTTCTTTCTCTTTCTTCCTTCCCTTCCTCTTCCTTTCTTTCTCTCTTCCTTCCTCCCTCCCTCTTCCTTCTCTCTCTCTCCTTATTTTCCTCCCTCCCTCCCTCATTATCTTCTTTCCTTCCTTCCTTTCTTTTCTTTCTCTTTTTTCCTTCCTTCCCTTCTTTTCCTTTCTTTTTGTCTTTCTTCCTTCCCTTCCTCTTCCTTTTTTTCTCTTTCTTCCTTCCTCCCTCCCTCTTCCTTCTCTCTCTATTTTCTTCCATCCCTCCCTTATTATCTTCCTTCCTTCTTTTTCTTTTCTTTCTTTCTTTTCCTTTTCTCCTTCCCTTCCTTTTTCTTTCTCTCACTCTTCCTTCCTTTTTTCTTTCTTTTACTTTCTTCTGTCCCTTCCTCTTTCTCTCTCTCTCTTTCTTCCTTTCTTCCTTTCTCTTTCTTTTCCTTCCTTCCTTCTTCCCTTCTTTCTCTCTCTCCCTATTTTCCTCCCTCCCTCCCTCATTATCCTTTCTTTCTTTCTTTCCTTCTCCTTCCTTCCCTTCTTTTCTTTCTTTCTCTTTCTTCCTTCCCTTCCTCTTTCTTTCTCTTTCTTCCTTCCTCCCTCCCTCTTCTCTCTCTCTCCCTATTTTCCTCCCTCCCTCCCTCATTATCTTCCTTCCTTCCTTCCTTCCTTTCTTTTCCTTTTCTCCTTCCCTTCCTTTTTCTTTCTCTCGCTCTTCCTTCCTTTCCTTTTTTCTTTCTTTTCCTTTCCTCCTTCCTCTTTCTCTCTCTTTCTTCCTTTCTTCCTTCTTTCTCTTTCTTTTCCTTCCTTCCTTCCCTTCTTTCTCTCTCTCTCTATTTTCCTCCTTCCTTCCTTTTCCTTCCTTCCTTCCCTTTCTCTTTTCCTTCTTTCTTTCTCTTTCTTTCTTCCTTCCCTCCTTCCTTTTTTCCTCTCTTTTCCTCCCTTCTTCCTTCTTTCTCCCTATTTTCCTCCCTCCCTCCCTCCTTTCCTTCCTTCTTTCCTTCCTTCCTTCCTTCCTGTCTTTCTTTTCCTTCCTTCCCTCCCTCTTTTCCTCCCTCCCACCTTTCCCCCCTCCCTCCCTCCCCTTCCTTTTTTAATTCCGTCTCTGCATTTGTTTTTTTTTTTTTAGCCCAAGGAAACATTTTCCACGAAGATGGATCTCTCCCTAATTTCCCCTTACCTGGCGGGGTGGGACTCTGGGCCCCGGGCCTCGGCCTTCCACCTGGGGACACCTGCAAGGGGGAGGGGGGAGAGAAGAGGAGGAGGTCCCACCTGGTCTTCCGAACGCGCATTTGCACACGTCTGTATGCACCCAAACCGGACGCGGCGTTCCGGGGGCAGCCCCTACGAAGGCTTTACCAAGCGGTCCGAATCCTTCCCAGGATTCTGATTCTGCGCCTCTGTTTAAGGCAACTGGGGGATCGTCTCAGCCTCTGGGGCCACTGCAAGGGCGGAAGGGACCCTGGAGGTCATCCAGTCCGACCCCTCGCTCGAGCAGGAGACCCTGACAGAATCACAGAGTCGGAAGGGACCCTGGAGGTCATCCAGTCCAACCCCTGCTCAAGGAGGAGACCCTGACAGCATCATAGGATAGAATGGGAAGGGACCTTGGAGGTCATCCAGTCTGACCCCCTGCTTGAGCAGGAGACCCTGAAAGAATCTACAGAATCACAGAAGGGACCCTGCAGGTCATCCAGTCCAACCCCCTGCTCCAGCAGGAGACCCTTATAGAATCATAGCATCGCAGAGTTGGAGGGGACGTCAGAGGTCATCCAGTCCATCCCCCTGCTCGAGCAGGAGACCTTGACAGAATCTACAGAATCACAGAGTCAGAAGGGACCCTGGAGGTCATCCAGTCCAACCCCCTGCTCAAGGAGGAGACCCTGACAGAATCATAGGACAGAATGGGAAGGGACCTCGGAGGTCATCCAGTCTGACCCCCTGCTCAAGCAGGAGACCCTGAAAGAATCTACAGAATCACAGAGTCAGAAGGGACCCTGCAGGTCATCCAGTCCAACCCCCTGCTCCAGCAGGAGACCCTTATAGAAGCATAGAATGACAGAGTTGGAGGGGACCTCAGAGATCATCCAGTCCAACCCCATTGCTCAAGCAGGAGACCTTTACAGAATCACAGACGGAAGGGACCCTGGAGGTCATCTAGTCCAACCCCCTGCTCGAGCAGGAGACCCTTACAGAATCCCAGAATCACGGAGTCGGAAGGGACCTTGGAGGTCATCTAGTCCAACCCCGTGACAAGCAGGAGACCCTTGCAGAATCATAGACTAAAAGAGTTGGAAGGGACCTCAGAGGTCATCCAGTCCAACCCCCTGCTCAAGGAGGAGACCCTTACAGAATCATAGGACAGATGGGAAGGGACCTCGGAGGTCATCCAGTCCAACCCCCTGCTCGAGCAGGAGACCCTGACAGACTCACCGACTAAAAGAATTGGAAGGGACCCTGGGGGTCATCTAGTCCTCCCTCCCCCAACCTCCACATTTTCCTGCTTGTGCAAGTTCCTCCCCCTTGACAACCAGGTGACCCCCCAAAAAAAACATGGGCCTCCCTGGCATGTGTGTGTGTGTGTGTGTGTGTTTCCTTACCACAGTGGGAGCGGCCGCGGAGACCTGCCTTGGCTTTTCCGAAGTCCACGAGCTGGAAGGAAGACCACGAGACGTTTGGTTACTAGACCTCATGAAGGCGCTACAGAAGAGGGCAGGTTCGGCCACTCAGAAGGGGCCGGCAGGGTGTATGTGTGTGTCCAGCCACTGATCTGCCCAGCGTTCAAATCCGGGCGTCCCAAGGGCCGTAAATTCCGTTCGTCCTTACGTGAGAACGCCAGGCGTTGGCCCGCCGCTGGCAGGCGCGCAACCGATCTCGTCGCTGCCGTCCGGGCAGTCAGCCACTCCGTCGCACCTCTGCATGGCCTCGAGGCAGAGGTCGGAAAAGGCGCAGGGGAAGTGGGGCAGCGGGCAGCCCTCCGGGGTGGGGGGCTCCAGAGAGGGGGCCACACCTGCAAAGGGAGAGCCGGGATAGAAGCTGCTCGCACACCTGTCGTTGCAGGGAAAGGACAGGAGGGGGCAGCGGAGAGGCAGCGGGGCCACCCCGGAGAAGGCCCCGTTTGTATGGATGGGTCGGAAACACGGGTTGACGTGGGCTGCACATTGCCCCCCCCACATACACACACAGTTGCTGAACTAGGCGAACAAGCAGTTTCGTGACAGGAAGTCTTGACTTACGACCGCAACTGAGCCCAAAATGGGACAGAGCGGAACAGAACAGAAAATAGAAAAATAGAAAATAAATAGAAAATAGAAAATAGAAAAATAGAAAATAAATAGAAAATAGAACATAGAACATAGAATATAGAACACAGAAAATAGGAAATGGAAATGGAAAATAGAAAATAGGAAATGGAAAATAGAAAATACAAAATAATAGAAAATATAAAATAATAGAATGGAACAGAACAGAATAGACAATAGAAAATAGAATGGAACAGAACAGAGAACAGAATAGAACAGAAAACAATAGAAAATAAGAAGTAGGAAGTAGAAAATGGAAAAGAGGAAATAGAAAACAATAGAAAATAAATAGAAAATGGAAAATAGAAAATAATAGAAAATAAAAAATAATAAAAAATAAATAGAAAATGAAATATAGAAAATAGAAAATAATAGAAAATAAAAAATAATATATATATATATAATGGAAAATGGAAAATAATAGAAAATAAAAAATAATAGAAAATAAATAGAAAATGGAAAATAGAAAATAGAAAATAAAAATAATAGAAAATAAATAGAAAAAAATAGAAAATAAAAAATAACAGAAAATAAATAGAAAATGGAAAATAGAAAATAATAGAAAATAAAAAATAATAAATAATAAATAGAAAATGGAAAATAGAAAATAGAAAATAACAGAAAAAAAATAGAAAATAGAAAATAATAGAAAATAGAAAATAGAACAGAATAGACAATAGAAATAGAATGGAACAGAATGGACAGAACAGAACAGAATAGAAAACAATAAAAAACAGAAAATAGGAAATGGAAAATAGAAAATAATAGAAAATAATAGAAAATAATAGAAAATAAATAGAAAATGGAAAATAGAAAATAAAAATAATAAATAATAAATAGAAAATGGAAAATAGAAAATAAAAAATAGAACAGAATAGACAACCGAAAATAGAATGGAACAGAATGGAACAGAATAGAATAGAATAGAATAGAATAGAATAGAATAGAATAGAATAGAATAGAATAGAATAGAATAGAAAATAGAACACAACAGAACAGAATAGAAAGGAATAGAAAATAGAATGAAATAGAATGGAATAGAATAGAACAGAACAGAGCAGAATTGAATAGGACAATACAATGGAGCGGAAAGGAATAAAATAGAAAAGAATAGAAAATAGAATGGAACAGAACAGAGTAAAATAGACAATAGAATGGAATAGAATAGAATAGAAAAGATTAGAAAACAGAAAAGAAGAGAAGAGTAGAGAAGAAAAGAGAAGAGAAGAAAGGAGAAGAGAAGAGAATGGCAGAATTGGAAGGGACCCTGGAGGTCTTCTAGTCCAACCCCCTGCTCAGACAGGAAACCCTGTACCCTTTCAGACCAATGGTTGTCCAATCCCTTTGTCAAAACCTCCACTGTCGGAGCATTTGCCATTTCTGGTGGCGAGCCGTTCCACTGATTAACTCCACCCGCCTCCCACACTGGATAGGAGAGTTTTGGTCCCGCCCCCTCTCCAGCAGTCCACTCACCGCACCGCAGCTCATCCGAGAAGTCCCCACAGTCGTCGACGCCATTGCAGATGGCCCCATGGTGCCCGGCAGGCACACAGCGCCCATTCCGGCACTGGAACTCACCAGCCCAGCAAGGCCTCCATCCTGCCGGGGACGTGGGCCAGCCGGGCTGCTCTGGGGAAACTGAGGCAGGGAAAAAGAGAGTGATTGAGGATCTCAATCTGAAATGGTACACATACTCCTTAATGGAATGGAATTGGAATGGAATGGAATGGAATGGAACGGAATTGAATTGAATGGAATGGAATGGAATAGAAAATAGAATAGAAAATAGAAAATAGAATAGAATAGAAAATAGAATAGAATAAGAATAGAATAGAGAACAGAATAGAAAATAGAATAGAGAATAGAATAGAATAGAAATAGAAATAGAAATAGAATAGAATGGAATGGAATAGAATAGAATAGGAATAGAATAGAATAGAATAGAATAGAAAATATGGAATGGAATGGAATAGAATAGAATAGAATAGAATAGAATAGAATAGAATAGAATAGAATGGAATAGAATAGAATAGAATAGAATATGGAATAGAATAGAATAGAATAGAATGGAATGGAATGGAATGGAATGGAATGGAATGGAATGGAATGGAAGAATAGAATAGAATAGAATAGAATAGAATAGAATAGAATAGAGTAGAATAGAATAGAATAGAATAGAATAGAATAGAATAGAAAATATTGAATGGAATGGAATGAAATAGAATAGAACAGAATAGAATAGAAAATAGAATAGAATATAGAATAAGGAATAGAATAGAATAAGGAATAGAATAGAATAGAAAATATGGAATGGAATAGGAATAGGAATAGAATGGAATGGAATGGAATGGAATGGAATGGAATAGAATAGAATAGAATAGAAAATATTGAATGGAATGGAATGAAATAGAACAGAATAGAATAGAAAATAGAATAGAATATAGAATAAGGAATAGAATAGAATAGAAATAGAATAGAATAGAATAGAATAGAGTTGGACTAGATGACCTCCGAGGTCCCTTCCAACTTTGTTATTCGATGATGATGATGATAATAATAATAATAATAATAATAATAATAATAATAATAATGGACCTTGGAGGTCATCTATTCCAACCCCCTGCTCAGGCAGGAAACCCTACACCATTTCAGACAGGGGTCTCCTGCTCGAGCAGGGGGTTGGACTAGAGGACCGCCGAGGTCCCTTCCAGCCCTGTCATTGTATGATTCTGTCAGGGTCTCCTGCTCATGCAGGGGGCTGGGCTAGATGACCTCCCAGGTCCCTTCCAACTCTGTCCTTCTATGATTCCGTCAGGGTCTCCTGCTTGAGCAGCGGGTTGGACTGGATGACCTCCCAGGTCCCTCCCAACTCTGTCCTGCTGTGATTCCGTCAGGGTCCCCTATTTGAGCCAAAGGGGCTCGCGAGACCCCCCCACAACGCGGCGACCGACCTAAATACGAGCCGGTTGCCAAGCGGCCGAATTCTGATCACATGACCCCCCGGGGAGGCCGCCCCGGTCCTCCGTGTGTGAGGACCGATGTTACGGCACGTGTTCCGGTGCCGTCGTTGTCTCGAACCCTCCCGAAGGAAGGGAATGGTGGTCAGTCAAGTTTCTCCGCCTCGACTAGGGAATTCTGGGAGTTGAAGTCCACACGGTTGCCACGGTTACAAAATGAAGCCAGGGAGGCGGGGCTTGGCGAAACGCAGCAAGAGGGCGCCGGAATTCCCACAGCACCCTAAACCCAGCCTGCCGACACGCTCCGTCCCTTTCAGGGGTTGTGTGAAGCCGCCGAACGGTCCCCTTCCGGGCCTGAGGGGCGGAGTCGACACATTGTGTCGTCTTTGTGTCCCTCCCTTCCTCCTGGGCCCACCCCAAAGCCCGCCCAGAAACCCCGGCTCCCACCTTTCCCGCAACCCAACAACTCCAGGCGCAGGAAGATGCCGTTGTGGAAGTCGTGGGGAAGGAGGCGGACGTGTCGGGCCGGCACCATGCGCTGGAAGGTCCGGGCGACGGGCGTCGCGTCGTCCGAGTTTCCTTGGAATAGCTGGGGAGGAGGAAAGGCGAGAGATGCACCGTTGGGCCGAGTGGTTTAGGCACCACCAGGCTAGAAAGCGGGAGGTGGTGAGTTTTAGTCCAATCACCAGGTGACTGGGAGTTCTGTATATGACTGTATTATTTTATTGTTTTATGATTGTTTTAAATTTGTACGCCGTCCTGAGTCCTTTGGGATTGGGCGGCATATAAATATTTGAAAATAAATAAATAAATAGTTCTAGTTCCACCTGAGGCATGAAAGCTAGCTGGGTGACTTTGGGCCAATCACCAGGAGACTGGGAATTCTAGTCCCGCCTGAGGCAGGAAAGCCGACTGGGTGACTTTGGCCAATCACCAGGAGATTGAGAGTTCTAGTCCCGCCTTAGGCAGGAAAGCCAACTGGGTGACTTTGGACCAATCGCCAGGAGACTGGGAATTCTAGTCCCGCCTGAGGCATGAAAGCCAGCTGAGTGACTTTGGGCCAATCACCAGGAGACTGGGAATTCTAGTCCCGCCTGAGGCAGGAAAGCCGACTGGGTGACTTTGGCCAATCACCAGGAGATTGAGAGTTCTAGTCCCGCCTTAGGCAGGAAAGCCAACTGGGTGACTTTGGACCAATCGCCAGGAGACTGGGAATTCTAGTCCCGCCTGAGGCATGAAAGCCAGCTGAGTGACTTTGGGCCAATCACCAGGAGACAATGAATTCCAGTCCTGCTTTAGGCCTTGAAACACCGTCTTGGTGACTTTGGGCCAGTGAGTTCAAGTCTGTGATTCTGTCATTCCGTAAGGGTCTCCTGCTGGAGCGAAGGGGGGGGGTTGGACTAGATGACCTCCAAGGTCCGTTCCAACTCTTGCGATTCTACTTTGTCTCTTTCCCCCATCTTGCCCTGCTCTCGGCAGGTTGACGGCCACCATCTCAGAAGCAGTCGTCAACCAGGGTCTGTCCGGGAAGGAGGATCCAGGCCTTCAACTTTGGACCTGCCAGCCAATTCCGGAAGACCCGGAATCCGCAGATCTCCTCCGCCCAGAACGATCGCTCCTCAAGAGGAGATGCCAAACCTTCGATTCGGTCCTGGCGGTCCTGGCGGACACTTCTTGGTAGTCGTGCCATCCCTCGCCATCCAGGCTGAACTGGAGGAAGAAGCTGGTCACGTAGGCATCGGAGGACCCTGCTCCTTGGATGACGACCCCTGGGGAAGACGGAGAGAAATCGATCAATGTAAGATAAGATAAGATAAGATAAGGTAAGATAAGATGAGATGAGATGAGATGAGATGACATGAGATGAGACGAGACGAGACGAGACGAGATGAGACAAGGTGAGGCGAGACGAGGAGAAGAGAAGGGAAGGGAAGGGAAGGGAGGAGCGGAGAAGAGAAGAGAAGAGAAGAGGATAGGAGAGGATAGGATAGGATAGGATAGGAAAGGATGAGGTGAGAAGATGATAAAGCAAAGCAAGGCAAACGAGACGAGATGAGAAGAGAGAAGATGATAAGACAAGATGATAAAAAGGATAAGAGGATAGGATAGGATAGGATAGGATGAGGTGAGAAGACGATAAAGCAAAGCAAGGCAAATGAGATGAGACGAGAAGAGAGAAGACAAGATGATAAGACAAGATGATAAAAAGGATAGGATAGGATAGGATAAGATGATAAGGCAAGGCAAACAAGACGAGATGAGACGAGACGAGATGAGATGAGACGAGGAGAAGAGGAAGAGAAGATGATAAGACAAGATGATAAAAAGGATAGGATAGGATAGGATAGGATAGGATAGGATAGGATAGGATAGGATAGGAGGATAGGATAGGATAGGATAGGATAGGATAGGATGAGGTGAGAAGATGATAAAGCAAGGCAAGGCAAATGGGACAAGAAGAGAGAAGAGAAGAGAAGAGAAGATGATAAGAGAAGATGATAAAAAGGATAGGATAGGATAGGATAGGATAGGATGTGAGAAGATGATAAGGCAAAGCAAGGCAAAACAAGACGAGACGAGACAAAGTGAGGCGAGATGAGACGAGGAGAAGAGAGAAGAGAAGAGAAGATGATAAGACAAGATGATAAGATGATAAAATAGAGGATAGGATAGGATAGGATAGGATAGGATAGGATAGGATAGGGTGAGAAGATGATAAGGTGAGGTGAGGTGAGATGAGATGAGATAAGGTCTATGACAATTCACTGCAGCCAACTCGCTGCAGGACGAGAGTTATACTAATACCAAAGAAAAGGTGGAAGAGAATCATTCAACAAAGGATGCAAAAGGAGGGACAGAATGAAATCAGAAGGACAAAAATTAAAATAATGTGTTAAATTGTTTTTAACAATTAAAAATTGTTAAATTGTCCCGCGGCAAGTTGTCCCACGGCAAGTGAGCCATGACGGATTGGCCACGGCGAGTTGGCCGTGACGAATTGGCTGCGGTGAGTTGGCTGTGACGAATTAGCCATGGCGAGTTGGCCGTGACAGATTGGCCACAGCGAGTTGGCCATGACGGATTGGCCATGGCGAATTGGCCGTGACGAATTGGCTACGGCAAGTTCATTGTGATGAATTGGCCACGGCGAGTTGGCCGTGACGAATTGGTTGCAGTGAGTCAGCCATGACGAATTGGCTATGGCAAGTTGGCCCTGACGAATTAGCCACGGCGAGTTGGCCGTGACGGATTGGCTACAGAGAGTTGGCCGTGACGAATTGGCTATGGTGAGTTGGCCGTGATGAATTGGCCACGGCGAGTTTGCCGTGATGAGTTGGCCGTGACGAATTGGCTACGGCGAGTTAGCTGTGATGAATTGGTTATGGTGAGTTGGCCATGAAAAATTGGCTACGGCGAGTTGGCCGTGATGAATTGGGTGCGGTGAGTCGGCCGTGACAAATTGGCTACGGCAAGTTGGTTGTGATGAATTGGCCACGCCGAGTTGGCTGTGACGAATTGGCTATGGCAAGTTGGCCGTGACAGATTGGCTATGGCGAGTTGGCCGTGACGAATTGGCCGCGGTGAGTCGGCCGTGATGAATTGGCTGTGACAAATTGGTTATGGCGAGTTGGCCGTGACGAATTGGCCACGGCGAGTTTGCCATGACGAGTTGGCTGTGACAAATTGGCTATGGCGAGTTGGCCGTGATGAATTGGCTACGGCGAGTTGGCTGGGACAATTTACCCCAGTCTGTCCAGACCAGCCTTACCTGTCAGGTTCCTGGGCTCGCCCAAATCCACTTGCAGGAAGGGAGGCCGAGAGAGCAGCTCTGGATACACTTCTGCTGGGGGGGCCCAACCCTGCAAATCAGCCCCCGGAAGAAGGCGTCCGAGCCGAGCAGCGTACGCTGGGTTCTCCGGCTGCTGCGCGGAGGATGTGAAGCTGGCGTCCGGCAGCGAGGCGATGCCCAGAGGCCCGTAGCAGACATCTGTGTAGAAAGAAGACGGTCGAGAGGGCACGAATACAGTCAGCAGTGGCTGAGACACACAGGACCATCCACGCCAGAGGACAACATGGTACGCAGACTGACTTACCACCAAGTGGAGGCAGCGGGTACGTGTTGAGTGGGGCAGCCGTGGGGAAGGGAGCGGAGCTGGCTGGGGTGGTACCCAGGGGTCCCGGAGGGCGAGCACTGGGGATAGCTGTTCGATTTTCCCCTGCAAGAGAAGACAGTCACTCTTAGAATAGTTGGAAGGGATCTTGGAGGTTATCTAGTCCAACCCCCTGCTCCAGCCAGCGTGCTTGGAGAGGAGTGGACATCAACTCCCAGAATTCCCCAGCCGGCATGCTTTGAAAGATGGGTGGACTTAAGCTCCCGGAATCCTCCAGCTAACATGCTTTGAGAAGGACAGACGTCAACTCCCATAATTCCCCAGCCAGCTTGCTTTAAGAGGGGCAGACTTCAACCCACAATTCCCCAGCCAGCATGTTTTGAGAGGGGAGGACTTCAACTCCCAGAATTTCCCAGCCTTTAAGAGGGGTGGACTTCAATTCTCAGAATTCCCAGCTGGCAGGCTTCAAAAGATGGGTGGACTTCAACTCCCAGAATTCTCCAGACGGCATGCTTTAAGGGGAGTGGACTTCCACTCCCAGAATTCCCCAGCCGGCCTGCTTTAAGAGAGGTGGATTTCAAGTCCCCGAATTCCCCAGCCGCCATGTTTTAAGAGGGGGGTGGACTTCAGCTCCCAGAATTCACTAGACAGCGTGCTTTAAAAGAGGGGTGGACTTCAACTCCCGGAATTGCCCAGCCAGGGGGATTCTGGGAGTTGAAGTCTACCCCTCTTCAAGCTACTGAGGTTGAGCGACAAACGCTGCGTATCTCTGCATAAATGTGGCTCCCGTTGGTGGTGGCGGTACCGAACGTGTGTTGTCTCCACCCCACAACCTCACCCTCTTTAGGACTTACCCCCCTCCATGCAGTAACAACAGGCATCCGCCAGGCCCTTCACCAGCACTCGGCCCTGCGGGAAGAAAGGAAGAGTGTCAGAAGAAGAATTCGACATCTCCGGGCTCCGCGAAGCAGGAACGGGGCCAAACTGACCTCCGGACAGCCCACCGTGCTGTAGGGACAATACTGGGAACACTGGACGGTGAGGTTGGGCAAACACTGGCACACTTGGCACTGCCCCGAACGCCAACGGTCGCCAATGGCGTGGGTACGGCCGTGGTGTTCACACTCCTCGCACGGCTCCGTCTGGCACCTGCAAAAGGTGGGAATGAGACATCGTTTGACCCACACACCACGTAGACAAGAGGTGCACCGTGGTGTTCACACTCTTCACACGGCTCCGTCTGGCATCTGCAAAAGGCGGGAATGAGACGGCGTTTGACCCACACACAATGTAGACAAGAGGTGCACCGTGGTGTTCACACTCTTCGCACGCCTCCGTCTGGCACCTGCAAAAGGTGGGGATGAGACAGCGTTTGACCCACACACAATGTAGACAAGAGGTGCACCGTGGTGTTCACACTCTTCGCACGGCTCTGTCTGGCATCTGCAAAAGGCGGGAATGAGAGGGCGTTTGACCCACACACTACGTAGATAAGAGGTGCACCGTGGTGTTCACACTCTTCACACAGCTCCGTCTGGAACCTGCAAAAGGCGGGAATGAGACATCGTTTGACCCGCACACCACGTAGACAAGAGGTGCACCGTGGGGTTCACACTCTTTGCACGGCTCCGTCTGGCATCTGCAAAAGGCGGGAATGAGACGGCGTTTGACCCACACACAATGTAGACAAGAGGTGCACCGTGGTGTTCACACTCCTCGCACGGCTCCGTCTGGCACCTGCAAAAGGCGGGAATGAGACATCGTTTGACCCGCACACCACGTAGACAAGAGGTGCACCGTGGGGTTCACACTCTTTGCACGGCTCCGTCTGGCATCTGCAAAAGGCGGGAATGAGATGGCGTTTGACCCACACACAATGTAGACAAGAGGTGCACCGTGGTGTTCACACTCTTCACACGGCTCCGTCTGGCACCTGCAAAAGGCGGGAATGACACTGCGTTTGACCCACATACCATGTAGACAAGAGGTGCACCGTGGGAGGGCTTGGGAAAATGCACACGCACATACGCACACCGTTGCGTGAAGGAGAGAAGGGCAACAAAGTTTTGGTGTCCGCAATACTAAAAAGACGTTGAGACACTGGAAAGAGTGCCGGAAGAGCAACTTTGATGATTAGGGAACCGACGCATAAAACATACGACGAAGGGTTGAAGAAATTGGGCATGTCTAGTTTCATGAAAAGAAGAACCGAGGGGACGCGAGGGCCATCTCGTAATATTTGAGGGGCTGCCACAAACAAAAGGGGGGGTCCAACTAGTCTCCAAAGCACCTGAGGGCAGGAGAAGAAGCAATGGGTGGTAACTCATCAAGGAGAGAACAACCTGGAACTAAGGCGAATTTTCACAACAGCGAGGACAATTAACCAGTAGAACTGCTTGCCACCAGAAGTTATGGGTGACTTTGGCCTTGTCATCAACACGAAGAAAACTGAAGTGATGTACCAGCCAGCTCCAAAAGCCCAATATCAAGAGCCTACCATCACAGCAAAGGGACAAAAGCTGCAAGCAGTGGACCAATGTACGTATCTTGGTAGTAGCCTCTCCCGTGCAGTGACAATTGACGTCGAGGTCAACTGTCGAATTGCCAAGGCAAGTTCTGCATTTGGCAGATTGCGGATTCACGTGTGGGACCGCCGTGGAATAAGCCTTGCTACCAAGCTTAAAGTTTACCAGGCAGCAGTGCTAACTACCCTGTTGTATGCTAGTGAGACCTGGACAGTGTACAGGAGGCACGTTAGGCAACTGAACTACTTCCACATGACTTGCCTTTGTAAAATTCTGAGGATCCGGTGGCAGGATAAGATACCAGACACAGATGTCCTCTCCAGAGCAGGCCTACCATCAGTTTACACTCTGTTGATGAAAGCCCAGATGCGCTGGGCGGGCCATGTTGTGAGGATGCCGGATCATCGCATCCCTAAACAGCTCTTCTATGGTGAGCTGTCCCAAGGAAAGCGATCGCACGGGGGACAAAAGAAGCGATACAAAGACACGTTGAAAGCCTCTCTCAAGTCCCTGGAGATTAACACCGTCTCTTGGGAACTTCTGGCGCACGATCGACCGACGTGACGCACCTGGGTGTACCAGGGTTGCCAGACATACGAACACAGAAGGACCATCTTGGCACAAGAGAAGTGAGCACTCCGCAAAGCCAGAGCTGCAAATGCTGAAGTAACAGTTGTGTCTACGTTTCTTTGTTCAGGATGTGGCAGAACATTCCGGGCTAACATCGGTCTTATCAGCCAGCTACGGACACATCGTTGATGGCCCATAACCCACAAGATGTCAAGGTCTACGTCGAAATCGACGGACGAACAACATGGGTGATCCGATACTGGAGGTTCTCAAGAAGATATTGGACAGTCATTTGTACAGAACAGGGGTCTCCGACCTTTACGGTTTGGTGGGGTGGGGGAAAGAGGGGAACTGGCCCACACTAGTAGTGGACCCACGCACACGCCTACGCTGGCTAATCACTCATGCAGCCTGATTCTGAACGGGCCACGGTCTGGTAGTGGGTCACAGCTTGGGGGGTTGGAGCACCAGAAGACCTCCATGGTCCTTCCAACTCTGTTATGAGGAGGAGGAGGGGGGAAGGAGGAGGAGGAGGAAGAGGAGGAGAAAAGAGTCTCCTGTTTGAGCAGGGGGTTGGACTAGAAGACCTTCAAGGTCCCTTCCAACTCTATTATTCTATTCTATTCTGTTCTGTTCTGTTCTGTTCTATTCCATTCTATTGTATTCTAATTCTTATTCTATTCTATTCTATTCTACTCCTTATTCTATTCTATTCTATTCTATTCTATTATTCTATTCTATTCTATTCTATTCTTATTCTATTCTATTCTATTCTATTCTATTCCATTCCATTCCATTCCATTCCATTCTATTCTATTCTATTCTATTCCATTCCATTCATTCTATTCTATTCTATTCTATTCTATTCTATTCTATTCTATTCTATTCTATTCTATTCTATTCTATTCTATTCCATTCCATTCCATTCCATTCCATTCCATATTTTCTATTCTATTCCATTCTATTCTATTCATTCCATATTTTCTATTCTATTCTATTCTATTCTATTCTATTCTATTCTATTCTATTCTATTCTATTCTATTCTATTCTATTCTATTCTATGCTATTCCATTCCATTCCATATTTTCTATTCTATTCTATTCTATTCCATTCTATTCTATTCATTCCATATTTTCTATTCTATTCTATTCCATTCTATTCTATTCATTCATATTTTCTATTCTATTCTATTCTATTCTATTCTATTCTATTCTATTCTATTCTATTCTATTCTATTCTATTCTATTCTATTCTATTCTATTCTATTCTATTCTGTTCTGTTTGCTTTGCTTGACCGAAGGTGGCCAAAGAGGATCACATGAGCCCTGGGACCCTGTGACCGTTGTAAATACGAGTCAGTTGCCCAGGGTCTGAATTCTGATCGTGGGGATGCAGAAACTGTCGTAAGCGTGAAACAAATTGCCCCCAGTCCCTCTTTGCAACGCAGTTGTAAGTTCGGACCTTCACCAGATGAACCATCGCACGTCGGGGACCAGCGGTGTAGGGTAGCGTGCAATCAACCCGCGGCGCTTCTGAACACTGGATCCTGGTTTGTGGCCCCTGACCCTGATGCTTCTTTGCATGTGAGGACCTGTCGGGTCTTCTACATGGGGTTGTGGGGGGGGCGGGAAGGAGTTGGCTTACCTTCGGGCTTTGCGGTAGATGCCGCGGCACTGACGTCCGTTGCCGTGCTTGGTCGGGTTGTTGGGACTGCGGAAGGACCACTGGATGCTCTGCACCCCGCAGGGACCCAGGCATTCGCCCCACGGCGACCAGGCTGACCAGCCACAGTTCACTGGAGACAAAGGCAGACTCAGTTTCTCCTTGGGGGAAAGGGAAGACACCCCCCCCATCTCACCTGAAAGAGGGAGGGACCCCCGGCGCGGGGCTGACCTGTACACTCCGGGTTCTGTCGGCAGCGTTTCATCTGTCCATCCTGGCAAGTGCAGATCCGGCAGTTGACCTTGACCAGCTGGCCAGGCCAGTAGTGGACACCGCCCACCTGGCAGGGGCAGTCTCGTGGGCGCACGCACTGCTGCTCGCTGTTCAAGACCAGGCCTTCGGGGCACCAGCAGCCTACAGAAGAACAGGGTAGTGGAACCGCAACAGAATCACGGAAGAGCCGATTAGCAGAATACGAGAATGACCGAACAGCAGAATAATAGAAAAATAGAATGGCAGAATAAGAGAACGGCACAATAATAGAATAACAGAATAGCAGAATAACAGAAAAGCACGATAATAGAATAACAGAATAATAGAATAACCGAATAGCAGAATAACACCAAAATAACAGAATAGCAGAGTAGCAGAATAGCAGAGTAGCAAAATAGTACGACAGAATAGCAGAAAGATAGAATAACAGAATAGCAGAATAACAGAATAATAGAATAACAGAATAGCACAATAGCAAAATAACAAAATAGAAGAAAATAAAAAAATAAATTTTTTTTTATAAATACAAAAAATAAAATAAAAATAATGAAAAATTTAATAACAAAAAAAAAAATAACAAAATAGTACAATGACAGAATAGCAGAAAGATAGAATAGCAGAATAACAGAAAAGCACAATAATAGAATAACCGAATAATAGAATAACCGAATAGCAGAATAATACCAAAAGAACAGAATAGCAGATTAGCAGAACAGAATAATAAAATAACTGAATAATAGAATAGCAGAACTACAGAATGACATAACAGCAGAATGATAGAATAACAGAATAGTAGAATAACAGAATAGCAGAATAATAAAATAGCAGAATAACAGAATAACAGAATAGCAGATTATCAGAATAATGGAATAGCAGAATAGCAGAATAACAAAATAGTACAATGACCGACTAGCAGAAAAATAGAATAACAGAATAGCAGAATAACGGAAAAATAGAATAGCACAATAGCAGAATAATAAAATAGTGCAATGACAGAATAGCAGAAAGATAGAATAGCAGAATAACAGAAAAGCACAAAAATAGAATAACAGAATAATAGACTAACCGAATAGCAGAATAACACCAAAATAACAAAATAGCAGATTAGCAGAATAACAGAATAATAAAATAATAGAATAGCAGAACTACAGAATGACATAATAGCAGAATGATAGAATAACAGAATAGCAGAATAATAAAATAGCACAATAGCAGAATAACAGAATAGCAGATTATCAGAATAATGGAATAGCAGAATAACAGAATAATAAAATAACAGAATAGCAGAATAACAAAATAGTACAATGGCAGAATAGCAGAAGAGCAGCATAATGACAGCATACCAGAAAGACAGAATAACAGAATAGCAGAATAACAGAATAACAAAATAGCAGAATAACAAAATAGAACAGAATAACAGAATAAAATAACAGAATGACAGAATGACAGAATAGCAGAATGACAGAATGACAGAATAGCAGTATGACAGAATAACAGAATCGCACCATAACAAAACAGCACAATTAGAGAATAGCAGATGAACGGGATAGCAGAACAACAGAATGGCAGACTAACCGAACAACAGGATAGCAGAGTAACCACAGAACAGCAGAACAACAGAATAGCAGAACACCAAAATCACACAGTTGGGAGGGACCTCTTGAGGTCTTCTAGTCCAACTCCCTTCCTCCAGCAGGACAAATGGACAGAAGATCTTACCCAGACCGATTCTCTGGACGCCCGAGTCCAGCGGATGGACACTGAAGCTCATATTGAGCAACCCCACAGAGATTCAGCCGCCGCCCCCCCTACCTGGTCGGCAGGGCCTGTCCTTCCGGCATCTTATACGGCTGGAGAGCTCGGTGCAGGAGGTGGGACAGGGGGCGCACGTCTGGCTCACCAGCTCCCCCGGGCAAGTGGAGGCATTGAGACAGTCCTCACGTTGACACAACTCTGCAGAGAGAAAAAGCTGAAAGCTCTGTCTACTTGCTGACCGATCTCCGCGCCGGGAAGAGTCCGGCCCCACCGCAGAAGGGCGTCCCGTCATTCCGCAGGATCAAAATGAATGCCCAGTACTGGCAATCCTCGACGTACGACCACAACCGAGCCCCACATTCCTGTGGCTAAGTGAAATGTTTGTTATGTGCGTTTTGCCTCATTGGACGACAACGCGCCGCAGTTGTGAAGGAATTGCCGCCGCCTTAGGTTAGTCCAGACATGTCAAGCGCAAGAATCCATGGGCCAGATCGGGCCCATGATGTGTTTAGATCTGGCCCGCGGAGTCACCTTGGAGATGGTGAGGGGCTGGACCCCACCACCTTGGCTCTGGCCTGCCCCAGGCTGGCTGGGTGCTCCCCCTGGGCACATGCACAGGAGCTGGTGAGCACGCAGAGGCTGGCAGTGCCTGGGAGCAGCTGCAGCTGGTTGGTGACTTGGCCGCACATTGTCGGGCAGTGACGGCCAACTGGATGTGAGCCTAAACAGCGGCCGGCCCCACCCCACCTGCACCGCACTTAGCCGTAGTAACTGTGAGAGGGACCTTGGAGTCCTAGTGGACAATCACCTAAATAGGAGCCAGCCGTGTGCTGCAGCTGCCAAAAAGGCCAACACAGTGCTGGGCTGCATTAACAGAGGGATAGAATCAAGATCACGTGAAGTATTAATGCCACTCTACAAGGCCTTGGTAAGGCCACACTTGGAATCCTGCATCCAGTTTTGGTCACCACGATGTAAAAAAGATGTTGAGACTCTAGAAAGAGTACAGAGAAGAGCAACAAAGAGGATCAGGGGACTGGAGGCTAAAACATATAAGGAACAATTGCTGGAATTGGGTATGTCTAGTTTAACGAAGAGAAGGACAAGGGGGGACATGATAGCAGTATTCCAGTATCTCAGGGGCTGCCATAAAGAAGAGGGAATTAAGCTATTCTCCAAAGCACCTGAAGGCAGGACAAGAAGCAACGGGTGGAAACTAATCAAGGAGAGAAGCAACCTAGAACTAAGGAGAAACTTCCTGACAGTGAGAACAATTAATCAGTGGAACCGCCTGCCTCCAGAAGCAGTAAATGCTCCAACACTGGAAGTTTTTAAGAAGAGACTGGACAGCCATTTGTCCGAAATGGTGTAGGGTTTCCTGCCTGAGCAGGGGGTTGGACTAGATGACCTCCAAGGTCCCTTCCAATTTTACTACTACTATTATTATTATTACTTGCGCATCTCGGCACCCTGCAGTCAGGCCAGCCCTGCCCCACCACCTGCGTGCCTTGCCTCAGTGGCGGTACTGTCAGCAGCAGCAACAGCCCTGTCCAGCAGTAGCCCCACTCCCCCACCACTCTCTTCCAGCCCGGGAAGTCCGCAAGCCCAAAGCTAACGCCTCTGTCGCAGCCTGGCGGGTGGAGCAGCCACCTCGGAACAGCATCCGTGACACACACACACACACACACACACACACACACACACACACTCGCTGCCCTCCTGCACCCACCATGAGCAATCGGACCAAGAAGAGTGAGCACAGCGGCAGCAGCCGCCACGACGAGGAGGTAAGCGCGGCCGGGCATTGCTCAGGGAAGCGGAGCTGCGCTGAACTGGGCTGTGGGGTTGCTGGCCCCTGGAAGATCAAGGTCTGGGCTGGGCACCTGAGGGCAACTATAACGCCGATGCGGCCCTCAATGAACTTGAGTTTTGACACCCCTGGGTTAGTTGCCCCGTTATGAAGTAAATCGGGCTTCCCCGCTGACTTCGCGTGTCAGACGGTGGCAAAAGAGGGTCGCATGACCAAAGGACACCGCGACTGTCATCAACACGAGTCAGTTTTCAAGCCTCCGCATTTCGATCGTGTGACCACAGGGAGGGTGCGCGTGAAAAATGGCCCTAAGTCACTTTTGTTCAGTGCCGTTGTAACTTCGAATGGTTACAAAATGAATGATTGTAAGGGAAGCGATTATCCCGTCCGGCCTTCCATTGCTCGTTCTGTGGGGACTGGCCAGATCTTCCTTTCACCCGTCATCCCCAACTGACTTACGGATCTCTATCGAAGCAGCCGATCCATCCAGCCCTTCGGTACAGTGACGGCCTCCGTTCTGAGAGGGGAGGCATTCCCGGTGACGCACCACCACTCCGCGGCAATCCTCGGTGCAGTTGGACCACGTGGCCCATTCACGCCACTGGCCATCAACTATTTTGGGTGAGAGAGAAAAATTAGGGATTGCGTAGGAGGAAGGATTTCTGCAAATGTAGCGTCTCTTCGGTCCGACACGTCAGGAGCTACAGAGGAAACTACACGACTGCGAACAAAGCCAGGTCAGGACCAAATTAGGTTGAACGGGTGAATGGAGTCCAAGATGCCAAAAGGAGGTGAGGGTCCCAAAGCCCCCCACCCCTCTTACCGGGACAAGCCACTAGGAAGCATTGCTGGGCCTGGGTTTCCTCTCCGAGGCAATGACGGAGAACATCGTCCGCTCGTCGCGTGCAGCTCCTCCGGCGGATCTGGAGACCCGTCCCACACGAGCGGCTGCAGATGCTCCAGGGTGCCCACGGGGTCCAGAGGCCACAGTCCCGCTCATCAGAGGGCAGCCAACCAGAAGCCTCCATGCCATCCGCGCAATTGGCCAGACCGTTGCACACCTGCAAGGACGCGCAACCAGATGTGGCATGAGAGGGCTCCGAAAATAGGAAGAACGTGTGTCCCACTGGAGTAGATTATGATCCCCTTTCTGCCCCCAAGGACAACCTCAAATCAGGAATAACAGAATCACAGAGTTGAAAGGAACCCCGGAGGTCATCTAGTCCAGCAATCTCCAACCTTTCCAGCTTTCTGGATTGGCGAGGGTGGGAAAAAGGATGGTTCTGCTCGAGCAGCGGGTGAGACCATGCCTGTGCAGCTCTGCTTGCACGCACAGCAGGTGGGCAAGTACACAGCAGGCGGGCAAGCGAATGTAGCTCCACTTGTGTATGTGATAGGTGGGCGAAGGCATGCATGCAACTCCATTTGTATCAGCGGTGGATGTGCTTGCACAGCTTCATTTGTGCAAGCACATCCACCGCTGATACAAATGGAGTTGCATGCATGCCTTCGCCCGCCGATCACATACACAAGTGGAGCTACATTCGCACGCTCGCCTGGTACTTCCATAACCAGGTGCTGAGCACGTTGCGGTCTGGATCCAAACAAATCACCAGGCTCATTCCGTCTCCAAAAATCTTGTTTATTGAATACACGGCACGATACTGTCGAAGCAAAATTAACGCCGGGGTTCCAAGACTCCAGTTCATAGAATTAAACAACATTCTCTTCAGTCAAAGCCCCGTCCTCTCGTGTGGTCCCTGTAAATCATTTTACTTTGTTCTGGGAACCATCCGCTTCTCCTCCACGCCTGCTGCAGTGCCCTTGGAAACGACTCAGGCTCTCAACGGCTTTCAGCAGAATCATAAGGGTTTTATTTCTCCATCTAAACCAGTGTTTCTCAACGTTGACAATTTTAAGGCATGTGGGCTTCAACTCCCAGAATTCCACAGCCAACATTGGTCCACATGCCTTAAAATTGTCAAGGTTGAGAAACACTGATCTAAACACTTCTAAAGCAACACGCACACACCCACCCAAATTCTAATGGCAAGTCAAAACGAAGAGGCACGTAGCTGCCAATGTTCCATTCTTGACACACGGCCCTGATCTAGTCCACTCCCTCTGCTCAAGCAGGAAGCCCTATACCATTTCTGACCAATGCCTGTCCAGTCTCTTCAGACTGGGAGGGAGCACTCACAAGGGGTGTCTCTCGCCCGTTCTCCTGCTCAAGACAATCGGCAGATGAAGTCTCCCACCCCAGCACGGTGGGCCGAGTCGTTGCACGGGTGCATTCCCTCACTTTGTGAAGTTGGACACTCTTTCATTTATTTATTTATTTTGCTACGTTACTCGCCAGAGAGCGGATGGAAACACAGAGGAACAGAGGCAGAACAAGATGGAAGGGCAGACTGAGAGCCCATTACAATTAGTCCTTGATTTACCATCGGTTGTTTAGCGACAGTTCGACATTACGAGCAATTCGCCCAAAGACACTTCGCTCCAATGTTCTGACGGCTGCCTCCCTTGTAGCCACATGACTGTACGTTGGGGGCTAAGCAGCCGACTCACATTAAGGCCACTGGCGTCATCCTGCAGGTCACATTTTACACACCTTACGATGTCTTTTGCCCCCCCCAAAATGATGTTTACTTCTGATTTTAGCCAGGATGCTCCATAGCCAACATGATGTTGACTTAACAACTAGTAATAGTAATAGTAGTAAAGTTGGAAGGGACCTCGGCGGTCATCTATTCCAACCCCCTGCTCAGGCAGGAAACCCTACACCATTTCGGACAAATGGCTGTCCAGTCTCTTCTTAAAAACTTCCAGTGTTGGAGCATTTACTGCTTCTGGAGGGAGGCTGTTCCACTGATTAATTGTTCTCACTGTCAGGAAGTTCTCCTTAGTTCTAGGTTGCTTCTCTCCTTGATTAGTTTCCACCCGTTGCTTCTTGTCCTGCCTTCAGGTGCTTTGGAAAATAGCTTGACTGCCTCTTCTTTATGGCAGCCCCTGAGATACTGGAATACTGCTATCATGTCCCCCCTTGTCCTTCTCTTCGTTAAACTAGACATACCCAATTCTAGCAACTGTTCCTGCCACAAAATAGGTCAGGAAATCAAGTTGCTCATGTGGGTGCCCTGCTTTGTGATGTTGCAACTTGTGACCGTAATGGGCAGGCTCCATTTAGAGTTGTAAATCAAGGACTACTCGTACATTACAATTTTTCTACCGTAATATTCTCGTGCGGATAATCCTCGGCGTATGGCCATGATAGAGCCTCAAATGTCCATCGCTAAGCGGGACCTTGTTAAGTGAGTTTTGCCCTATTTTACAACCTTGCTCGATGCTGCTGTTAAACGAATCATCACAGTCGTTAAGCGAGTCACATGGTTCTTCGGCGAATCTGACTTCTCCGTTGACTTGGCTTGTTAAAAGGTCGCAAAAAGAGGATCAGGTCACCCCAATGTAAATGTGAGTCGGTCACCAAGCAGTCCGAATTTGGATCGTGTGGCCACGGGGGTGGAAACTGGTCCTAAGTCGCTTTTGTGTGCGCCGTTGTAGCTTTGAACGGTCGCTAAACGAATGATTGTAAATGGAGGACTACCCGTGTTCTCATCGTTGCGTTATTATTATTATTATAGATTCCTGTCATCCCTCCAGGGCGATGCAGTCAGAATCGGTTAAATAAAGGAATGAAAGAGCAATGAAAGGATAAGGGCGGCGACAGGGAAGGCGAGAAGGAACGAGGATCCCGATTCCTCATCGCACCTGTTTAAAGGCGATACAGGCGCCGTCGCCGCAGGAATATTCCGGACACGGTCCAACTGTCTGATTCCTTCCGCCTGGTGGAGCCGCCGGGATTTCTGTGGGGGTGAGAATCAGCAGCCATCAGAACCAGCAGTACCAACTCACCCATCCTCCACTCCCCCCATCACTCAAGAGGTGTGATGTCTCCCTTGGGGGACTACACAGATTCCTCCCATTCCCGGCACGTCGGGAAGCTTTCAGGAACAGACAACCCAGCGAAGAGAAGGAAGAACTGCCTTCTGCACCTGATCCGAGAACACGCAGGGCAGAGAAAGGGCAAGAGCAAGAGAGGCCAGCCAGACTACTCCAGAGGAGAAAGCCTCACCCTTCTCGATGGGCTGCACGGGAAAGCTAGCTAATTATCCCAGCCGAGGCATGGCTGGGAACAACGCATTGGCTTTCTAGCCGGGTGTTTGATCGTCGTGATTCCTGCTTCACTCTGGATTGACGCCGTGTCTGGAACTGTGCCTCAAAGGCTCTGAACTTTTCTTGCGGGCGGATTTTAGTTTTGCCCGGCGGAGTGATTTGGTTCGAGCAAATGTCAGGCGCTTTGTGGACTAGTCCAGAGTTTATTTATTTATTTATGAATACAATTATTTTATTTATTAATAAAATTTATATGCCGCCCAATCCCTAGGGACTCAGGGCGGCGTACAAAATTAAAACAACAAACATAACAATAAAAATGAATACATTCACACAGCATGTCCCAATTGAATCCTGCCCCCCCCCCAGGGACATCAACCCCAGGCCTGCCGAAACAGGAGAGTTTTAATAGCTTTCTTGAAGGCCAGAAGATGGGAGTAGTTCGAATCTCGGGGGGAAGTTGATTCCACCATGTCGGAGCCACCACAGAAAAGGCCCTTCCCTGAGGGCCCGCCGGCCGACATTGTCTGGCCGACGGGACCTGAAGGAGGCCCAATCTGTGGTTGCCCCAATCTTTCAGCATTGGCAGCCCGGAGCAAGGGGAGGGAGGAAAGAAGGGATGGTTTTGTGAGAAGGGTAGATGCACGTGCGTGCACGCGCACAAACACCCTGTCAACGCTGCTAACATCGGATGTTTTTGCACTGACAACAGATGGAAATGTAGCCATCTTTTACCTGTTGCTTTTAGAGTTAGATGATGCTGGGAGGGGGGATGGGAACGAGAGTCCAGCTAGACGTAACAACACAAAACCTAGTGTGAGAATCAAGGTTATTGTAACCAGAGCTGATAAAGACTTGGCAGGCTGGAGAACTGGAGAGGAAGCCCGTGCTTCGAGCTAATTGGGGAATGTGATTTATGACTGTTAATTGGAGGAGGGAATTGTGCTTTGATACTATGCGCCCAGGGGAGGGGAATTCAGTTTTTGGCTTCGATTATGCCATGCTGATATTATGCTACTCAAAATAAAGATTCTTCTGAATTTTTGGTGAAGGGAATTGCTGGGGAATATTAAAAACTCACTAAACCAGTTGTGTGTGTGTGTGTGTGAGAGAGAGAGAGAGAGAGAGAGAGTGGGCCAGCACAAAAGGCATCCATTTGCTTTCATGTTAAATGCAATAAAAGACATTTAACAGAGGGCTTGGAAGATTATTGTATCTTTGGGCTTACCTGTTGACTGCTTTTTTTTTTTTAATATAGCGAACCGATGCCGCGTCGATTGGATTGACAGATAAATACATTTCCACATCGGGAGCATCTTTTTATGCAACACCGCATTTTTAGCGCATGTCGACGGGAAAGCTTATAATTACACTGATAGGCCTGTTGCGCGAGGAGAGGAGAACGCCTCAGGTATTTGTGATGTGTTTTTGCGTGGTGCGATTGCCTACGGCCGTGTAACGGTATGCTACGATTGTGCCGCAAACGGGCCCAAATGCAGACCAGTTGCCAATGCTTGGCATGCAATCATGTGACTGCGGTGTGTCTCTCTCTCTGTGTGTGTGTGTGTGTGTGTGTGTGTGTGTGTGCGTGTCCTGACTGTCAAAACGTCAAATCCAGGTTGTAAGTACCGCCCCCAGATAGCAACCAGCCATACGTTGAGGGCTACCTATACAGGCGGAACCTATTTTGATTATTCAAATTGAGTTAAATCTGTAGGAAGGGCAAATGGGAGGGGGGGGGAAATGATTGGAAATTTAAAGTGCCCCCCCCCAGGTAGACTTGATTCCTTCCTGGTTTCCTTTGCAGCTTTTGCACCCTTTTCCAAAAATCCACTGCTGCCCATCGTTCCCTTCCTTACCGCAGGCGAGCTCGTCTTCTCCTTGGGAGCAGTCGGGCGAGCCGTCGCACACACGGGATACGTTGATGCACATCCGGTCGTTGCAGATGAAGAACCCAGGGCAAGGGGGGATCTGCGTGGAGCCTGCCTCCGAGAGAAATAAGAGTTGTTCGCCATCGCCACCAGCACCACCACCACCATCAACATCATTGTAGTGTTTTTTCCCCGCAGGTGCAGGGTTCGCTTTTCGGATCGACAAACGCCATCTTGCACAAACGCAGCGGGTCTAGGACGAGTCGTCCCAGCCAACTCGCCGCAGGATAAGTTGCCGCGGCCAACTTGCCATGGGGACAACTCATTGCGGGACAATTCGAGAGACGGACGAGCAAATTGCAGCGGGCCTTGTCTTGCTTTAGGCTTGAACCTTCTCAAGTTAGCAGTCTCCTCAAGGCCCGGGTTGAGCTGCAATTCACTTGTCCCTCTTTTGAGTTAGGCCGCATTGATTTGTCCCCGCGGCGGATTGTCTGCAATCAGCCGGCGCAAGTCAGCTGAGGAGACTCAGCCAGGGCGAGTTGTCCCCTTCTGCAAACGCAGCATCTGGGTATAACTGGACATTTTTCACGTCCACATTTATTGTGTCTTGACATTTTTGCTTGGGTATGAGACTGAGAAAATGACTCTAGAACAGGCAGGTCACACTCACAACGTCACGTGACGTCGCGTGACGTATCGGAGCTTTCCGCCCATTGCCAGCCATGGGTGGATGCAAGTTTCCTGGTTACACGTCCAGCCCACGGGCCGTCGGTTTGACACCCCTGCTCTAGAGAAATGGAGAAACGCCGATCCGGGTGCAACTAGGAGTAGTACCCACTCCCAACTAGGAGTAGCACCCACTCACCGCAGGTGTCAATGCTCTCGTCGGACTGGTCCTGGCAGTGCGGGATGCCGTCGCAGAGCTGCTGGTAGTGGATGCACTCGGCCCCACGGGCACAGGGGAACTGGTCTAGTTCGCACGTGCGGTTGCAGTGTAACTCGTCGCTGCCGTCCAGGCAATCCGCTTCGTTGTCGCACACCCAGCCCCGCGGCTGGCACTCCCCGCTAGAGCAGTGGAACTCGTATCGCCCGCAGGGCGGTCCTGCAGAGAAGGGAAGAGCAGAATCCCAGATTCACTTGACTAGCCGTGTAACTGACTTAACGACCGCCGTCGAGGAATCCTTTTGTTGGCTTCGCCAGTCGGGACTTGTGACATGCCACGATTCACTTAACCACGGGGGCAAGAAAGGTTGTAAACTGGGGTAAAACTCACTTAAAAAAACTGTCCATCTTAGCGACGGACGTTTTTCGGCTCAACTGCGGTCGTACGATTAGGACTACCTGTATCGGGTAAGTTGATTGACGGCTTAAAGGCTGACAGCTCCTCGTTCCGAAGACCAGATGGAGGATCTTCAGATCTCTTGAGGCTGCTTACCCAGAGTCCTGTTGAGGGCAGGATGATGGGTTCCAGGGAAAGCTGGCGTAGCGGTGGGCACAAGAGGTGTGGTCTGTATCCCTGGACACCGAGCAGGGTCTTCATCGGTGCCATCTTCACAGTCCTGCACACCATCACACACCTGCGTACGGCTCACACAAGTGGCGTTTGGACAAGGCAGCTGGCCCGGAGCGCACATCACTGGACCTGTATCGAGATGGGAAACACAACCAGGGCGAGAGAGCTAAAAACTGGACTATCATTTAGGACAGCGGTTCTCAACCTGTGGGTCGCGACCCCATTTGGGGTCGAACGACCATTTCACGGGGGTCGCCAAACAACGCAGTCCGCCATTTTTCCCCCCTTTTCCTTAGCTGTGCTACTCCCTTTTATTTTATTGGCTTTTGAAAGCCAATAGAATTGTCTCGGCATTGTCTCTGCCCTGCTGAGCCCACCAAAAGTCCCATTCTGCAAATGGTGCTGCAAGTTGTCTGCAGCGAAGGCGAGCTGTCTGGAAGCTTCCACCCCTCCCTGCTGAGCAACTACTAAACATGTAAGCAAAAGAGGGCCAGGGGTGGGAGGTGGGAGGCCAGCAGGCGCAGGGAGGGTTGCTGGCATGCGCGGGGCCCGGCGGGTGCCTTACCTCCCTTGGGCTGGGCCAGCTGGTGGCCCAGCCGGTGGTCGCCCTGCGCCGTCGCTGCCCCTTGCCAGCTATGTCTCGGCCGGCGCAGGGGGCAGCACCACGCATGCGCAGCGCTCCCGGGCAGGGAAAGTCCTCGACTTATGACTGGTTGGGTAGTCCTCGACTTACGGCCAGTTGGGTAGTCCTCAACTTACGACTGGTTGGGGGTCGCGACATTAAAAAGGTTGAGAACCACTGGTATAGGTTCTCCTGCTTGAGCAGAGGGATGGACTAGAAGACTTCCAAGGTCCCTTCCAAGTCTACTCCGCCTCCTGGGGATTGGCCCAAAGTCAGCCAGCTGGCTTTCATGCCTAAAGCGGGACTACAATTCCCCATCTCCTGGTGATTGGGCCAAAGGCACCCAGCTGGCTTTCATGCCTAAAGCGGGACTAGAACTCGTCATCTCCTGGGGATTGCCACAAAGTCACCTAGTGGGCTTTCATGCTAGGGTGGGACTAGAACTCACCCTCTTCTGATGATTGGCCCAAAGTCGCCCACCCAGCTTTCGTGCCTAAGCTGCGAGTACAATTCGCCGTCTCCTAGGATTGGCTCAAAGTCACCTAACCAGTTTTTGCGCTTAAGGCAGGACTGGAACTCACAGCCTTTTAGTTTCTAGGCAGCAACCTTAACCACTACACCAAGCTGGCTCCTGAATGAATACATTAATCACACACATATTAACGCAAGCATTTACCCACCTGGGCAGAAAGCCTCGTCCAGGCCCGAGGGACAGTCCTGCCGGCCGTCGCAAATCAGAGCTTTGGGAAGGCACCGACCACTCGGGCACTGCAACTCCCCAGGACGGCAGACGCAGCCGCGTTCGTCACTGAAATCGCCGCAGTCGTCGTGCCCGTCACAGCGGTGCGGGTACGACAAGCAGTGTCCGGCCGCACAACGGAACTCGGTCAACCCGCAGGCTGGTCCACAATCTGGAACAGGGGCAAGGGAGAGGAGTTGGTTTTTTTGAGGAGGGGAGGGGTAGCACTTTTTAAAATTCATTTGGATTACATAGAACAGGGGTCCCCAACAGGGCTGCACAAGCTTCACTCGCATGCACGGCAGGCTGGTGTACGCGTGCGCGTATGTGTGGGTGCTGCTCAATTTGGGTGAGTGCCTGCACGCTAATCTGCCGCTCGTCTAGCCCAGTTTCCCTTCTCCTGCCTCCAGCCGGGCCATCAAACTGCAAAAATCAATGAACGCCTGACAGGCATGTTAGTTTTCGGCAGGAGGGGTAGTCTCTCCTCCATCCTCCCCCTTTTCCCACAAGGGCCAGCCGGAATCCTCCCTCGGGACTGCATCTGCCCTGTTAGTTGCCGTGTCTCCACCGTCTCCAGTTTGATCCAGAGAGACAAGATGATACCGGGAGTCCTGGACGTACGACCGCTATCGAGCCCACTTCCGTTGCTAAGTGAGACAGTGGTTCAAGGAGTTTTACCCCGTTTCGTGATCTTTCTTGCCACGGCTGTTAAGCCAACCACTGCATATGTTACATTAGTCACCCAGCTGTCCGTAGAAGTTCTCCGTCATCCGGGTCATGGTTCTCCCAAGGTACCTTTTCGAGAAGCCGCTGGACTTTTTTGTTCTTCCTTTGAAGACGTTTCCCTTCTCAGCCAAGAAGCTTCTTCAGCTCTGACTGGATGGTGGGGAATGGAAGGATTTATACTCCTTGCAGACAGCTGGTCATTTGCCTTCTTTTAGAGAGTCGTTGAAGCCACTTGGAGGTTTTACCTGTGTCCTCTGGGTCACCTGAGTAGTGCAAATGGGTTGCACTCCACACCCATTTTCACTACTGAGATGAAGCTCCACACCCATTTGCACCCCTCAGGTGACTCTGAGGACACAGGTAAAACCTCCAAGTGGTCTCAACGACTCTCTAAAAGAATGCAAATGACCAGCTGTCTGAAAAGAGTATAAATCCTTCCATTCCCCACGCTCCAGTAAGAGCTGAAGAAGCTTCTGGGATGAGAAGCGAAACGCCTTCAAAGGAAAAACAAGGAAGTCGAGTTGCCTCGTGCAAAAAGCACCTTTGGGAGAGTCGCCCCGTCGTGAAACGAATCCGGCTTCCCCGTTGACTTTGCTTGTCAGAAAGTCACCTATGACCCTTGAACCGTCATAAATACGAGCCAGTTGCCGAGCATTCAGATTTTGATCTCGTGACCACGGGCTATGCCGCAAAGGTCGTTAAGTGCGCAAAAGGGTCCTCGGTCACTTTGGTCGGTGCCGTTGTAACTTTGAACGGCTGCTAAACCAAACTGTTGTAAGTTGAGGGTGAGCTGTATTACCTCAGAATCCAGGAACACCAACAATACGGACCTGAACGCTCTGGAGCAGTGGTTCTCAACCTGTGGGTCGGGACCCCATTTGGGGTCGAACGACCATTTCACGGGGGTCGCCAAACAAAGCTGTCCGCCATTTTTTCTCCCCTTTTCTTGGCCACGCCCCTGGCACCCGGTGATGTATAAGTGGTTGGGGGTCACCACAACATGGGGAACTGTATTATGGGGTCGCGGCATTAGAAAGGTTGAGAACCACTGCTCTGGAGCCTTTCCTCACAGACCCAGGGATACTTTGTGTAGACAGGAGACACCAACTGACATCCTCTTTCCCTGCCTGCTTCGACCCTCTTCCTCCTGGCCACCCCTCCGGACTCCCAGCGTAACCTCACCTGCCTCGTCCGAGGAGTCAGCAAAGCCACAATCCAGCTCCCCATCACAGCGGTCCCGGCGTGGGATACAACGGCCGTTGTCGCACTGGAACTCCTGCGGCGAGCAGCCAAGCAAGGGGCAGTCCTTTTCGTCCGAGCGGTCGGCACAGTCTGCGGTGCCATCACAGCGGTAACCCCAGGGGACGCACTGCCCGCTGGTGCACCGGTACTGGTCCGGCCCGCAGCTCAGGGGGCAAAGCTCGTCCGAACCGTCCCGACAATCGTCTTCGTTGTCGCAAAGCCAGGCGTTCGGGATGCAGCGCCCGCCGGCGTGGCAAGCAAACTCCGTCTCGGGGCAGTGGGAGGGGGCACCGCAAGTCTCCAGAGGGGCGGTACACTGCCACAGGCCCGCCTCACATGAGCTGGAGGGAGGGGACAGAGCATCGTTGTATCAAGGACGAGGGACAAATAGCCCAGGAACTGGGATTATCAAGACCTTGAGGGTCCCAAATATAGCACTAGCAACAGCGCTTAGACATATCCCGCTTCAGAGTGCTTTTCCCGCCCTCTCTGAGCGATTTACAGAGTCAGCCTCTTGCCCCCAACCATCTGGGTCCTCACTTCACCGATCTTGGAAGGACAGAAGGCTGAGTCAGGCTGGAGCAGGATCGAGCTACTGGCAGTGGGCAGAGGTAGCCTGCAAATCCTGGACTCAAACCACTGCCTCACCCTGGCTCACTTTGCAGGATGGGTGAACGGAAGAAGGAAGGCAGAAAAGGGATGGAAAGAAGGAAGGAAGGAGATGGGGAGGAAGAAAGGAAAGAAGGAGATAGAAAGGGAGGGAGGGAAGGAAGGAAGAAAGAAAGAAGGAAGGAAGGAAGAAAAGAAAAGGAGGAAGAAAGGAAGGAGATGGGGAAGAAGAAATAAAAGAAGGAGATAGGAAGGAAAGGAGGGAAGAAGGAAGGAAGGAAAGAAAAGGAAGGAGATGGGGAGGAAGAAATGAAGGAGAGAGGAAGGAAAGGAGGGAGAGAGGAAGGAAAAGGAAGGGGAAGGAAGAAGATGGGGAGAAAGAAACAAAACAAGGAGATAGGAAGGAAAGGTGGGAGGGAGGGAGGAAAGAAGGAAGGAAGGAAAAGGAGGAAGCAAAGAAAAGGAAGAAGGAGATGGGAGGAAGAAATAAAAGAAGGAGATAGGGAGAAAAGGAGGGAAGAAGGAAGGAAAGAAAAGGAAAAAAGGAAGCATGGGGAGGAGGAAATGACGGAGAGAGGAAGGAAGGAAGGAAGAAAGGAAAAAGGAAAGGAAACAGATGAAAGAAGGGAGGAAGAAAGAAGGAGAGGAAGAAAGGAAGGGAGGGAGGGAGAAAGGAAGGTAGGAAGGAAGGAAGGAAGGGAAAGAGGAAGGGAAGAAAAGGAGGAAGGAGATGGGGAGGAAGAAATTAAAGAAGGCGATAGGGAGAAAAGGAGGGAAGAAGGAAGGAAAGAAAAGGGAAAAAAAGAAGCATGGGGAGGAGGAAATGAAGGAAAGAGGAAGGAAGGGAGGAAAAAAGAAAGAAAAGGAACAGATGAAAGAAGGGAGGAAGAAAGAAGGAGATAGGAAGAAAAGAAGGGAGGGAGGGAGGGAGGGAAGAAGGAAGGAAGTATTGGAGAAGGATGGATGGATGGATGGAACAAAAGAGGGAAGTTCCAAGAATTTCAACCAAAACGTGGTCATCAACGTTAAAAGCAACTGCGTGAAACGATGAACACCGCATTGAATTGTCCCCCTCCCCGGTGCCTTGCCGCACGGTGAGTTGGCCGTGCTAAGCTGGCCCTGGCAAGTGGGCTGCGGTGAACTGTCCTAAGCCCCCATTGACAGAAAACCCCTTACGCACAACGGCTTTCTCCGGGAAGGGGCTAACGAAAAAGAGTCCCGTTGGTGCGTCAGTTGCGACGGCCTCTTTGGACTCCCCCTTTGGCTGTCCCCGGAGGCAGGAGACGGAGGGCCCAAATCTGGATGGAACGCAAACGGGGCTGCCCCCTCCCCTGCGTTGAGGGGCCCTCCCCCAAGAACCCTGCCGCCTTACCAGTTCCTGCACTCCTGCGTCACCAGTGCCCCCAGCGGGAACAAGACACCCTCCCAGAAGCAAGGGCATTCCGACGGATCGATGCAGCGTCCACCTGGCAGGGGAGAGCAGGGAGGGAGCGCGAGGGCGGAGTGGTGAGGACAGCAGGAGACCCCCGCCAGCGCCAGAGGGGCGTCGTGCCTATCTGTGGGGAGGGGGGGGACTGACCCTCCTGAAGAGGACTTCTCGGTCAGGGACTGTCTCGGTCACCTCCTGTGGATCTGGCCACAAGGTTTTCAAGACCCGCTGCCCTAAGTAAGGGTGGAGGTCTTGGGCTGCAGGCTAAGCATCCCACAACTGCCCCTGCCCACTGTCTCTTTCTCAATCTCTCTCTCCCTCTCTCTCTCCCCCTCTCTCTGTCACTCTCACTCTCTTTCACTCCCTCTCTCTCAATCTCTCTCTGTCCCTCTCTCTCTCACTCCTTCTCTCTCTCAATCTCTCTCTTCCTCTCTCCCATTCTTTCTCTCTCTCTCTCTCTCTCACTCTCTCCCACCCTGTCCCTCTCACTCTTTCACTCTCTCTTCCTCAAACTCTCTCTCACTCTTTCCCTTTCTTCCTCTCCCACTCTCCCCCTCTCAATCTTTCGCCCTCTCTCCTTCTCTCTCCCTCTCTCCCTTCCTCAATCTCTCTCCCTTTTTCTCTCTCAATCTCTCTCTCCCTGTCTCTCCCTCCTCTCTCTCAATCTCTCTCCCTCTTTCTCTGTCACTCTCTCCATCTCTCTCTATCCCTCTCTCTCTTGCCCTCTTTTTCAATCTCCTCTCCCTCTCCCTCCCTTCTGTCTCTCTCCTCTCTCAATTTCTTTCTCCCTCCCTCTCTCTCCCTCCTTCTCTCTCAATCTCTCTCCCTTTCTCTCTCAATCTCCCTCCCTTCTCTCTGTCCCTCTCACTCTCTCTCTCTCTTTCTCAATCTCTCTCTTCCAATCTCTCTTTCCCTCTCTTCTGTCTCTCTCCATTTCTCTCTCTCAATTTCTCTCTCCCTCCCTCTCTCCCTCCTTCTCTCTCTCAATCTCTCTCTCCCTTTCTCTCCCTCTTTCTCAATCTCCCTCTCTCCCTCTCCCTCTCTTTCTCACTTCTCTCTCCCTCCCTCTCCCTCTCTCTCCCTCTCTCTCTCCCTCTCAATCTCCCTCCCTCCCTCCCTCCCTCCCTCTCTCTCTCTGAGTCCTGTCCCAGCTTGAATCTCTAAGCACGAACGATCCTTAACGCCATTTGGTCGAGAAAGGTATAGTTTACTAGAAGTTAAGGGGATTGCAGTAGCGCCACGCCACAGCTGAAATTCGCATGCCCAATTCCCCAAATGTAACTTTCCCCCTTCTAAGTCACTTCCCATCCTCCTCCCGTCCTCCCCCCTTCCCCCCATCCTATCATCCAATCACATTCAAAGAAGGTGTTTTTGGGAACGCTTACTTGAAGTGTGGGATGATAGGAAGTTACAGTCCATTCCCAGATGTCTCAGCCTGAAGCCGTGTCTCAAGATGTCACAGTGTACAGTGGACAGTGTACAGATGTCACAGTGTACAATGGACAGTGTACAGTGTGGTTTCCCCTAAGCCTAACCCCCTAAACTAACCCTCTAACTCTAACCCTAACCCCTAACCCTAACCCCCTAAACCCTAACCCTAACCCTAACCCCTAACCCTAACTCCCTAAACCTAACCCTAACCCTAATCCATAACCCCCTAACCTTTAACCTTAACCCTAACACTCAACCCTAACCCTAACCCCCTAACCCCTAACCCTAACCCACTAACCCTAACATCTAACCCTAACCCCCTAACCCCTAACTCTAACCCCCTAACCCCTAACCCTAACCCTAACCCCTAAGCCTAACCCCCTAAGCCTAACCTTAACCCTAACCCTAACCCCCAACCCTAACCCTAACCCCCTAACCCCTAACACTAACCCCCTAAACCTAACCTTAACCCTAACCCTAACCCCCAACCCTAACCCTAAGCCCCTAACCCCTAACCCTAACCCCCTAACCCTAACCCTAACCCATAACCCCCTAACCTTTAACCTTAACCCTAAGCCCCTAACCCCCTAACCCCCTAACCCCTAACCCTAACCCTAACCCCTTAACCCTAACCCCTAACCCTAACCCCTAACCCTAACCCCCTAATCCTAACCCTCTAACCCTAACCCTAATCCATAACCCCCTAACCTTTAACCCTAATCCTAGCCCTTACCCATACCCCTACCCCTACCCCTAATCCCTAACCCCCTAACTTTTAACCCTAACCCCTAACCCTAATCCCCTAATCCTAACCCCCTAACTCTAACCCTAACTCTAATCCATAACCCCCTAAACTTTAACATTAACCCTAGCCCTTACCCCTAACCCCTAACCGTAACCCCCTAACCTTTAACCCTAACCCTAACCCCTAACCCTAACCCCCTCAGCCTAGGCTGATTGTCTCCATTTTCCCTGCCACAGTCCCAAGGAAGGCCTTCCACACACCCCGCTTCCCCCTCTTCCCCTGCCTCTGCCCACAGGCACCTGGCAGCTCCGCCCTCCCCTTTACCCCAAGGCTGCTGCCCCTCTCCGATCTCACCATGCAGGACTTTGCCTTCCGGGCAGAAGCACCCCTCCACGCAGGAAGCTGTCTCCATGGGGCAGTGTTCGGCGGGCTCCAGGCCGAAGTTCTGGCAGGTGGGCGGGCAGGCCGGGCCGCAGGGGTCATACTCCATCCCATGATCACATTGTAGGGCTGTTAGCAACGGAGGAGAGGGTGGGGAGGTGGACAAAGCCCGGGCCAGGTCTGGGAGAAGGCTCCCCCTCAACTTGGCAGATCGTTCCCCGGACTGTTTTCACCCTCAAACCCAGGGAAGTACCAGATGCGGTGGAATGTAGCCTGGATTCCCAGGAGGGAGGGGAGAGCCGCATTCCAAAGGAACGTGAGACAGCAAAGCTTAGATAGTTTGGTTAGGAGGAAGAGAGTTTTAAGACGGTTCCTCCCTAGCGATTCCCAGAGTACAGGTAATCCTTGGACTCACAACCACAATTTAACCCAGAATTACAATCATTGAGTTGAGGGTGAATGTTTGCTCTCCGAGCTGGAGGGTTGGTTCCCAAATGTTTCGTTACCAGGCTAGGTACCCATCACAAGCCTCTCATTGATGACTCGTACCTGACTCATCCTCTGGCCCTCCCCTGACCATTCACAATGGCCAATAGGTCCCCGGCCCTTCATCTCTGCCCATTGGCCAAGACGCCGTTTGACCCGGGCCTTTGGCTGCACAGAACAAATAGTCCCCTGTTGTGATTCCTCGCCAGCCAGTGGATCCGGCAGCTGAGTCTGAGGAATTAGAGGAGGAGGAGGAGGAGGAGGAGGAGGAGGAGGAGGAGGAGGAGACTGGAGTGACATCAGAGCCAGAGGAAGGCTCTCAGGAGCTCCAAGACTTACAGTCGGATGAGGAGCCCGGCCCCTCTACTCGCACTCAGGCTGAGACACAGCTGTGCTGGGAATCTGAGTTGGACGGTGATGAAGAACAGCTGGGACAAATCACGGATGTATGAATGTGCAGGCAAGAAAAGCGAGTAGGACAGAGGAAATGCAATGGGGTGGCTCCAAAGGCAAAGGAGAAGGCATTAGGAAGCCACATCTTGGCTGCATAAAAAAAGGGAAGGTATGGGAGGTGTTGAGGATCGAGTTTCTGTGAACTGTGTTTTGTTTGCCTTGGACATTGACTCAGGTCTGTGACTAATAAAAGGGGTTGGTTTTTCTTGCGGTTCCTGACTGCTTGTTGAAAGAGGGGTCTCTCCTTGTGAGCATAACAAGGACTCACGTAGGCTGGGACAGAACAGCCCCAGCCAATCGGGTGGGGGGCAGCAGCGATGGCACTGGGGAGGGCGACCGAGGGAGCTGTGTGTGGGGGGGACAGCGTGCCATGCGATCAGTGGCAGGCTGGGGGAGAGGGCGAGAGGTGCAGCGGTGCACGACCACTGGCGTTGGGGTGGTGAACGGCGACGGAGAGAGGGTGGCGATGCTGCGGACGGGGGGGGAAGGGGGACGGCGCGAGGTTGCTGTCATTGGGAGGGAGGAAAGGGAATGGCATGCGGTCATCACCCCCACCACCCCCACACAGCACCATCGCTGCCACCCTCCACCCGATTGGCTGGTGGTAATTTGTCCCATGCAGCCAAAGATCCGGGTCAAATAGTGTCTGGGTGAATTGGCAGGGTTGAAAATACTGGGGGGGGGAGGCCAAGGGCCCATTGACCATGGATAATGGCCAGTGGGAGGGCCAGCAGAGAAGAAAAGCTGGCTGTAAATCAGTTGAGGTGGGTGGCTGGATGTGAAGGATGTGCGACCAAGGGTCAGTGCCTAAATATCCTAGACCCCCAGGCAGATGTGGGCAGCAGGGATACTTTGCTTGCTGGGCTCTTTTGCTTAGTCAGGATGGTCTCTGAGGGGCTTCTGGGAAAGGCCAGCCCCTCCCTAGACCCCCATCCCAGAGAGGGTCTTGTCTTCCCAGCCTCCTCCAAAACTTACGGCAGAGATCCTGGCTTCTCCAGCGTACGGGGACTCCTCGCTGAATGCACTCCTCGGCATACGTCGCAATGGCTGTGCAGAGGCACTCACAGTCCCCGCCAGAGTCACACCTGAGCGGAGAGGAGGCAGAGAGGAGATCAGCGGGGGGGGGGGCAGCAAGTCCCCAGGCACCCTGCACTGTCACCAAGGACCCACTGGTTTATTTTATACGGCAGAGCGAAAATGCAGCTCGGCGCGTAAAACCTGCCAGAAGCAACCTATAAAACGGGCACCAAAGGATAAAACACCGGAGCAGTGAATTATTTTAAAAACGCCGCCATTCGAGTGATGAATACAATTAAACACGGGCAACGTAGATCTTAGCCTCCTCGTGGTGCACACCGGGCAACCTGACTTTGTCACAGCTAATTCAGAGTTCCCCAACCTTTCGGAGGTGGTGGCTCGGAGCGAGGGGAGGGGGGGAGAAAAGAATGAATGGTTTTGCGGGATGGGTAAATACGTGCGTGCCCGTGCATGCTCACAAACACCTGTCACTTGCACGAATGAGGCTGCAAACGCCTGCAATGATACTCACACAACCAGGGCTGCAAACACCCCTGGGGACTCTCCCGTGAGTGTGGCCGCAAACGTCAACAATCCTCGCGCGAGTATGGGGCCGTGAATGCTCACAGCGACGCACACTTGAGGGGCCTCGAACCACCCACCACAATGCTCGTGTGAATGGCATCGCAAGTGCCCGTGATGATGCTCGCTTGGGGCGCCGTGAAGGCCCACAATGCTCGTGGCGCCACTTGCACAAAGGGACGTGTACGGGCACGCAAGCACGCATGCATCAGCCAGCCACCCACTCAGCTCAATAGGCTGCCGGCCGGTAGTGGGCTGTGGCCCAGAGGTTGGGGACCCCCTGAGCTAAATAGTCTACAAACTCTGTCTTTTGGACCTCACAAGCATCTCCCAGCGTGAATGCTGAAAATTAAAAACAACAGCTCTTTTCAGCACCCCCACTCCAAATGTGGTTAAATCTGTTAGGGGTTTTTTGGGGGGGGACCATAGCCATTACATCAACCAACTTCAATTGGTCAAGTTATGGTGTAAACCCTTTTGCAAACTCAAATAAAAGAGGTTTGGGTGAGGGATGAACGCAGCCCAATTATTTCTGGGTGCGTATCAGAGATAGGACGCCTCCATACGTCTCTTTGAAGTTGAGAAATGTCGAATCGTCATGACCTCTAAAGCTTCTGCTGAGAATCTGGGCCTTTTTTTCTGCACATCAATTATCCACGGCTGACTCTTCTTAGGGACGTCGAGAACCAAGTTCCTCTGGGCCGACACAACCCCATGAATTTTACCCATGCACCAAGCCCGACGGTCTCATCAGGCTGAGGGATGTGTGCCATCCCACGCAACGGTGGCACGGCACTCAACGGGAGAAGAACCTCCCACGGCGGCCTCTGAGCACAAATGGGAAAGCAATTTCCTTCCTATCCAGGATTAGCTGGCAAGGATGGCACATCACTTCCTATCCGTGCTGAGGTGAAGGACCAGGCTCAGCAGCCTTCGGCAGGTACGTAGAAACATCCATTTGGGTGATACACCTTTTTTCTCCTTCCTACCAGCTCTCTCTGGCAGGAGAGCTTTACCCAGGGTCCTTATCTGCCCCCCCCCCCGCCCTCTCCAGCTGACCCTCACTCACCCGCAGGCATCGAAAACACACCACTCATAGAACTGTTGGCAGGGCAGTTCCTCACGGCAGCGGGCGAAGAGATCCTGAAGGAGGATCCCGCAACGCTTCCGAGCCCACGTCGCACGGTGAGAATTCACCTGGGGGAGGCAAGGGATAATGAGTTGTGGGAGCGCCCATGTCCTGTTTCCCGATTTTGCAACCACCGAGGGACCATCCAGATACCTGGAATGCGCGCGTCCATCCACTCCTACCAGGGAGTGACTTCCCCCCCCCCATTGGTGCAAATCACAGGTCGTACCGTGCAGGGATGCTCAAAGTCCTCCGCGTTGACTTCGGGACACAGGAGGCTGATGCGCCAGGAGTTGCCAAAAAGGTCTGCCGTGGGCTCCACGATGCCTTGTTGACTGGAGAAGTCATTCTCCGCGTCGCCGTCAAAGTTCCCGCAGAGTCCTGCCACTCGGCCTTGATATTTGGCCTCCAGCTTGATGTAGACCCGAGTGCCTGAGAAGGCAGGGACAGGATGAGGGGCTGAGGCCCAGCAGCGAGGAGTTGGCTTCATTTTAGGATCTTGATCTGGGCTTAGGATCCTGAGACAATCTACAGCGGCTTCGGGTTTGTTTGTTTTTTCAAGAACTATCCGATCTCAGCCCTGAACGAGGTCCATCAAGACCTCCACAGAATGAGAGATGACAAGGGTGTCGAGAGTGAAAATTTGGCAGCTACATGCCTTTATGTTTTCATCATGCCATTAGAGCGAGGGTGGGTGAGTGAAAGGATGCTTTCGATTGGGTTACAGTTCTTTGGACGTTTGCTGAAACAAGGCTGTCTGGAAACCTTTCAAGGACACTCCAGCAGGTGTGAAGAAGATAACCGGCAGTTCTCCTAACAAAGTGAATGTGTTCACACGATCTAGGTCAGCGGTTCTCAACCTGTGGGTCGCGACCCCATTTGGGATCGAATGACCATTTCACGGGGGTCGCCAAACAACGCAGTCCGCCATTTCCCCCCCTTTTCCTTAGCTGTGCTACTCCCTTTTATTCTATTGGCTTTGGAAAGCCAATAGAAGAGACTCTCTTGAATAGAGTCTCATTCTATTGGCTTTCCAAAGCCAATAGGAATGGTCCAGGCTATCTCTGCCCTGCTGAGCCCACCAAAAGTCCCAGTCTGCAAACGGTGCTACAAGTTGTCTGCAGCGAGGGTGAGCTGTCTGGAAATTTCCACCCCTCCCTGCTGAGCAACTACTAAACATGTAAGTAAAAGAGGGCCAGGGGTGGGAGGTGGGAGGTCGGCAGGCGCAGGGAGGATTGCTGGCACACGTGGGGCCCGGCGGGTGCCTTAGCTCCCTTGGGCTGGGCCAGTTGGTGGCCCAGCCGGTGGTTGTCCTGCGCCATCTCTGCTGCTTGCAAGCTACACCTTGGCCGGCACAGGAGGCGGCACCACACATGCGCAGCGCTCCCAGGCAGGGAAAGTCCTCAACTTACGACTGGTTGCATAGTCCTCGAATTACAACTGATTGGGTAGTCCTCGACTTACGACAGGTTGGGTAGTCCTCGACTTACGACCAGTTGGGGGTCGCGGCATTAAAAAGGTTGAGAACCACTGATCTAGATGGCCATCTGGGGTTTGCGGGTTGGGCTGGGAATGTCATTGTTGTATGCTGTAGTTAGAGCAGAGGTTCCCAACCTTTCTGGGGTGGTGGCCAGGAGGGAGAGGGAGGGGCAGGCGCCTTTACACGTGCATGTGCACACGCGAACAGGGACGCGAGCGTGCGTGAGCCGGAAAAAGGGCCGTGAACATCCATGCGATGCTCATTGCAACGCTAGAGCCCATGTGCCGCTTGCGGCAATGCTAGCAAACTGTGCAACACTCAGGGCGACGCTAGCGTCTGCGCAACACTTGCGGCGACATTTGCCGCAATGCTAGCGTCTGCACAATGCTTGCGGTGCGAGCGCCCGGGCAGTACTCGCAGTGACGCTAGTGTCCGTGCGAGGCGCACGGCGATGCTAGAGCCCATGTGACACTCACGGCAACACTAGCGCAAGAGGGGGGTCAGTGCACGTGCACATATGCGCGCTCTGGCCAACCACTTACGCGAGTAGACACCGAGTGTCCAAAAACTGCCCTGCCCCTCCCCATCTCCCGCTCCGCCCCACCTGCCTGCAGGACCACCCGCCTAAATGGCCCACCACAGCAGATCACCCAGGCGTCCTAACAGCACCATAGCGGCCATGCCCTCTGCCCGCACCCGTAGCATCTGTGCATGATGGGACACGAGGGCGGAGTCTTCTCTCTGCTGCCTGGCTGGCACATCCTTGGTGCACTGCTCTGCACGGGCCGCGCCTGGAGGTGACTCTCTGTGGGGGGGCTGCTGGTGAGGAGGCAGACGCAGGGGCAGGTGGGGCTGGGGTGATGGCACGTGTGCCCACAGAGAGGGCTAGGAGTGCCGCCTCTGGCACGTGTGCCATAGGTTCACCACCCCTGGCCTATAGCATGCCATGTTTTCCATAAACCAGTATGTTTTTCAATGCTGAAAGTATCCTTTGGCTTTATTTGGATATTCGAGCTGGAGGTTGACGGAGGGTCAACAGAGACCTCTGGGGGAGTGTGCAGGTTGTGTCTCTTTCTGGACACAGCATAGACAACCTGTCAACTGATCCAGCGGCCTATGATGCATAGTAAGCGGATACCTTGCTCAGTCCTGGTAGGCCTCACGTGTGCCGCAACAAACCTGCATCTTCTGTGCAAACCCAACTAGCAGGCATCGCACGTTGAGGGAGTGCCGTGGTGGGCAACCTTGAGAGGTTCCTCAGGAATTGGGGAGCCCCCCCCCCACGACGAGTGGATTTAAGAGGCTCCGATTGGGTTAAAACTAGCATGTGGGAAGGGAGGATCTCGTAGCCAGCCTCACCTCCATCCCAAAACACTGTCAGCCCCGTCTGAGTGAGGAGCACCAGAAAGAGTCCAGCTCTCTCCAAGGTCAGCCCATTCCCACTGTAGGTCTTGGGGGGCCGGACCGAGACACCGTTCACCGTCACGTCCTTTCCTAGCACAAGCAGAGAGAGGGAAGGTCAGGAAGGATGTGGCAAAGCTGCCGAGGGGTACGGTCGCCTCCTTAACTGCCCATGGCTGTCTTACCTCGAAGTAGGTGAACTGTCATGCTCCCCATCAGCACCACCACGGACTTGGTGCAGGTGGTGCCGCTGGTGCCGCAGGGTACGTTCTCGGCCGTGACGGTGAAGGCGCCACTGTTCTCGCGGACCAGGATGTACTCGCAGTCCCCCAGGAAGGTGTACGCCCGCCCGTCAAAGGTGATGTAGTGGGGGTCTCCGGTGGCCACGCAGGTCGCGGCACAGCGGTGGTGGCTGCATTCCCAGCGCTGCTTTCTGCAAATGCTGGGGAAAGAGGGAGGGAGGGAGGGGACTGTGAGCCCCTGGCACCCCTGCTTTGGGCAACGGCATCCCTCCCAGTCTCCCCCGCAGGCCTGAGCAGAGGTGTCCTCACCAGGTGTTGCAATCCCTAGCGATGGTCTCGTTGGGCAGATAGAGGTGGCCGTTGTGGTGACAAGGACATTCCTCTGGGGACACACAGTGCTCGTTCTGCAAGAGGACAGAAGGGGCGAGGTGGAGGGTCTGCCTGCCTGGCTAAGTTAGGGGGAAGAAGAGGTTCCTGCAGCAAGAATGCAAACCACAGGATTAACGCAAAGATACACAAGGGGACAACTCAGCTGGCTCCCAAGTGCTGTGAAGCTGGGATGAATCTGTTTCGTTGATGCCCTCCGTGGAGTGTGCAAAGCATGAGCAGAGCTCGTGTACGTGCCACTGCTTCTATTTGGAAAGATTGTCAAGGGTACCTCTCCTTTGCGTGGCTATTGGTGGCTGGGCGCGAGTGCGCATCAACAAAACCGTGCACCTGTTGCGGAGCCAGTACAGGGATAGGCATCAACGCACGACCACAATTGAGTCCTAAACGTTGGCTGCTAACCAAGGGAGTTGCGAAGCGAGGGTTTTACAACCTCCCTTGTCGCCATTAAGTGGATCCCTGCAGTTGTTCAGTTAGTCACACATAGTCCTTAAGTGAATCTGTTGACTGCTCATCAGGAACTCGCAAAAGGAGAATCACACGGTCCAGGGACGCCGCAACGTCATAAACACGAGCCAGTTGCCAAGTGTCTGAATTTTCATAAGGCGACCCTGGGGGATGCTACGACCGTCGTTAAGTGTGAAAAATCACTTTTTCGAGTCCAGTTATCACTTCAAATAATCACTAAATGAACAATTGTACGTCGTTTTCTGTTTGGGGAGAATTGTTCCCCATGATTCTGAGCTGCCTAAAGATTTGGTTAAAGGACAGTCATTTTGCTAGATAAGTAGTCGTCCACTTACAGCTGTTCACGTAGCTATAAAGGCACCGAAAAAGGGCATTATGAGCATTTTTCACACTTATGACCGTTGGAGAATCTCCACGGTCACGCGAAGAAAATTCGAGGACTATCTGTAATACAGTGGTTCTCAACCTGTGGGTCGCGACCCCATTTGGGGTCGAAAGACCATTTCATGGGGGTCGCCAAACAACGCAGTCCGCCATTTCCCCCCCCCCTTTTCCTTAGCTGTGCTACTCCCTTTTATTCTATTGGCTTTTGAAAGCCAATAGAATAGACTCTCTTGAATAGAGTCTAATTCTATTGGCTTTCCAAAGCCAATAGGAATTGTCCAGGCTGTCTCTGCCCTGCTGAGCCCGTGAAAAGTCCCATTCTGCAAACGGTGCTGCACCAGTTGAGTAGTCCTCGACTTACGACCGGTTGGGGGGTCGCAGCATTAAAAAGGTTGAGAACCACTGCTGTAATAGATCAAGGAAGGATATGGGAGAGTCCCAAGGGATCCTTAGATCTCTCCCCAGCAGGAGAGGTTGGAAAATTCTGGAAAATCGTCTTGGTGTTCACCTGCGCCCGCCCCCCCTGCAATCACAGAAGCTGTGCCGGCCCCGCCATTTGCCTGCGCACCCACTTACCGGCCCCCCACAATCGGAGAAGCCGCGTTAGCACTGTTCACCTGCCGCCCCACACCACAGCTGCTCTCTCCCATCGCACGCTGCCCCTACAGGACCATGACTTCTGCCTGCCACCCAATTGGCTGGCAGCTATTTGTCCTGTGCAGCCAAAGTTTGCCTCGGCAAAAGGGCCAGGCCGAAGGGCGCAGGGTGGAGGGCCACGGGCCCATTGGTCAGGGAGAATGGGCAGAGGAGGAATGCTGTAAATGGGCTGAGATGAGAGGCGGAAAGCGAAGGAGGTGTGGCCAAGGGTCCGTGCCTAAAAGTCCCGTTCTGGTTGTACGTTCATCAAAGTTGGGCGCCCTACGAGCAATTCCCTCAACAGACACACTGACAAAACCCTCAGAATCCAGCCAACCAGAGAACAGCACTGACCCTCAGCCATCCCGCGCAATCCCCCATCAACCAGCACTTCACCTCCCTATGATCTTATTTATTATTTATTTATTTTATTAATAAAATTTATATGCCGCCCAATCCCGAGGGACTTAGGGCGGTGTACAAAATTAAAACAATAAATATAACAATCAAACAATGTGCATTCTTACAGCGTGTCCAGTCGGATCCCGCCCCCCCCCCGGGGACATCAACCCCAGGCCTGCCGGAGCAGGAGAGTTTTAATGGCTTTCTTAAAGGCCGGCAAGGTGGGAGTAGTTCGAACCTCGGGGGGAAGTCGATTCCACCGGGTCGGAGCCACCACAGAAAAGACCCTTCCCCGAGGGCCCGCCAGCTGACATTGTCTGGCCGACGGGACCTGAAAGAGGCCCACTCTGTGGGACCTCACCGGTCTCTGGGAACTGTGCGGCAGTATGCGGTCCTGTAAGTAACCTGGTCCTAAGCCATGAAGGGCTTTCAACGTGATAACCAACACCTTGAATTGCATCCGGAGACCCACAGGAAGCCAGTGCAGCTCACGGAGGATAGGTGACACGTGGGTGTACCTTGGTGCACCCACAATTGCTCTCGCGGCTGCATTCTGAACCAACTGCAGCCTCCGAACGCTCTTCAAGGGTAGCCCCATGTAGAGCGCATTACAGTAATCCAGTCTTGAGGTGACAAGGGCATGAGTGACCGTGAGTAGAGCCTCCCGGTCCAAATAAGACCGCAACTGGTGCACCAGGCGAACCTGGGCAAAGGTCCCCCTGGCCACAGCCAATAGATGTTGTTCCAAATTTAGCTGTGAGTCCAGGAGGACACCCACGTTGCGTGCCTGCACCGAGGGAGGTAAATTTAACCCTCCCCCAGGGCTAATGATGGACCATCAGGATGACCCTTGGGGGGGCAAGACCCAGAGCCACTCGGTCTTGTCAGGGTTGAGTCTAAGCCTGTTCACCCCCATCCAGACCCTCACATCTTCCAGGCACCGGCACATCACGTTGACTGCTTCGCCGAAAGGACATGGGGTGGAGATATACAATTCACTTGATGTGACCTCCCCATCGCAAGAGCCATCACCAGCCTCTCACTGAGGACTCACCCCTGACCCTTCACAAGACCCTCCTTCAACATACCCACACCTGAAACCCTTATCAAGAGAAGAGTGCCGACACAGAAGTTCGCCGAAGACGTTACCTAGCCTGGTGATAAAATGTTCAGAACCCAACCCACAACCTCGGAGAACATACCTTCCCCCCTCACACTACCTGTAACAGACCAAGGCAGGATATGGCAGATCCCAGGGGATCCATAAATCTCTCCCAAAGCTGGAGAGGTGGAGAATCGATATTCCCGAATGGTAGGAATGGTGTTTCTGGACTGCTCACCAGGAAAACGGTGCCAGGAGGGCACACGCAGCCATCGGAGGCGCCGTCACAGCTGAGGTTACTCTGGAGACTCTCGCAGGTGAGGAGGCAGACGTCGACGGCGTAGATCAGCTCTCCGGGACAAAGCACCGCACTGGGACAGGTCTCCTCGGTGCAGCTCCAGGCTCCGTTCGCACAAACGCTGAAACACAGGACATAGCGGGTGACCAATGTAGACGCCAGCTCGTTTCCCTTGGCGGATGTCGGAAGCCCTCGCCAACCGTCCGCCTGCTTCCCCGCGTTGCCCAACGTCAGCAGCTGAGGGCGCTTCTCCAAATCTGGAAAAGCCCCACCGAGCCCAGGAGCATTTGGCACCCACGTACAGGTGATCCTCAACTTACAACAATTGGTTTAGTGACCTCTCGGAGCTACGACGGCACTGACCAAAGGACCGCTGTTCACACTTACGACCATTGCGATCCCCAGGGTTCCAAGATCAAAATGTAGACGCTTGGCAAACTGACGCGTATGTACGACGGTCGCGGTGTCCCGGGGGTCACGTGACCCCCTTTTGCCAAATTCTCGCCAGCAAAGTCAGTGGGGAAGCTGGGTTCACTTCACGTCGTGTCACTTCCAACACTGGAAGTTTTGAAGAAGGGACTGGACAGCCATTTGTCCGAAATGGTCTAGGGCAGACAAGGCCCAGGGGCCGGAGGCGGCCCGCAAAGAGGTTTCATGTGGCCCACGAAGCCATCCTGGAAACGGTGAGGGAACGGCTCCCGCTGCCTTGGCCCTGGCCCAGGCCAGCCGGGAACTAGTGTACAATTTTGTGGTGGCCATCTTGGCACTTGCCCCAGTTCCACCCCCTTCTGCCAGAGACCCTCAGATCTGTCCCACTCCTGCCCAGGCCCCCACGGGCACCCTTGACGCAAACGATGTAGAGCTGGACACGCCCACCCAGTAGGCCACACCCACCCTGGCCACTCCCACCCGGCCCCCTGAGGGCAACCACAATGCTGATGCAGCCCTCAATGAAATTGAGTGACACCCCTGGGGTAGGGTTTCCTGTCTGAGCAAGGGGATGGACTAGATGACCTCCAAGGTCCCTTCCAACTCTACTTATTATTGTTGTTGTTGTTTTGTTGTTGTTGTTATTATTATTATTATGGATCATCGCACAGTCAGCCAGATGTTCAGACTGGATTTGGCATTTTGTCTACCTATCGAGTCCTTACCCAGGACCTGGGATAGGCAGATGTGGATGTTTGATGGTATTACAGGTATCGTCGCAGGATGGAAGCAGTTCCTAGTAAGGCCGCCTTTTGCAATTGACTAATAGCAGATTTGTCAATGCCGATGATGGTGTTCAAGTGGTGCTCCAGTTGTTTTGGGATTGCACCCAAGGAGCCTATGACTATTGGTACTACCCTTGCTTGCTTTTGCCACAGTCTTTCTATTTCTATTTGTAGGTCTTTGTATTTTGTGATCTTCTCCAGTTATTTCTCGTCTATTCTGCTGTCTCCAGGCACTGCCACGTCCACTCTCCAGACTTTTTTGTCTTTCTTATCGACAAAACAATTGTCGATAAGAAAGACAAAAAAGTCTGGGGTGTTATGTCGCAGGTGCTTGTCTGTTTGAATTCTGAAGTCCCAGAGCAGTTTAATTTTATCATTTTTTATGACGTTCTCTATTTTATGATCCCACCAGTTTTTGCTTACAGGCAAATGATATTTTTTGCAGGTCTAAATAAAAAATTATTACTATGATTATGATTATGATTATGTTTTGTTAATTGTTGTTGTTGTTATTATTTTAACGACCGCAGGGAGTTGTATTTATGACGGTCGCCGTGTCCCGAAGTTGTGTGTTCCCGTTGTGAACTTTGGACAAGCCAAATTCACTAAACATCCATGTTATTAATCGAACAACTACAGTGATCCAGTTAATCCTGGGGGCCACTGTGGTGGTCGCAAAACGAGGCGACTAGCTTCACAAATGTCTCGCTTAGCAACAGCTCCATTGTGGTCGTGAGCCAAGGACTACCTACACTTCGCAGGACGGGCCACGTGAAGACGGTGCTCTCCGGGCTGAGGCTCCACAATCTTTCGGTCTCAAGCTGCGCCCACTTGAGGACTTCCTGGGGCACCCACGTCCATCCCGTTGGTCCTGCAGAGCAGGGGTCCCCAACCTCCGGTCTGTGGACCGGTACGCCAGCAACCGGTCCGCAGAAACGAGCAAAGCCCCATCCGCGGGATGCGGGTAGCACACAAAACCACGGCCCCTCTGGTCCGGGGAAAAAAACAACTCTCTCCAGGTCACCGATCCCTGGTACCCCAAAATTTGGGGGAACCTACATTGCCGCTCTCCACCTGGGTTGGTCTCTCCACCGGGGGGGGGGGCGGGAGCACGTCCACACGTGCGCGACAGCTGGACTCGTGGTGGCGGAGACATTCAATGAAATCAACCTATCCTGGGAGAGACAAGTAGACAGGTCACAGGGTGATTTCATCAAACGCCTCTCGCCACGCCATCGAAGCGCGGTGAAGCAGGCGCCCCGTGGTGGGGGGGAGGCGTAGAGTGTCTGTGTGTTGTGTGCAAGGACCTGGGAGCGCCGGGATCGTGGCTGCAGCCTGGTCGCCCAAGAACAACAACAACAAAAACCGTTTCTCCAAGGGAGATTTGACGTAGAAGGCAATGTCTTTCTGGTGTTACCTAGAGTTGAAGGAACTGATCACAGGAGGGGGGGAGGAGGAGGAGGAGGAGGAGGAGGAGCAGGAGGAGGAGGAGGATGACTGTGGGGTCCCTGGTGCTCTCTGACCATGGTTGTTTCCTTGCAGACGTTTCATAACCCAACTAGGGAACATCATCAGTGCTGGAAGGGAGGGTGGGTTTGTGGAGAGCAGACGGGGAGAAGTGGGGGAGGAGGATGGACTGTGGGGTCCTTGGTGCTCTCTGAGCTGGGTGGTTTCCTTGCAGATGTTTCATGACCAAACTAGGGAACGTCATCAGGGCTAGAAGGGAGTAGGGATTGCGAGGAGGAGGAGGAGCTGGTGGTGGTGGTGCAGGAATCGAAGTCTACAGCTGGAAGAGACCATGGAGGTCTTCTAGTCTAATCATCTAGCTAAGACAGGAGACTTTGTATCATCCCAGAGAAATGGAGGAGGAGGAGCAGGACAGGAGGAGGAGGAGAAGAAGAAGAAGAAGAAGAAGAAGAAGAAGAAGAAGAAGAAGAAGAAGAAGAAGAAGAAGAAGAAGAAGAAGAAGAAGAAGAAGAAGAAGAAGAAGAAGAAAGGGAGGAGGAGGAGGACAAAGAGGAAGAGGAGGAAGAGGAAAAAGAAGAAGAGGAAGAGGAAGAGGAAGAAGATGATGAAAAGAAGAGGAAAAGAAGAGGAAGAGGAAGGAAAAAGAAGAGGAAGAGGGAAAGAAGAGGAAGAGGAAGAAGAGGAAAAAGAAGAGGAAGAGGAAGGAAAGGGAAGAGGAAGAGGAGGAAGAGGAAGAGGAAGAAGAGGAAGAAGAGGAGGAAGAGGAAAAAGAAGAGGAAAAAGAAGAAGAGAAAGAGGAAGAGGAAAAAGAAGAGGAAAAAGAAGAAGAGGGAAAAGAAGAGGAAGAGAAAGAGTAAGAAGAGGAAGAGGAAGAAGAGGAAGGGGAAGAGGAAGAGGAGGAAGAGGAAGAGGAAGAGAAAAAGAAGAGGAAGAGGAAAAAGAAGAGAAAGAGGAAAAGAAGAGGAAATAGAAGAGGAAGAGGGAAAAGAAGAGGAAGAGAAAGAGGAAGAAGAGAAAGAAGAGGAAGAGGAAGAAGAGGAAGGGGAGGAGGAAGAGGAGGAAGAGAAAGAGGAAGAAGAAGAAGAACAACAACAACCATCATGCAGTTGGGAAGATAGTTTCACTGTTTCTACATGGGTGACTGACTGTCCCCTGCCCAGTCCAGAAAACAGAATGGACCGGCGTAAAGCACGACGCCGGAGGTTCCTTCTCGCTCCCGCATTCTGAGAAGTCTCTCTCTGCCTTTGCACCCCGACGGCGTTCTGCGCCTCCCACCTACCACCACTCGCTTCGGCGCAGCAGAGAGAAAAACCGTTGTCCGAAAAACCCTGTCCACCCCCTCCTCAGTCGCCGGGAGGTCTCTGCGCGGACGGAAGCCCTGGAACGCTACGTTTGTACAAACCCGTGAAGCTCCTTGCTCCCGGTTGCAACCTACCAGCTGTTGCAGCTCCTCTGAATCTTGCTACCGGGCGGGTGGGCTTTCTCCTGGTGCAGACAGGGACACAGGGCCGGTTGGACGCACTGCCCTTCGTGGTCCAGCGCCAGACCTTCCGGGCAGTTGCATCCAGCCACGCAGGCAGGGCGGAGGTCTTCGCAGACGCCGAACTTTTCCGCGGGAAGGTCGGCACAGGTTCTTCCACAGGGGGTGGCGCATTCTTGGTAGACCTGGCCCCCAGAGCACTGCATCGCTGAGGAGATGGAGGGGAAAGGTCACGGGGTGTGGATTCCATCGTGAATATCCGCCGTAGACGGGCTTGCAACGATGTCCCGTTCCAAGGCGGGCAGCCCCTAGAGACTTTCCGGGTTGGCAGCCCCTGGAGCAGGGCGTAGGCAACCTTGGCTCTTTTACGATGCGTGGACTTCAACTCCCATGCTGGCTCAGGAATTCTGGGAATCGAAGTCCCCGAGTCATAAAAGAGCCCAGGTTGCCTACCCCTGCCCTAGAGGGAGAGGGGGAAAGAGGGGATGGTTTTGTGGCAGATGGATGTCCACACGCACGCACAAGCACCTGTTGGGTTGAGTTCGGTTGGGTTGAGTTGGGGTGGGTTCTGTTGGGTTGGGTTGAGTTGGGGTGGGTTCTGTTGGGTTGGGTTAAGTTGGGGTGGGTTCTGTTGGGTTTGGGTTGAGTTGGGATGGGTTCTGTTGGGTTGGGTTGAGTTGGGGTGGGTTCTGTTGGGGTGGGGTGGGTTCTGTTGGGTTGGGGTGGGGTGGGTTTTGTTGGGTTGGGTTGAGTTGTGGTGGGTTCTGTTGGATTGGGTTGAGTTGTGATGGGTTCTGTTGGGTTGGGATAAGTTCTGTTGGGTTGGGGTGGGTTCTGTTGGGTTGGGGTGGGGTGAGGTGGGATGGGTTCTGTTGGGTTGGGATGGGTTGAGTTGGTGTGGGTTCTGTTGGGTTGGGCTGAGTTGTGTTGAGTTGGGGTGGGTTGGGGTTCATTCTGTTGGGTTGGGGTGGGGTGGGTTCTGTTGTGGTGGGGTGGGGTGGGTTCTGTTGGGTTGGGGTGGGTTCTGTTGGGTTGGGGTGGGTTGAGTTGGGGTGGGTTCCGTTGAGTTGGGTTGAGCTGGGTTGGGTTGAGTTGGGGTGGGTTCTGTTGAGTTGGGTTGACTTGGGGTGGGTTCTGTTGGGTTGAGTTGAGTTGGGTGGGTTCTGTTGGATTGGGTTGAGTTGTGGTGGGTTCTGTTGGGTTGGGGTGGGGTGGGTTCTGTTGGGTTGAGTTGAGTTGGGTGGGTTCTGTTGGTTTGGTTTAGGTTGAGTTGGGTTGAGTTGAGTTGGGTTGAGTTGGGTTGGGTTGAGTTGGGGTGGCTTCTATTGGGTTGGGTTGAGTTGGGGTGGGTTCTGTTGGGTTGGGTTAAGTTGGGGTGGGTTCTGTTGGGTTGGGTTGAGTTGGGGTGGGTTCTGTTGGGTTGGGTTGAGTTGGGGTGGGTTCTGTTGGGTTGGGGTGGGGTGGGTTCTGTTGGGTTGGATTGGGGTGGGTTCTGTTGGGTTGGGTCATTGTGGATTCTGTTGGGTTGAGTTCTGTTGGGTTGGGGTGGGTTGAGTTGGGGTGGGTTCTGTTGAGTTGGGTTGAGCTGGGTTGGGTTCAGTTGGGGTGGGTTCTTTTGGGTTGGGTTGAGTTGAGTTGGGTGGGTTCTGTTGGGTTGAGTTGAGTTGGATTAGGGTGGGGTGGGTTCTGTTGGGTTGGGGTGGGTTGAGTTGGGTGGGGTGGGCACTCTGTGACAAAGCCTGTGTAGAAATTGTGAACCGGGCCAACCCCTCCAAAACAAAGCCTTGGTTAGCCCCCCCCCTCAGATTTTCCTTTCCTCCTTTGACAGTGGTCCCCACCCCCTTCCTCCCTGCTCCCAGTAACTTCCCAGGACACTTACGGCAGAAGCTCTGGTTCCTCCAGGCCACAAGAGCTCCCTCCTGGGCACACTGGTGGGCGTAGGCAGCCAGGGCACCACAAAGACAATCATCCTCAGCCGAACAGCTGCACACATCCTCCAGGCACAACTGGTAGAAGGGTTCCCGCTCCACCAGGTTGTGGCAGGGCTGGCAAGGGGGTGGGGGGAAAATGGATGACCCTTCAGAAACTTCCGTTGATTGTCCATCTGGGTGGATTTACGTGGTGAGGGAGCATCGTGGTGGATATGCTCCTTGACCCAAGTGGGGTCTCAAAACTTCCTTGTCGAGAGGCTTCAACACTGCTGTGTTCAAGATAGGACAACTTTCTCTCCCTCTCTATCCCAGAGTATCTCAGCCTCAGTGACTTTCAGAGAAATGGACGTCAACTCCCAGCAGACTGGCTGGGGAACTCTGGGAGTTGAAGTCCACGCATCTCACAGTCGCTAAGGTTGAGAACTGCTGATCTAGAGCATTTGGGGGTGGATTGTACCATCTTTCTGAGTCTTCTACAGCAGGGATCTCCAACACGCGAGCTGCAGACCGCTACCGGGCCGCAGCACATTCAGACACTGGGGCCGCGCAAGTGGCAGGAGCTCGCGTTGGCGCACCGAGCTTCATTTGCGCAAGTGGTGAGTGGGCACGCCCACCGCTTGTGCAAATGGAGCCGCGCGCACGAGTGTACTTGCCCGCTGTTGGTGTGGAAACCTCCCCTCTCCCCTCCCGGCTGTCGCTGAGGCTGCCATTGCTGGTCCACAAAGCCGGAAAAGTTGGGAACCGTGGTTCTAGAGGAGTCTCTGAACTCGGCAATTCGAAGAGGTCGTAAAAACGAGGCATAGCTCAAGTAAGAACTTTCCAGCTTAGAAATTTGGGGCGGAGTTGCAGTGTCCCCAGGGACACGTGATCCAAATTCAGAGGTTTGGCCACTGACTCCTCTTTATGACAGTCGCAGTGTCCCGGGTCACGTGATCCAAATTTAAATCCTTGGCCACTGACTCCTCTTTATGACGGTCGCAGTGTCCTGGGATCACGTGATCCAAATTCAAACCCTTGACCACTGACTCCTCTTTATGACGGTCGCAGTGTCCCAGGATCACGTGATCCAAATTTAAATCCTTGGCCACTGACTCCTCTTTATGACGGTCGCAGTGTCCCGGGATCACGTGATCCAAATTTAAACCCTTGGCCACTGACTCCTCTTTATGACGGTCGCAGTGTCCCGGGATCACGTGATCCAAATTTAAATCCTTGGCCACTGACTCCTCTTTATGACGGTCGCAGTGTCCTGGGATCACGTGATCCAAATTTAAATCCTTGGCCACTGACTCGTCTTTATGACAGTCGCAGTGTCCCGGGATCACGTGATCCAAATTCAAACCCTTGACAACTGACTCCTCTTTATGACGGTCGTAGTGTCCCAGGGTCACGTGATCCAAATTTAAATCCTTGGCCACTGACTCCTCTTTATGATGGTCGCAGTGTCCTGGGATCACGTGATCCAAATTCAAACCCTTGGCCACTGACTCGTCTTTATGACAGTCGCAGTGTCCCGGGATCACGTGATCCAAATTCAAACCCTTGACAACTGACTCCTCTTTATGACGGTCGTAGTGTCCCGGGTCACGTGATCCAAATTTAAATCCTTGGCCACTGACTCCTCTTTATGACGGTCGCAGTGTCCTGGGATCACGTGATCCAAATTCAAACCCTTGACCACTGACTCCTCTTTATGACGGTCGCAGTGTCCCAGGATCACGTGATCCAAATTTAAATCCTTGGCCACTGACTCCTCTTTATGACGGTCGCAGTGTCCCGGGATCACGTGATCCAAATTTAAACCCTTGGCCACTGACTCCTCTTTATGACGGTCGCAGTGTCCCGGGATCACGTGATCCAAATTTAAACCCTTGGCCACTGACTCCTCTTTATGACGGTCGCAGTGTCCCGGGATCACGTGATCTAAATTTAAATCCTTAGCCACTGACTCCTCTTTATGACGGTCGCAGTGTCCCGGGATCACGTGATCCAAATTTAAATCCTTGGCCACTGACTCCTCTTTATGACGGTCGCAGTGTCCCGGTATCACGTGATCCAAATTTAAATCCTTGGCCACTGACTCCTCTTTATGACGGTCGCAGTGTCCTGGGATCACGTGATCCAAATTCAAACCCTTGGCCACTGACTCCTCTTTATGACGGTCGCAGTGTCCCGGGATCATGTGATCCAAATTTAAATTCTTGGCCACTGACTCCTCTTTATGACGGTCGCAGTGTCCCGGGATCATGTGATCCAAATTTAAATCCTTGGCCACTGACTCCTCTTTATGACGGTCGCAGTGTCCCGGGATCACGTGATCCAAATTCAAACCCTTGGCCACTGACTCCCCTTTATGACGGTCGCAGTGTCCCAGGCTCTTATGATCCCGTGAACAAGCAACGTCAACGGGGGAAACCAGGATCACTTAACGACCGTGTGACTCGTTTAAGAACGGCTGCAATCCCCTTCACAACGGGGCCAAACTCACTTCACAAATTGCTCGCTTGGTGACACAAATGTTGGGCCCCGTTGACGGTTGTGAGGACTAGCTGTACCTTCTCTGCTGGAGGGGAGGAGGGTCTGGTGGAGTGGGCCCCCCCTAAAAGGCAGCCCAAAGCCCCGCCTCCTTTGCCCCTGCGCCCTTCCTAACACCACCCCTGGCCAGCACCCCGGGTTGTCTTACCTGGAAGGGCGCGCCGTGGACGGCGGCGCAGGCCGTCTCGGCGTATTGCCGTCGTTGGGTGTACGTGCTGCAGGAGTCGAAGGGTAAGTCGCCCGTAGGGGCGGGGCAGGCGTGGGAAAGCTGGAACTTGTGGGCAAAAGCCGCCACGCTGGACTCCACGTCGCCCTCCGGGGTGGTGAACTCCTCCTGCTGGTTCCAGTTGTAGGTCCCGCAAAGTCCGCGGACCTGGAGGGAAGCGGGTGAGAGTTTGGCCCAGGTTGCATAGTTAGATTGGGCACCCTTTCAGTCCGCCAGAGCCCGGCGATTGGCTCTCGTCCGGAAGCGACGTGCAGTGTGTGTGTGTGGGGGGGGATGTTTCAGGTCTCGTGGCGGGATTTGATTTATTGCACACGGCGAGGGAACAGGGAGGGAGGGAGGGAGGAGAAAAAAGGGAAGGAAGGAGAGAAAAGGAGAAAGGGAGGGAAGGAGGGAGGAGGGAGGACGAGAAGGAAGGAGAGAGGGAGGGAGGGAAGAATGAAGGGAAGGAGCAAAGGAGGAAAGGAGGAAAGGAGGGAGGAAGAAGCAAGGGAAGGGAAGGAGGGAGGAAGGAAGGAAGAGAAAGAAAGAAAGGAATGAGGGAAGAAGGGTGGAAGAAGGAAAGAAGGAAAACAAAGATGGAAGGAAGGGAAGAAGTAGGAAGGAAGGAAGGAAGGAAAGAAGGGAAGAAGGGAGGGAGAAAGAAGGAAGGGAAAGAAGGAATGGAAGAAGAAAGGAAGGAAGGAAAGGACGAAAGGAGGAAATGAGGGAGGAAGAAGCAAGGGAAGGGAAGGAGGGAGGAATGAAGGAAGGAAGAGAAAGAAAGAAAGAAAGAAAGGAATGAGGGAAGAAGGGTGGAAGAAGGAAAGAAGGAAAAGAAAGATGGAAGGAAGGGAGGAAGTAGGAAGGAAAGGAGGGAAGAAGGAAGGGAGAAAGAAGGAAGGAAGGGAAAGAAGGAATGGAAGAAGAAAGGAAGGAAGGAAAGGAGGAAATGAGGGAGGAAGAAGCAAGGGAAGGGAAGGAGGGAGGAAGGAAGGAAGAGAAAGAAAGAAAGGAATGAGGGAAGAAGGGTGGAAGAAGGAAAGAAGGAAAACAAAGATGGAAGGAAGGGAAGAAGTAGGAAGGAAGGAAGGAAGGAAAGAAGGGAAGAAGGGAGGGAGAAAGAAGGAAGGGAAAGAAGGAATGGAAGAAGAAAGGAAGGAAGGAAAGGACGAAAGGAGGAAATGAGGGAGGAAGAAGCAAGGGAAGGGAAGGAGGGAGGAATGAAGGAAGGAAGAGAAAGAAAGAAAGAAAGAAATGAGGGAAGAAGGGTAGAAAAAGGAAAGAAGGAAAAGAAAGATGGAAGGAAGGAAGAAAGTAGGAAGAAGGGGGAAAGGAGGGAAGGAGGGAGAGAGGAAGAAGGGAGGAAGGGAAAGAAAGAAGGAAGGGAAGAAGGAAAGGACAGAAGGAAAGGAGGAAATGAGGGAGGAAGAAGCAAGGGAAGGGAAGGAGAGAGGGAGGAAGGAAGGAAAAGAAAGAAAAAGAAAGATAGAAAGAAAGAAAGGAATGAGGGAGGAAGGGTGGAAGGAGGAAAGAAGGAAAAGAAAGATGGAAGGAAGGAAGAAGGGAGGAAGAAGGAAGGAAGTAAAGGAGGGAAGAAGGGAGGAAGGAAGGGAGAAGTAAGGAAGGGAAAGAAAGAAGGAAGGGAAGAAGAAAGGAAGGAAGGAGGAAATGAGGGAGGAAGAAGGGAAGGGAAAGGAAGGAGGGAGGGATAGAGGAAGGAAGGGAAAGAAAGAAAAAAGAAGGAAAGGAGGAAATCAGGGAGGAAGAAGCATGGGAAGGGTAGGAGGGAAGAAAAGATGGAGGAAGGAGGGAAGGGAAAGAAAGAAAGAAAGAAAGAAAGAAAGAAAGAAAGAAAGAAAGAAAGAAAGAAAGAAAGAAAGAAAAAGAAAAAATGAGGGAATGAGGGAAGAAGGGTGGAAGAAGCAAAGAAGGAAAAGAAAGACGGAAGGAAGCGAAGAAGGAAGGAAAGGAGGGAAGAACGGAGGGAGGAAGAAGGAAGGAAGAGAAAGAAACAAGGAATGGAAGAAGAAAGGAAAGGAGGAAATGAGGGAGGAAGAAGCAAGGGAAGGAAAAGGAAGAAGGGAGGGAGGGAGGAAGGAAGGGAAAGAAAGAAATAAAAAGAAAAAATGAGGGAATGAGGGAAGAAGAATGGAAGAAGCAAAGAAAGAAAAGAAAGACGGAAGGAAGGGAAGAAGGAAGGAAGAAAGGGAAGGAGGGAAGGAGGGAAGAAGAAGGAAGGAAGGGAAAGAAAGAAGGAAGGGAAGAAGAAAGGAAGGAAGGAAAGGAGGAAAGGAGGGAGGAAGAAGCAAGGGAAGGGTAGGAGGGAGGGAGGGAGGGAGGAAGGGAAAGAAAGAAAGAAAGAAAGAAAGAAAGAAAGAAAGAAAAAATGAGGGAATGAGGGAAGAAGGGTGGAAGAAGCAAAGAAGGAAAAGAAAGACAGAAGGAAGCGAAGAAGGAAGGAAGGAAAGGAGGGAAGAAGGGAGGGAGGGAGGAAGAAGGAAGGGAAAGAAAGAAGGGAAGAAGAAAGGAAAGGAGGAAAGGAGAGAGGGAAAAGGATGGGGAAGGGAAGAAGGAAGGAAAGAAAAGAGAGAAGCAGGAAGGGAAAGGAATAGAGAGAAGGGCAGGGGAGGGGAGGGGCGGGGAGGGGTGGGAAGGAGGGGGAGGGCTCCTGAAAGAGAAGGAGCCCACTCTGCACGTCAAGGTGCCACCCACCCCCCAGGAGGCACCTGCCCCCCACACCTTGTGGTGCCCTAACCACCCTTCTGGTTCAAACGTTACTCCTCACCACCCCGCCCACCATCCCGTGTCCCCGGGGACCCCCTATCCTAGAAGGCTTTGCTTGGGGAAGCCCCCCCCCCCGAGACTCACCTTGTGGGCGAAGCTGGGCTGGAGAGTGATGTAGGCAGCGGGGAACTCCAGGCCCCAGAGGAGGTGAGCCCCAAAGGCCTGGAGGAGCAGGAAGGCGGAGGACGCGCGTCGGACGGTCAGCTCGGCGTTGGCAAAGGGGAGGGCCACTTCCCGGCCGTTTACCAAGACAGACCCTGGGGAGGGGGGGACAGAGAGGGACAGAGGAGGGTGAACAGGAGCCTGGAGGAGGAGGAGGAGGAGGAGGAAGAGGAGGAGGAAGGAAGGAAGGAAGGAAGGAAGGAAGGAAGGAAGGAAGGAAGGAAGGAAGGAAGGAAGGAAGGAAGGAAGGAAGGAAGGAAGGGACTGTGGGGTCCTTGGTGCTCTCTGAACTGGGTGGTTTTCTTCCAGACGTTTCCTGACCCAACTAGGGAACATGATCAGTGCTACAAAGGGGGTGGATTTGCAAGGAGGAGGAGGAGGGGGAGGAGGAGGAGGAAGAGGAGGAGGAGGAGGAGCAGCAGGAGGAGGAGGACTGTGGGGTCTTTGGTTCTCTCCAAGCTGGGCGGTTTCCTTGCAGACGTTTCCTGACCCAACTAGGGAACATCAACAGTTTTTGAAAAGAGGGGTGTGTGGAGAGGAGGAGGAGGAGGAGGAGGAGGAGGAGGAGGAGGAGGAGGAAGAGGAGGAGGAGGAGGAGGAGGAGGAGAAGAAGGGGAGGAGGAGGAGGAGGAGGAAGAAGACTGTGGGGTCCCTGGTGCTATCAGAGCTGGGTGGTTTCCTTGCAGATATCTTGTGACCCAACTAGGGAACGTCATCAGTGTTAGAAGGAAGGAAGGAAGGAAGGAAGGAAGGAAGGAAGGAAGGAAGGAAGGAAGGAAGGAAGGAAGGAAGGAGGAAGGAAAGAAAGAAAGAAAGAAAGAAAGAAAGAAAGAAAGAAAGAAAGAAAGAAAGAAAGAAAGAAAGAAAGGAGGAAAGGAGGAAAGGAGGAAAGGAGAAAGGCCTGTGGGGTCCTTGGTGCTCTCTGAGTTGGGTGGTTTCCTTGCAGACGTTTCCTTACCCAACTAGGGAACATCATCAGTGCTATGAGGGAGTGGAATTGCAAGGAGGAGGAGGAGGATTGTGGGGTTTGTCTTTGGTTCTCTCTGAGCTGGGTGGTTTCCTTGCAGACGTTTCTTGACCCAATTAGGGAACATCATCAGTGCTAGGAGGAGGAGGAGAGGGAGGGAGGGGAGGGGAGGAGGAAGAGGAAGAGGAAGAGACCTATAGGGTCCTTGACCTTGTCTGAGCTGAGTCACTAGATGTCTTCTTCAGCCTGGGCCCCCCAAGAAGGGGCAGTTGCCCCCAGGCTGAATTCAGCCCCTCTCTCCGCCAGTCGGCGGAGGCAGCTGGCGCAGCTCACCTGGGGCAGGTGAGGTGATCTTCTTACCCCCCCCCCGAAAAAGATCCCCAGGCGGACCTTCGGTCTCACCTGCGAAGGACAGCTGGGCTGACGTCTTCTGCACAGTGACGGTCACAGCCCGGAGGCAGCTGATGGCGCCCTGGTTCCCGCAGGGCTCGCTCTCCGCCTCGATCTGAATTTTCCCGTCGACAAAATCCTATGAAAATGGAGCGAGAGAGGGTGAGGATACGGCGACGGCCATACGTCGGGAAAAGAAGGGCCTCGGCAGCGTCCGACGACGGTCACTAAAGGGGCCGTTGGAAGTCGAGGACGACCTGTGCTATGTGGGAGAGAAGGAAGGGGGCTGCTCCCCCCCCACAAAAGCCCCCTCCCCACCTGTCCTCCAGCCACATCAAAATCCTGTGAAAATAGAGAGAGGCTACTGCAACGGACGTCCGTCGGAAGAATGCACGCCGCGGCAGCTTCCAACGGTCACTAAAGGCACCGTTGTAAGTCAAGGAGTGCCTGCGCTCGGTTGGAGAGAAGGAAGGGGGCTGCTCCCCTCACACAGGCCTCCTCCCCGCCCGCCCCTCACCTGCACCAGGGTGTAGCGGCAAACCCCGCGGAAGGAGTAACGCTTGCCGTCGAACGTCAGGAAGTGGAGATGTGCGTGGAGGATGCACTCCCTGGCGCACCGATCCTGCGAGCAGACCCACTGCCCCCCTCGGCAAGTGCTGTGGGAGCAAGCGACAGGTCTGGTGAGGGGGGAGGTGGGGGTCTTCAAGGGGGGACAGCCCCCGGCCTTTCTCCCCGCCCCAACTCAAGCCACGGGTCTCCCGTCTACGTCGAGAAAAATCCCAACTCTTCTGCAATGTTGATGGATAGACTATCTGTAGCTCAGGGTGGAACTGGGTGGGGTGGGGTCCTTGGGGCTCTCTGAGTTGGGGGGGGGTCCTTGGAGATGTTTCATGACCCAACTAGGGAACGTCATCAGTGCTCGAAGGGAGGGGGATTAGAGAGGAAAAAAACACCTCCCTTCTGGCACTGGTGATGGTCTGTAGTTGGGTCAGGAAACGTCTTCAAGGAAACCACCCAGCTCAGAGAGAACCAAAGACCCCACAGTTATCCTCCTCTTCTTCTTCCTCCTCCTCCTCCTTCACCTCCCCTTTTTCTCCTCTTTCTCCGTCCTTACCTCTTCCTCCTCTTTCTCTGCCACCTCTTCCCCCTCCTCCCGTCCTGCTCCACCTCCTCCTCCTCCTATTCCTCCTCCTTCTTTTCCCCCTTCTCCTCCCCTCCCTCCTTCACCTCCTCCTCCTTCACCTCCTCCTCCCCTTTTTCTCCTCTTTCTCCCTCCTTACCTCTTCTTCCTCTTTCTCCGCCACCTCTTCCTCCTCCTCCTTCTTTTCCCCCTTCTCCTCCCCTCCTTCTCCCTCCTTCACCTCCTCCTCCTTCACCTCCTCCTTCACCTTCTCCTCCCCTTTTTCTCCTCTTTCTCCCTCCTTTTCCTCCGCCACCTCCCTCCTCCTCTTGCTCCTCCTTCTTTTCCTCCTTCCTCCTCCTCCTCCTCCCTTCTAGCACTGATGACGTTCCCTAGCTGGGTCATGAAACGTCTGCAAGGAAACCACCCAGCTCAGAGAGCACCGAGGACCCCTACAGTCTTTTTCCTCCTCCTCTCCCTCCTCCTGTTCCTCCTCCTCCTTCACCTGCTCCTCCTCCCCCCTTCTTCTCCTCTTTCTCCCTCCTTACCTCCTCCTCCTCTTCTCCGCAATCCCTCTCCCTCCAAGCACTAAAGATGTTCCCTAGGTGGGTCATGAAATGTCTACAAGGAAACCCCCAACCTCAGCGAGTAGCAAGGACTCCCCCAATCCTCCTCCTCCTCCCCCTCCCCCTCCTCCTCCTCCTCCTCCCTTCTAGCACTGATGATGTTCCCTAGCTGGGTCCTGAAACGTCTGCAAGGAAACCATCACGATTGGAAAGCACCGAGGATTCCCACAGTCCTTCCTCCTCCTCCTCCTCCTCCTCCTCCTCCTCCTCCTCCTCCTCCTCCTCCTCCTCCTCCTCCTCCTCCTCCTCCTCCTCCTGCTCCTCCTGCTCCCTTTGGCCGCCCAAGACCCATTCTCAGGCTGACGTGGGGCTGATGTCACCCCGCCCTTCCAGCTCACCAGCGATTGCAGCGCTGCTGCAGCGTCTCCCCTGCACGGAACTTCTGCCGGCGGTGGAAGCAGGGACACTGGCTCTCGGGGACGCAGGACCCCTCCTCAAGGTAGAGTCCCGGGACGCATTCGCAGCCGCTCACGCACTCCTGACGGCAGTGGTCTCCGCTCAGCGTCCCCACGGCCGCACAGCTGGCCGGACACGACGACACGCACTCCGTGTAGCGCTGGCCCGGGCCGCACGGTTTCTCTGTGGGGGAAGGGGTGAAGTGGGACCACGGCCGATGGCTTTCGTTGGCGGAGGGCAGGAAGGACGGGGGGGATGGGGGAGCTTGGAGGTCATCTAGTCCAGCCCCCTGCTCAAGCAGGAGACCCTTACAGAGTCATAGAATGACCGAGGTGGAAGGGACCTCAGAGGTCATCTAGTCCAGCCCCCTGCTCAAGAGGGAAACTCTTACAGAATGATAGAATGACCGAGGTGGAAGGGACCTCAGAGGTCATCTAGTCCAGCCCCCTACTCAAGAGGGAGACTCTTACAGAATGATAGAATGACAAAGTTGGAAGGGACCTTAGAGATTAATAATAATAATAATAATAATAATTAGACAAAATGCCAAATCCAGTCTGAATATCTGGCTGACTGTGCGATGATCCATAATAATAATAATAATAATAATAATAATAAAAGTCGGAAGGGACCTTGGAGGTCATCTAGTCCAACCCCCTGCTCAGGCAGGAAACCTTACACCATTTCGGACCAGTGCCTGTTCAGTCTCTTCTTAAAAACTTCCAGTGTTGGAGCATTTACTGCTTCTGGAGGCAGGTGGTTCCACTGATTAATTATTCTCACTGTCAGGAAGTTTCTCCTTAGTTCTAGGTTGCTTCTCTCCTTGATTAGTTTCCACCCGTTGCTTCTTGTCCTGCCTTCAGGTGCTTTGGAGAATAGCTTGACCCCCTCTTCTTTATGGCAGCCCCTGAGATATTGGAATACTGCTATCATGTCCCCCCTCGTCCTTCTCTTTGTTAAACTAGACCAGTGGTTCTCAACCTTTCTAATGCCGCGACCCCATAATACAGTTCCCCATGTTGTGGTGACCCCCAACCACTTATACTTCACCGGGTGCCAGGGGCGTGGCCAAAGAAAAGGGGGAAAAAATGGCGGACAGCCTTGTTTGGCGACCCCCGTGAAATGGTTGTTCGATCCCAAATGGGGTCCCGACCCACAGGTGGAGAACCACTGAACTAGACCTACCCAATTCCAGCAACCGTTCCTTATATGTTTTAGCCTCCAGTCCCCTAATCCTCTTTGTTGCTCTTCTCTGTACTCTTTCTAGAGTCTCAACATCTTTTTTACATCGTGGTGACCAAAACTGGATGCCGGATTCCAAGGGTGGCCTTACCAAGGCCTTGTAAAGTGGCATTAACACTTCATGTGATCTTGATTCTATCCCTCTGTTAATGCAGCCCAGCACCATGTTGGCTTTTTTGGCAGCTGCAGCACACAGCTGGCTCCTATTTAAGTGATTGTCCTCCTGGCTTGAGCAGGAAATACTTACAGAATCATAGAGTTGGAAGGGACCGTGGAGGCCTAACCCCTTGTCCAAGCAGGAGACCCTTACAGAACACCTTCCGGTATTTGGGGGGGGGGCTGCCACAAAGAGGGGGGTCCACCTATTCTCCAAAGCACCATTAGGCAGGACAAGAAGCAGTGGGTGGAAGCTAATCAAGGAGAGAAGCAAGCTAGAAGTAAGGAGAAACTTCCTCTAAGAGGGAGGACAATGAACCGGTGGAACAGCTTGCCACCAGAAGCGGTAGATGGAGGTTTTTAAGAAGAGACCGGACAGTCACCTGTCTGAAATAGTAGAGGTCTCCTGCTTGAGCAGGGGGCTGGACTAGAAGATCTCTGAAGTCCCTTCCAGCCTTAAGGCAGGAGAAAGAGACAGGGAGGGAGGGAGGGAGCGAGGAAGGAAGGAAGGAAGGAAGGAAGGAAGGAAGGAAGGAAGGAAGGAAGGAAGGAAGGAAGGAAGGAAGGAAGGAAGGAAGGAAGGGTTGGAGTAGATGATCTCCAAAGTCCCTTCCCACTCTGTGATTCTATGATTCTGTAAGAATCTCCTGCTCAAGCAGAGGGCTGGACTAGAAGATCTCCACAGCCCCTTCCCGCTCTGTGATTCTATGATTCTGTAAGAGTTTCCTGCTCAGAGGGCTGGACTAGAAGATCTCCACAGCCCCTTCCCGCTCTGTGATTCTATAAGAGTCTCCTGCTCAAGCAGAGGGCTGGACTAGAAGATCTCCAAAGCCCCTTCGTGCTCTGTGAGTCTATGATTCTGTAAGAGTCTCCTGCTCAGAGGGCTGGACTAGAAGATCTCCACAGCCCCTTCCCACTCTGTGAGTCTATGATTCGGTAAGAGTCTCCTGCTCAAGCAGAGGGCTGGACTAGAAGATCTCCACAGCCCCTTCCCGCTCTGTGATTCTATGATTCTGTAAGAGTTTCCTGCTCAGAGGGCTGGACTAGAAGATCTCCACAGCCCCTTCCCGCTCTGTGATTCTATAAGAGTCTCCTGCTCAAGCAGAGGGCTGGACTAGAAGATCTCCAAAGCCCCTTCGTGCTCTGTGAGTCTATGATTCTGTAAGAGTCTCCTGCTCAGAGGGCTGGACTAGAAGATCTCCACAGCCCCTTCCCACTCTGTGAGTCTATGATTCTGTAAGAGTCTCCTGCTCAAGCAGAGGGCTGGACTAGAAGATCTCCACAGCCCCTTCCCGCTCTGTGATTCTATGATTCTGGAAGAGTTCCTGTTCAAGCAGAGGGCTGGACTAGAAGATCTCCACAGCCCCCTCCCGCTCTGTGATTCTATGATTCTGTAAGAGTTTCCTGCTCAGAGGGCTGGACTAGAAGATCTCCACAGCCCCTTCCCACTCTGTGAGTCTATCATTCTGTAAGAGTCTCCTGCTCAAGCAGAGGGCTGGACTAGAAGATCTCCACAGCCCCTTCCCGCTCTGTGATTCTATCATTCTGTAAGAGTCTCCTGCTGAACCTGTGGGCTGGACTAGAAGATCTCCACAGCCCCTTCCCGCTCTGTGATTCTATGATTCTGTAAGAGTCTCCTGCTCAAGCAGAGGGCTGGACTAGAAGATCTCCACAGCCCCTTCCCGCTCTGTGATTCTATGATTCTGTAAGTCTCCTGCTCAGAGGGCTGGACTAGAAGATCTCCACAGCCCCTTCCCGCTCTGTGATTCTATGATTCTGTAAGTCTCCTGCTCAGAGGGCTGGACTAGAAGATCTCCACAGCCCCTTCCCGCTCTGTGATTCTATGATTCTGTAAGTCTCCTGCTCGGAGGGCTGGACTAGAAGATCTCTACAGCCCCTTCCCGCTCTGTGATTCTATGATTCTGTAAGAGTCTCCTGCTCAAGCAGAGGGCTGGACTAGAAGATCTCCACAGCCCCTTCCCACTCTGTGATTCTATGATTCTGTAAGTCTCCTGCTCGGAGGGCTGGACTAGAAGATCTCCACAGCCCCTTCCCGCTCTGTGATTCTATCATTCTGTAAGAGTCTCCTGCTGAAGCTGTGGGCTGGACTAGAAGATCTCCACAGCCCCTTCCCGCTCTGTGATTCTATGATTCTGTAAGAGTCTCCTGCTCAAGCAGAGGGCTGGACGAGAAGATCTCCATAGCCCCTTCCCACTCTGTGATTCTATGATTCTCTAAGGATCCCCTGCTTGAGCTGGGGGGGTCTGGAAACGCCGCTGCACCCCCCCCCCCGTCCCTGGCCCGCGGCCCCTTACCACAAAAGCCAGCCCTTCTCCAGTTGACGAAGACGCCTCGCTGGGCGCACTCACGGGCGTAACTGGCAAAGGTCTCGCAGGCGGCTTTGGACCCTGCCCGTCGGCTGCACAGCAGGTACTTGCAGGTGTCGTAGAAACTTTGGGGGTCCACCTGCCGGGGGGGCAAGGAAGGGGTACAGCCTTAGGAGAGGTGGGGCGGGGAGGCTGTCGAGGACCGTCCAGGTAGTCCTCGATTTACGACAGTTCGTTTAGTGACCGTTCAAAGTTCCGACGGCACGGAAAAAAAGGGACATAGGGCCATTTCTCCCCTACACGACTGTTGCAGCAGAGTGAAAACAAACCACGGTTTAATGCAACAAGAGAGCGCAGCCAAGATTAAGCCTTGACTAGCAAGGGTTTATTTAGTGATCGTTCAAAGTTCCGACGCCCCTGAAAAAAGGGGGAGCTTAGGAGCATTTCTCCCACTGATGATCGTTGCAGCATCGCCGTGGTGACGTGATCAAAATTCAGCCACTCGGCGACGGGCTCATATTTATGACGGTCGCAGAGTCCCTGGGTCATGGGATCAAAATTCAGACGCTTGGTAACTGACTCATATTTAGGACGGTCACAGTGTCCAGGGGTCCCGTGGTCAAAATTGGCAACTGACTCGTATTTATGACGTTCGCAGTGTCCCGGGGTCACGTGGCAACCGACTCGTATTTATGATGCTCGCAGTGACCCTGGGGGGGGGGTCACGTGATCCCCGTGGGCGGCCTCCTGACAAGCCGGAAGGCAGATTCGCTCAACCACGGTAGCGAGAAAGATCGTCAAATGGGACGAAACGCGCTTCACAAACCTTTCGCTGAGCAACAGAAAGTTTCGGCTCCATTGGGGTCGTCAGTGAAGGACTACGTTTATTCAGACTCATCTTTAGTGGGCGGGGGAGACACCTGTGGTGTGTGTGTGTGTGTGTGAGTATGAGTGTGCGTGCACGCGCCAACAACGCACTCCTCACCTGCATATGACACTGGCCGAAAGAGCTGGAGAACAACTTTTGGCAAGTAGACTCAGCCGCTGCCTGAACGTCGCTGTCCGGCACAGCGTCGCAGCGGTACGGCTCCTCCGCGGCGTCTCTGCAGGAGCTCTGCAGCAAACAAAGGAAGAGTGCAATTAATTAACCCATTGAATTCATCCAAAGAGAGCTGGAAGGGACCTCGGAGGTCCTCTAGTCCAACCCCCTGCTCGAGCAGGAGAGCCTTGCAGAATCATAGGAGTTGGAAGGGACCTCGGAGGTCATCTAGTCCAACCTTTGCTCGAGCAGGAGACTCTTGCAGAATCATAGGAGTTGGAAGGGACCTCGGAGGTCATCTAGTCCAACCCCCTGCTCGAGCAGGACAGCCTTGCAGAATCATAGGAGTTGGAAGGGACCTTGGAGGTCATCTAGTCCAACCCTTGCTCAAGCAGGAGACTCTTACAGAATCATAGGAGTTGGAAGGGACCTCGGAGGGCATCTAGTCCAACCCCCTGCTCAAGCAGGAGACTCTTACAGAATCATAGGCGTTGGAAGGGACCTCAGAGGGCATCTAGTCCAACCCCCTGCTCGAGCAGGAGAGCCTTGCAGAATCATAGGAGTTGGAAGGGACCTTGGAGGTCATCTAGTCCAACCCTTGCTCAAGCAGGAGACTCTTGCAGAATCATAGGAGTTGGAAGGGACCTCGGAGGTCATCTAGTCCAACCCCCTGCTAAAGCAGCAGACCCTTACAGAATCATAGGAGTTGGAAGGGACCTCGGAGGGCATCTAGTCCAACCCTTGCTCAAGCAGGAGACCCTTGCAGAATCATAGAATGACTGGATTGGAAGGGACCTCCTCCTCTCCACACACCCCATTCCCTTCTAGCACTGATGACGTTACGTAGTTGGGTCATGAAACGTCTGCAAGGCAACCACCAACTTCAGAGAGCACCAAGGATCCCACAGTCCTTTCCTCCCCCTCCTCCTCCTCCTCCTCCTCCTCCTCCTCCTCTTCCTCTTCCTCCTCTCTATAAGCCCCTTTCTCTTCTAGCATGGATGATGTTACCTACTTGGGTGCTGAAACGTCGGCAAGAAAACCGCCCACCTCAGAGGGGTGAGGGTGCAACTTAATCAACACATTCCCAACTTAACAAATGCCACAATTCCCTTTTTACAACCGGGGCCAGCAAAGTCGTCCAGCGGGACCAACGCACCAGGCCCATGTCTCACTTAGTGACAGAAACGTGGTCGTACGTTGAGGACCCCCTGGGTGGGAGACAAGCCATAGCAATGCCCTCAGAGGAACTGCGGGGGCAGAGCCCTTCGGAGAGCATGGGCGCCCCCCCATCAACCTACCCACACGCGCCCCCTCTCTGTCTTGATCGGTACTTACCGAGCCGGTCTCGGGAATACGCCAAGAATTGCCAAAGCTGGCCGCCAGCGGGACCACGTCCCCTCCCACCCGTTGAAAGTCATCTGTGGACACAGAAGGGAAAAGCTGCGGGACGGGTCCAGAAACCATTAAAGAGAAGGGGTGGGGAGACCCCCACCGAGCTACACCTCTGGCTCATGGGGGGCTTTCTCGCTCAGAGCATGGAGAGGAGGGGAGACCGAGAGACAGTATAGGATCCCGGGAAGACCCTTGGAGGGGCCCATCACCTCAAAATTCTGCTGCTGGGGAAGAGGGGGGGAGAGCAGCCCCTCCGACTAATAGAAAGGAATAACAGAAGAGCAGAATAAAAGAATTGCAGAATAAGAGAATTGCAGAATAACAGAAGAGCAGAATAGCGGAAGAAAGGAACAGCAAAATAACAATAGCAAAAAAAACAGAAGAGCACACAGCAGCATAACAGAAGAGCAGAATAACAGAATAGCACAATAGCAGAATAGCACAATAGCAGAATATAACAGAATTATAGAATAGCAGAATAGGAGAATAACAGAAGAGCAGAATGACAGAACAGCAGAATAACAGAACAGCGGAATAGTGGAATAACAGAATATAACAGAATAGCGGAATAGCAGGATAACGGAACAGCGGAATAGTGGAATAATAGAATATAACAGAATAGCAGAATAGCAGAATAATGGAACAGCGGAATAGTGGAATAATAGAATATAATAGAATTCCAGAATAACAGAATAGCAGAATAACAGAATAGCACAATAGCAGAATATAACAGAATTATAGAATAGCAGAATAGGAGAATAACAGAAGAGCAGAATGACAGAATAGCAGAATAACAGAACAGCGGAATAGTGGAATAACAGAATATAACAGAATAGCAGAATAGCAGAATAGCAGAATAGCAGAATAATGGAAACAGAATATAATAGAATTCCAGAATAACAGAATAGCAGAATAACAGAATAGCACAATAGCAGAATATAACAGAATTATAGAATAGCAGAATAGGAGAATAACAGAAGAGCAGAATGACAGAATAGCAGAATAACAGAACAGCGGAATAGTGGAATAACAGAATATAACAGAATAGCAGAATAGCAGAATAACGGAACAGCGGAATAGTGGAATAACAGAATATAATAGAATTCCAGAATAACAGAATAGCAGAATAACAGAATAGCACAATAGCAGAATATAACAGAATTATAGAATAGCAGAATAGGAGAATAACAGAAGAGCAGAATGACAGAATAGCAGAATAACAGAACAGCGGAATAGTGGAATAACAGAATATAACAGAATAGCAGAATAACGGAACAGCGGAATAGTGGAATAACAGAATATAATAGAATTCCAGAATAACAGAATAGCAGAATAACAGAATAGCACAATAGCAGAATATAACAGAATTATAGAATAGCAGAATAGGAGAATAACAGAAGAGCAGAATGACAGAATAGCAGAATAACAGAACAGCGGAATAGTGGAATAACAGAATATAACAGAATAGCAGAATAGCAGAATAACGGAACAGCGGAATAGTGGAATAACAGAATATAACAGAATAGCGGAATAGCAGAATACCGGAACAGCGGAATAATGGAATAATAGAATATAATAGAATTCCAGAATAACAGAAGAGCAGAATAACAGAACAGCAGAATAGCAGAATAACAGAATAGCGGAATCGCAGAATAAGAGAATAGCAAAATAGTGGAAGAATGGAATAGCGGAATAACAGAATAGGACAAAATTACAGAATAGCAGAATGACGGAATAGTGGAGTAGCGGAATAGCAGAAGTGCAGAAGAACAGAATTGCGGAATAGCAGAATAATAGAGTTGCAAGGGATCTCGGAGGTCTTCTAGTCCACCCTCCCGCTCACGCAGGAAACCCTATATAATTTCACACAAATGCTTGCCCAATCACTTTTTAAAACGCTCTTCTTCAAAGGGGCTCCATTGTGGATCCTCGGGGGTTTCCAGGGACACCGCCCCGTTTTAAAAAAAACCATCCATGTTTCCTTGCAGGATCCCATCTCCCCAATAGAGGGCTTACGTTTGAATGAGGGACCCTACTGGATGGGGGGGGAGGACACAGACCAGGGGGTCCCCTGTGGTCCCCTCCACCTGGGCCTGGAATTCGGCCTTACCTGCAGGGTTGTCGTTGTAGACGCCACACAGCCCCCGAGTTGTGCCTTGCAGGGCAGTCCCGACGGTGACGTAGATCGTGCTGTGGCCATCAAATTTGACCCGGATCCCCAGGCCGCTGTCCACCAACAGGAAGTCCCCCAGCCACCAGACGCTGATCCCTGGAGGGAGGGAGGGCCGATGGAGGGGGAGAGAGAAGCTGCAGATCCCAAACGCGGCATGCAGCCCGGCACCCCCAAAGCTCCGGCAGAATGGAATGGATGAACGGCGCAGGATTTTTTTTTTCCCCCCTTTGGCTAACCCAGCGGTTCTCCACCTGTGGGTCGGGACCCCATTTGGGGGTCGAACGACCATTGCACGGGGGTCGCCAAACAACGCCGTCTGCCATTTTTCCCCCCTTTTCCTTAGCTGTGCTCCTCCCTTTTATTCTATTGGCCTTGGAAAGCCAATAGAAGAGACTCTCTTGAATAGAGTCTAATTCTATAGGCTTTCCAAAGCCAATGGGAATGGTCCAGGCTGTCTCTGCCCTGCTGAGCCCGCCAAAAGTCCCATTCTGCAAACGGTGCTGTGAGTTGTCTGCGGTGAAGGCGAGCTGTCTGGAAGCTTCCACCCTTCCCTGCTGAGCAACTACTAAAAATGTAAGCAAAAGAGGGCCAGGGGTGGGAGGTGGGAGGCCGGCGGGCGCAGGGAGGGTTGCTGGCGCGCGTGGGGCCCGACGAGTGCCTCACCTCCCTTGGGCTGGGCCAGCTGGTGGCCCAGCCGGTGGTCGGCCTGCGCCGTCTCTGCCGCTTGCCAGCTACGCCTCGGCTGGCGCAGGGGGCGGCACCACGCATGCGCGGCGCTCCCGGGCAGGGAACGTCCTCGATTTACGACTGGTTGGGTAGTCCTCGACTTACGACCGGTTTAGTCCTCGACTTAGGACCGGTTGTTTAGTCCTCGACTTACGACCGGTTGGGGGTCGCGGCATGAAAAAGGTTGAGAACCACTGTGCCAACCCCATTTGCATGGTTCCTCTCCCCTCCCTGACATCCCCCACCCCAGCCCTCACCCTTTCGTAGGAGTGGTTCCCTCTCGGTCACCGCGGCACCATTAACCGAGACGTCGTGTCCGTGAACCGTCACCAGGTCAAGGCCGAAGACGATGCGGAGGTCCTGTCGGATAAGGAGGACCGTGAGGATGGGGGTCTCGGCTCCCCTGGCCTCCCCTGTTCCGCCCATCCCGGGCATGTTCCCCAGCAAAGGGCCCTGCATTGGTAGTCCTCGACTTACGACCGCCACAGATCTCCCCCAAATTATCGCTGCAAAATGCGACACTGGTTAAGCCCGTTTAACCGCCCTCCCTTTTTTCTGTCCCCGCCATTGTTCGGGAAACGCTTGCGGAGGTTAAGCGAGTCGCCCGGTGGTCAAGGGAATCCCAAAGGGGATCGTGTGACTCCGGGACCCTGCACCCGTCGTAAACAGGGATCTAGTAATAGTAGTAAAGTTGGAAGGGACCTTGGAGGTCATCTAGTCCAACCCCCTGCTCAGGCAGGAAACCCTACACCATTTCGGACAAATGGCCGTCCAGTCTCTTTATAATAATGATGATGATGATGATGATGATGATGATAATGATGATGAAGCTGGAAGGGACCTTGGAGGTCATCTAGTCCAACCCCCTCCTCAGGCAGGAAACCCTACACCATTTCGGACAAATGGCCGTCCAGTCTCTTCATAATAATAATAATAATGATGATGATGATGATGATGATGATGATGAAACTGGAAGGGACCTTGGAGGTCATCTAGTCCAACCCCCTGCTCAGGCAGGAAACCCTACCCCATTTCAGACAAATGGCCGTCCAGTCTCTTCATAATAATAATAATAATGATTATGATGATGAAGCTGGAAGGGACCTTGGAGGTCATCTAGTCCAACCCCCTGCTCGGGCAGGAAACCCTAACCCATTTCGGACAAATGGCCGTCCAGTCTCTTTATAATAATAATAATAATAATAATAATAATGATGATGATGATGATGATGATGATGAAACTGGAAGGGACCTTGGAGGTCATCTAGTCCAACCCCCTGCTCAGGCAGGAAACCCTACACCATTTCAGACAAATGGCCGTCCAGTCTCTTCATAATAATAATAATAATGATTATGATGATGAAGCTGGAAGGGACCTTGGAGGTCATCTAGTCCAACCCCCTGCTCGGGCAGGAAACCCTAACCCATTTCGGACAAATGGCCGTCCAGTCTCTTAATAATAATAATAATAATAATGATGATGATGATGATGATGATGAAGCTGGAAGGGACCTTGGAGGTCATCTAGTCCAACCTCCTGCTCAGGCAGGTAACCCTACACCATTTCGGACAAATGGCTGTCCAGTCTCTTCTTAAAAACATCCAGTGTTGGAGCATTTACTGCTTCTGGAGGCAGGTGGTTCCACCGGTTAATTGTTATCATGGTCAGGAAGTTTCTCCTTAGTTCCAGGTTGCTTCTCTCCTTGATTAGTTTCCACCCGTTGCTTCTTGTCCTGCCTTCAGGCGCTTTGGAGAATAGCTTGACACCCTCTGCTTTGGGGCAGCCCCTGAGATATTGGAAGACTGCTATCATGTCCCCCCTCGTCCTTCTCTTCGTTAAACTAGACATACCCAAGTCTAGCAACCGTTCCTTACATGTTTTAGCCTCCAGTCCCCTGATCCTCTTTGTTGCTCTTGTCTGTACTCTTTGTAGAGTCTCAACATCTTTTTTACCAAAACTAGATGCCGTATTCCAAGTGTGGCTTTACCAAGGCCTTGTAAAGTGGTATTAATACTTCACGTGATCTTGATTCTATCTGTTAATGCAGCCCAACACTGTGTTGGCCTTTTTTGGCAGCTGCAGCACACGGCTACACATCTGTGGCCAAGCGTCTGAATTTGGATCCCGCGCCCGCGGGGACGCGACGAGGGCCGTTAAGTTTCAAAAACGGCCGCCAGTCCCCCTTTTGCAACGTGGCACGCTCAGCAAGAGAACGGCCGTCAGTCGAGGACTTAACCTCTACATGCCTGGAAGCATAACACTCTGGAAGTGTCCCAGGAGCTGAACCTGCAGACCCACCCACACACACACACACATTCAATGTCCAGAATCCTCACCCTTTGACACTGGCCCGGCACGCAGCCGCTGCGGCCGGAGGAGACGTACACGGCCCAGGTGCCGTCGGACGCTGCAGCCAGGGCGTAGGTGCAGTTGCCCCCGAAGCGGAAGTGCTTCCCATCAAAGGTGCGGTAGTGCAAGCCGTCCCAGGTGAGACAGGTGGCGAAGGGGGGGTGGTGGGACCTCTGTCGGGCTAGGAGCGCTGAGGGGGCAGCGGGCTGGAGCCGGGGCGAAGGCCAGGTGTCTGGGGAGAAGGAGACTGTGAGAAGGGCAGCACCTGGGCTGGGCTCTGCGAGGCGTTTTATATCCAAATATCTTTTTATTCTTGATCCCGTTTCCGTCTCCCCATAAAATATGAACAGATTCCACAAGGGCCTGAAATTAACTGACCGACTAGAGGATTGACAGCCAAGCGGAAAGTAAAATCTCAATTGACAGTGGCCCTTACTGGATAATTGACAGTCAAGCTGAAACTAAGATAATTGACAGTCAAGCTGAAACTAAGATAATTGACAATGGCCCTACTGGATAATTGACAGTCAAACGGAAACTAAGATAATTGACAGTCAAACTGAAACTAAGATAATTGACAGTGGCCCTACTGGATAATTGACGGTCAAGCTGAAACTAAGATAATTGACAATGGCCCTACTGGATAATTGACAGTCAAACGGAAACTAAGATAATTGACAGTCAAACTGAAACTAAGATAATTGACAGTGGCCCTACTGGATAATTGACGGTCAAGCGGAAACTAAGATAATTGACAGTCAAACTGAAACTAAGATAATTGACAGTGGCCCCTGGATAATTGACGGTCAAGCGGAAACTAAGATAATTGACAGTCAAACTGAAACTAAGATAATTGACAGTGGCCCTACTGGATAATTGATTGAAACGGTCAAGCTGAAACTAAGATAATTGACAGTGGCCCTACTGGATAATTGACAGTCAAGCTGAAACTAAGATAATTGACAGTGGCCCTACTGGATAATTGACAGTCAAGCTGAAACTAAGATAATTGACAGTGGCCCTACTGGATAATTGACAGTCAAGCTGAAACTAAGATAATTGACAGTGGCCCTACTGGATAATTGACAGTCAAGCTGGATAATTGACAGTCAAGCTGAAACTAAGATAATTGACAGTCAAACTGAAACTAAGATAATTGACAGTGGCCCTACTGGATAATTGACGGTTGAGCGGAAACTAAGATAATTGACGGTCAAGCTGAAAGTAAGATAATTGACAGTGGCCCTACGGGATAATTGACAGTCAAGCGGAAACTATGATAATTGACAGTGGACCAAGCTGAAACTAAGATAATTGACAGTCAAGCTGAAACTAAGATAATTGACAGTGGCCCTACTGGATAATTGACAGTCAAGCTGAAACTAAGATAATTGACAGTGGCCCTACTGGATAATTGACAGTCAAGCTGAAACTAAGATAATTGACAGTGGCCCTACTGGATAATTGACAGTCAAGCTGAAACTAAGATAATTGACAGTGGCCCTACTGGATAATTGACGGTCAGGCTGAAACTAAGATAATTGACAGTGGCCCTACTGGATAATTGACGGTCAAGCGGAAACTAAGATAATTGACAGTATCCCTACTGGATAATTGACGGTCAAGCGGAAACTAAGATAATTGACAGTGGCCCTACTGGATAATTGACGGTCACACGGAAACTAAGATAATTGACAGTATCCCTACTGGATAATTGACGGTCAAGCGGAAACTAAGATAATTGACAGTGGCCCTACTGGATAATTGACGGTCAAGCTGAAACTAAGATAATTGACAGTGGCCCTACTAGGTAATTGACAGTCAAGCTGAAACTAAGATAACTGACAGCGTCCCTGCAAATTATAAATCCCAGGATTCTAGAGTTGGACGGAGGCGGGCGCTTGGAGGTCATCTAGTCCAACCCCAGCTTAGCCTGCACTGCCCTTTGGCCTTGCAATCCCACCCAGGGATGAACGGCTTCTGCGGCTAACACCTCTGAACTACCCCTCCCAGGATCCTACAGTTGGACGGGGGGGGGGATCGGAGGTCATCTAGTCCAACCCCAGCTTAGGCCGCAAGGCCCTTCAGCGTTGCGATCCCAGGGCCTTGCAAACGCCTGCACCTTCTTTAGACCTCTTGAAAAAAAAAGCAAAAGGACTTTTCCGGGATGGCCCGCAAAAACAATGGGGAACCGCGAGGTCATCTAGTCCAACCCCACCACCACCACCACTTAGGCGGGCTCGCTTCACGTTGCGGAGAGAGAGAAGCTGCCAGTGAACGAGGCTGCCCTCTGCCATCCACTGGCACAAGAACCTTCTCCCTGATCATGCCAGGCATCCTGGCACCGATGCGACGGACGTATATTAGAGTCGTTTCACCCACGGGGGGGGGGTCCTTCTCTCCCCCCCAACCCGGGGAGGGAGGGGGGGGGCCCAGTGTGACTCACCTTTCGGGGGCTCCCTAGAGCAGGTAAAGCAGAGCCCCGAGGAGGCGTTCTGCCAACTGTGGGCCCACGGCAGATTACAACATTCGGCCATGCTGAAGAGCGACAGGTTTCGCACCCGGGACGCGTCCTGGCACTGCCAGGTGGAAAAGCAAGGGCCCACTGAAGCTGCTCCTGCAAGGCCCCAAAGCAGAATCCCAGGATGAGGGTCAGGTTCACACAACCAGACCCCCCCACTTACAGAGTTAGCTCATTTTTTCAGGGAGTCCTCAACTTACGACCGCAAACATCCGTCACTAAGCGAGACATTGGTTCAGCGCGTTCTGCGGCTGAGCAGAGACTGAGCTGGGCTGCCCAGAGAGGGGCATCCCCAGAGTGACAGGTAGATCCTCACTTTACGACTGCAATGGAGGCCCCCCCAATTCCATCTGAATTTGGATCACGTGACCGTCGTAAATAAGAGTCAGTGGCCAAGCATCTGCATTTGGATCACGTGACCCCGGGACGCTGCGAACTGTCGTAAGTGCGAGTCAGTTGTCAAACATCCAAATTTTGATCCCGTAACCACAGGGGTTCGGCAAACGGTCGTTAAGTGTGCAAAATTAAGTCGCTTAAGTGAATCGACACTGCGACTGTCGTAAATAGGATCCCGATTGCCGAACCTCCGGATTTTAAGGTTTGGGGGGGGGAGGAGGCCACGGTCGTAAGCGTGAACGCCGGTCCTCGGTGGCTTTTTCCCCCTTTTCAGTGGCCGTCACTAAGTGAGCCGTCATAAGTTGAGGACCCCTCAACATCCGGGTGCAGACTCCCCCTGAGGCGGGCCGGTGGGTCACCCCCTATGGAAAGAGGCTAAGGGGGAAGGCCGGAGACGGGGAGGGCGGTCGTAGAGCGAGACCAATTGGCAAGGTCGGGTCTCGCTCTCTTGCCGTTTCGAACTCGGGACCCAATGCCCGAAGACACCCCCCCTTCCTGGAGGAGGAAGCCCCTCCCCCCACAGCCCCCCAACTCCTCACCCTCGGTGCAAGGGGGCCCACTCCAGCCTTCGCAGCAGGCGCGCACCGTCCGGTTCCAAGCAACAGGTCCGGGGTCCTCGTTCCTGCGACGGAGTGGGATGGCGGAGATGAAAAAAAACAGGCCGTCATCCAAACTGAGTTTCCAAAGCGGTTTGGGCTCACCGAGGAGGCCTCTAGTTAGTCCCTCTTGTGGGTCAATTTTAAAGCTCCCAGGCTCTTGAGTCGGGGTCAGGCTAGATGACCTCAGGGGGAGGGGTGTTATACTTTCCGGGTTTCCTTTTGGGGGGGGGAAACGGTACATTTTTTGGCGGTGTTTTCTATTTCGAAACGGAAAAACTCTTTTGAAATATAAAATGCAGAGAGGAATAAGAAAATGAATAATAAAACTAATAATAATAATAATAAATAAATAATAATAAAATGAATAATAATAAAACGAATAATAAAATAAATAATAAAATAAATAATAAAACGAATAATAAAATAAAAAAATAAATAACAACAAAACAACAACAACAACAACAACAATAATAATAATGTTGTCCTTGGTAAGGACTTGATAGGTAGACAAAAATGCCAAATCCAGTCTGAACATCTGGCTGACCGTGTGATTAATAATAACAATAATAGTAGTAGTAGTAATAATAATAATAATAGTAATAATGTTGTCCTTGGTAAGAACTTGATAGGTAGACAAAAGTGCCAAACCCAGTCTGAACATCTGGCTGACAGTGGGATTAATAATAATACTAATAGCAATAATAATAATAATATAATAGTAATAGTAATAACTCCTTATTAAATAATAAAAAGTAATAGAAAAGAGAGAGAAGGAAATAGAAAAAACAGGTCACCTAGTCCAGCCCCCTCCTCAAGCGGGAGACCTTTACAGAATCGTAGAAGGGCAGAGTGGGAAGGGGCCTCGGAGGTCACCTAGTCCAGCCCCCTGCTCGAGCAGGAGACCCTCACAGGCTCAGGGAACGACAGAGCGGGAAGGGACCTCGGAGGCCATCCAGTCCAGCCCACCGCCCACCGCCTCGCCCTCCAGGGTCTCACTTGTAAATGTAGCACAGGGCGCCCCCGGAGCCAGGGGCTCGGCCAGTCCTGTCCCGGTCGAGGTGCCAGCCTTCCATGGTGTACTGGTAGACCTCCACGCAGGGCACCACGTCCTCCCGCCGCAGGTTCACCACGTCTTCGTCCCGCACCTGGACCACCCTCTCGCACCAGCGCCTACCGGATGGAGGAAAGGAGACCACTAAGAGATCCTGAGCTCTAGGCTAACCGGGGAAGCAGAGAAACATCCCGGAAGAAGGCAAGGAAAAAACATTTTTTTTTTCCAGGATTGCAGCTAAGAAAGAGCCGCATAATTCCCCAAATGAAACGAAGAGGTGGAAAGGAGACCACTAGGAAATCCTGAGCTGTAGGCTAACTGGAGGAGGAGGAGGGGGGAGGAGGAGGAGGCAAGAAAAATCTTTTTCCAGGATTGCAGCCAAGAAGGGACTTCCCCAAAGGAAGCCGGGCTTCGTTCAGAGGTGGAAAGGAGACCACTTGGAAATCCTGAGCTATCGGCTAACTGGGAAATCAAATAAATGTCCCAGAAGAAGGCAAGGAATTTTTCTCCAGGATTGCAGCTGAGACAGAGCTGCAAAATTCCCCAAAGGAAGCTGGGCTTGGTTCAGAGGTGGAAAGGAGACCACTAGGAAATCCTGTGCTGTAGGCTAACTAGGGAAGAGGAGGAGGAAAAGGAGGAGGAGGAAAAGGAGGAGGAGGAGGGGGGGGAGGAGGCAAGGAAAATCTTTTTCCAGGATTGCAGCCCAGAAGGAACTTCCCCAAATGAAGCCGGGCTTCGTTCAGAGGTGGAAAGGAGACCACTCGGAAATCCTGAGCTATCGGCTAACTGGGAAATCAAATAAATGTCCCGGAAGAAGGCAAGGAATTTTTCTCCAGGATTGCAGCTGAGACGGAGCTGCAAAATTCCCCAAATGAAACTAAGCTTGCTTAGAGGTGGAAAGGAGACCACTAGGAAATCCTGTGCTGTAGGCTAGCTGGGGGGAGGAGGAGGAGGAGGAGGAGGAGGAGGAGGAGGAGGAGGAGGGTGGGGGGAGGAGGCAAGGAAAATCTTTTTCCAGGCTTGCAGCCAAGAAGGATCTTCCCCAAAGGAAGCCGGGCTTCGTTCAGAGGTGGAAAGGAGACCACTCGGAAATCCTAAGCTCTCGGCTAATCGGGAAGTCAGATAAATGTCCCAGAAGAAGGCAAGGGAAAACTTCTCCAGGGCTGCAGCCAAGAAGGAGCAGAGGGTCCCCTCCTGCGAGGCTGCCCCTGGACGTCACATCTGCAGGGACCGCCCCGCAGGGCTGGCGTTCGGGAACGTATCTCATTAGGGACTGACTCGTTCGCCCCTTTCCTGCTGCCCAAAGAGATTCTTCGGGAACCCACCTGCCCATCCTCGGGCACGGTTTTGGGAGACCTGGCGACATCCTTACCCATCATCCACCGCCAGCGTCTGCCAGAGGGAAAGCCAGGCCAGGACGCCGAGGACAGGGCGCGGGGCGCCCGGAAAGACGGCTCGCCGCATCTCTCCACGTCGGAGGGAATCCCCGCCGAAGGATTCGGGGCGGCCAGCCGGTCCCTAGGAAAGAAAAAAAAGTTCGGAAGGCCCGGCCACGCCGCTAGTCCTCATTGAGGTCGGTCGGGGGTGGAAAAAGCTGCCGCTTGGGAGGGGACGAGACCAACATACCAAGAGGAGGCAAAGACGGGGAGATTGACAGCCAGGACGGAGCCTCTGAACGTTTTTTTTGGGGCCAGGTGGAATTTTGCCCCGTTTTTACGACCTTCCTCGCCCCGGTTCTTAAGCGAACCGAGGCAGGGGTGAAGTCGGTCGCGCCGTCGTTCAGCGAAGCCGGCTTCCCCGTCGACTCTGCTCGTCGGAAAGGGGAGGCTGGACTAGAGGACCTCCGAGGTCCCTTCCAGCTCTGCTATTCTGGAAGGTTCTCCTGCTCGAGCGGGGGGGGGGGAGCTGGACTAGATGACCTCCAGGGTGCCTTCTAACTCTGTCATTCTATGGTTCTGTCAGGGTCTGCTGCTTGAGCAGGGGGGCTGGACTAGATGCCCTCCAGGGTCCCTTCCAACTATGATTCTGTCAGGGTCTCCTGCTTGAGCAGGGGGCTGGACTAGATGACCTCCAAGGTCCCTTCCAACATTCCATGATTCTGTCAGGGTCTCCTGCTTGAGCAGGGGGTTGGACTAGATGACCCCCAAGGTCCCTTCCAACTCTGTCATTCTACGATTCTATCAGGGTCTCCTGCTTGAGCAGGGGGCTGGACTAGATGACCACCCAGGTCCCTTCCAACTCTGGGATTCTGTAAGGTTGTCCAGCTTGAGCAGGGGGTCAAACTGGATGACCTCCAAGGTCCCTTCCAGCTCTGTGATTCTGTCAGGGTCTCCTGCCCGAGCAGGGGGCTGGACTAGATGACCTCCGAGGTCCCTTCCAACTCTTGTCATTCTACGGTTGTGTCAAGGTGTTCTCCTCGAGCCGGGAGCTGGACTAGAGGACCTCCAGGGTCCCTTCCAGGGCTGTCATTCTACGTAAGGGTCTCCTGCCCGAGCGGGGGGTTGGACTAGACGCCCTCGGAGGTCCCCTCCCCGCTCTTTTTTTGCGATCGGAGGGGATCGCTCCGGCAGCAGAGCTCTCTTCCTCACCAACCCAGCCTTTGGGGGAACCCCCCCCTTCAACAGCCCCACCTGGGAGTTTCCCCTTCCTACCTGGCGGGACGAGCCCTCTGCACGTGCTCAGGAGACCGGAATCCCCGGAGGCAAAAGCAGAGCGACGGCCGTCGAACTGGCGACGGGCGGGCGGATTTATACCTCCCGTTTTTTTGGGGGGGGAAGCACCTGGGAGCGCTCCCATTGGACGGCTCCTGCCCCGCCCCCCCTGCACAAAAGGGGGCTGGGGGATTTGCGACCCCCCCACACACACACACCCAGAAAGGGGGGGGTTCCTAACCCTCCATCAATTTAATCCGATTTATTTTATTTTTTTAAAAAAAGGTTTTATTCAATGGCCATCAAGGCTTTGATCTCTTTGATAAAGCTTTGCAGGGTTTTTGGGGGGGGGGTTATGGGCGAGCCCATAGTCCTTATCCGTGGGGGGGGATTTGTCCCCCCCCACCCAAAGTCCTACTTCCCCCTCCCACTTGCCATCCAGCCTCTCTGGGGTACGATTTGAACCAAGGATTGAATATTTGGACTTTGATTTAGTATTTAGCGGTGTTTTTTTAGTGTTTATTACTTTTTTAATGATTTATTATTATTATTATTATTATTATTATTACTACTACTACTACTACTATTATATTATTATTACTACTACTACTATTGTTACTGTTATTATTACTATTACTATTATTATTTTATTGTTATTGTTATTACTGTTATTGCTTTTTTATTATTGTTATGTTATTGTTATTATTACTATATTATTATTACTATTACTATTACTATTATATTCTTATTATTACTACTACTACTATTACTGTTATTATTACTATTATTATTTTATTGTTATTGTTATTACTGTTATTGTTATTTTATTATTGTTGTTATTGTTATTGTTATTATTACTATATTATTATTATTATTATTATTATTATTATTATTATTATTATTATTACTACAACGACGACGACTATGACTACTACTACTACTACTACTATGCAACCAACTCGGGCAGAGGGGGGACTTGATAGGTAGAACAAAAATGCCAAACCCAGTCTGAACATCTGGCTGACGATGTGAATAGTAATAATAATAATAATAAGCGATGATCAATAATAATAATAATAATAATAATAAGCAAAAACTGGTGGGATCATAAAATAGAGAAAGTCATAGAAAATGATAAAATTGAACTGCTCTGGGACTTCAGAATTCAAACAGACAAGCACCTGCAACATAACACCCCAGACTTAACAATTGTCGATAAGAAAGACAAAAAAGTCTGGATAATGGACGTGGCAGTGCCTGGAGATAGCAGAATAGAAGAGAAAGAACTGGAGAAAATAACAAAATACAAAGACCTACAAATAGAAATAGAAAGACTGTGGCAAAAGCAAGCAAGGGTGGTACCAATAGTCATAGGCTCCTTGGGTGCAATCCCAAAACAATTGGAGCACCACTTGAACACAATTGGCATTGACAAATTCGCTATTAGTCAATTGCAAAAGGCGGCCTTATTAGGAACTGCTTCCATCCTGCGACGATATCTGTAATACCATCAAACATCCACATCTGCCTATCCCAGGTCCTGGTAAGGACTCGATAGGTAGACAAAATGCCAAATCCAGTCTGAACATCTGGCTGACAGTGCGATGATCGATAATAATAATAATAATAATAATAATAATAATAATAATAATAATAATAATAATGTGCTTCTATCCTGCGACGATACCTGTAATACCATCAAACATCCACATCTGCCTATCCCAGGTCCTGGGTAAGGACTCGATAGGTAGACAAAATGCCAAATCCAGTCTGAACATCTGGCTGACTGTGCAATGATCCATAATAATAATAATATAATGATGATGATGATGATGATGAAAGGTGCCTTGGAGGTCATCTAGTCCAGCCCCCTGCTCAAGCAGGAGATCCTTACAGTGTCACGGAATGATAGAGTTGGAAGGGACCTCGGAGGTCATCCAATCCAGCCCCCGGCTCGAGCAGCCGATCCTTACAGACTCAGAGAACGACAGAGTTGGAAGGGACCTCGGAGGTCATCCAATCCAGCCCCCGGCTTGAGCAGCCGACCCTTACAGACTCAGAGAACGAAAGAGTTGGAAGGGACCTCGGAGATCATCCAATCCAGCCCCCGGCTCGAGCAGCGGACCCTTACAGACTCAGAGAACGACAGAGTTGGAAGGGACCTCGGAGGTCATCCAATCCAGCCCCCGGCTCGAGCAGCGGACCCTTACAGACTCAGACAACGACAGAGTTGGAAGGGACCTCAGAGGTCATCCAATCCAGCCCCCTGCTCAAGCAGCAGACCCTTACAGACTCAGAGAACAACAGAGTTGGAAGGGACCTCGGAGGTCATCCAGTCCAACCCCCTGCTCAGGCAGGAAGCCCTACATATTTACGAATCACCACGATTAATTTAGATTTCTCCTTTTGTATTTATCTAGTATCCTTAAACGTGCGTATTTAGTGACGTTCGTATTTGCTAACATTATTAATTCATCATTATTATACTAATAGTTATTATTAGTAGTATCATATCTACTAACTATTTGGACTATGTAGTATTAATATTTAGTATTTAGCCTATGGAAGAGAAGCATGGGGGGGAACATGAGGGCTTTTTGGGGAGCTGCCCCAAAGAAGTGGGGGGTCAATTTATTTTCAAGGACCCTGAAGGCAGAAACAACGGATGGAAACTCATCAAGGAGAGAAGCAACCTGGAGTTAAGGAGAAACTTCCTAACAGGGAGGACAACTAACCAGTGGAACTGCTGGCCACCAGAAGCTGTGGGGGCTCCAACACTGTAGATTTGTAAGAAGAGATTGGACAATTGATGATCTGAAATGGTATAGGCCCTCCTGCTTGAGCAGGGGGCTGGGCTAGATGACCTCCGAGGTCCCTTCCAACTCTTGTTGTTCCATGATTCTGTCAGGGTCTCCTGCTCGAGCAGGGGGCTGGACTAGAGGACCTCCGAGGTCCCTTCCAGCTCTGGGAGTCTCAAACTTCCTCAAGCCCCCCTCCCAAATGTATTGATTGATTGATTCATTCATTTATTGTCATGCTTATGGAGTGTATATCACCCTTTGAGAGCTGAATGCAAAGAAATCTCATGGTAATGTATGCTGATTAGTGTATATTTAAAGTGACAATAAAGTTATTCTATTCTGTTTTATTCTATTCTTATTTCTGTTCTGTTCTTATTTCTGTTCTGTTCTGTTCTTATTTCTATTCTATTCTTATTTCTGCTCTGTTCTGTTCTATTCCTCATTCTATTCTATTCTGTTCCATCCCATCTATTCTATTCTATTGTATTCTGTTCTGTTCTGTTCTTATTTCTATTCTGTTGTTCTATTCTATTCTAATTTCTATTCTGTTATATTCTATTCTGTTCTTATTTCTGTTCTGTTCTATTCTTATTTCTGTTCTGTTCTATTCTTATTTCTGTTCTGTTCTTATTTCTGTTCTGTTCTTATTTCTAGTCTGTTCTGTTCTGGTCTGTTCTATTCCTCATTCTATTCTATTCCATCCCATCTATTCTATTCTGTTCTATTCTATTCTAATTTCTAGTCTGTTCTGTTCTATTCTATTCTGTTCTTATTTCTGTTCTGATCTATTCTTATTTCTGTTTTGTTCTATTCATATTTCTAGTCTGTTCTGTTCTATTCCTCATTCTATTCTATTCTATTCTATTCTATTCTATTCTATTCTATTCTATTCTATTGTATTCTAGTCTTATTTCTGTTCTATTCTGTTCTTATTTCTTTCTGTTCTGTTCTGTTCTATTCCTCATTCTATTCTATTCTATTCCATCCCATCTATTCTATTCTGTTCTGTTCT